CGATATTCAGTAGCCATGGCGTTCGCGCAGTTCTACTACGATCCTGCCGTCGAGTTCGAGAGGGTCCTGGACGAGCATGCGCATACCCAGGGTGCTTCCAAGGGAGGCGTCGCAAACGCAGACAAAAACACTGTCGGCGACGCCAGTGGACTCCAGTACGATGTACCTTCTGTCGTTGTAGAAGCACAGGCTCACATTCCCGCTTCAGCAATATCCCTCCATCACGTTCGCAATCCGTGGGTACCATCGGGGAGCGTCACGGTGCCAGTGGACAGTCGAAGGATACGCTGAATCGACGTTTCGTCGATACGCTGTTCAAATGGCGAGACTCTTCTTGACGTAGCATGCTGTGGCTGGTGTTTGTCTCTGCACTTCGTCACGGTGCACGGTGCATGTGTGGGAGTAGTAGTAGCAGCAGGAGAGTAGGAGAGCATGAAGTCCATGTTAGTTGCGCGAAGTCTTGAAGCTCGTTCGTTGTACTTGTATCGCGTCACGTCCAAATCTTACATTGCACCAGTCCTTCCGTGCGCACCCCTTCTGAGGTCTCAGGCGTTCCCTCGTGTTCTGGTGCATAAGACCTCGACATACCGCGACTACCTAGAAGCATGCAGTCGCGACTGCTGGAGCGCTGACCTTGGCGGCTAACTGACCTGAGACGCGCGGTGCGCAGGTGACGTCAGTCGTCACAGAGATCTCCACAGAATTTATAGCGGCGGGCTGCCATGCAACCGCACCTCAAGGATGCGTTCCTCGTCCAATACTGCCACATTATAGCCATGCCGACCACTCGTGCGCAAGATCGTGCCGCAGCGCAAAACACCCTCAAAACTCGGAACGCGTCCGAGGACAATCAACTCGCGCCAGAGAAGCCTGCATCCAAAGCGAAGCCTGCGTCCAGAGCGAAGCCTGCATCCAAGGCGAAGAAACCCGCGTCGCAGAAGAAGACTGCCCCACACTCTAGGAACCAGCAGCATGCTATAGAAGTCGGCGAGAAGCGCAAGGCCGCAGACGAGGCCAAGGAAGAGGAGCCCGAAGAGCCGTCCACCAAGAAGGCCAAGACGGAGGCTGACGAGGAGAACGCGGCGGAGCAGCGTCATCCCGCAGAGAGCATGTACCAGACTGGCGAGTATACGCCTCCTTGTCATGTTGCGCCTAAATAGATTTAGTTTGTAGGCACCATCGAGCGCGGCCACATCTATTTCTTCTATCGCCCGAAGGTCGAGTTGGAAGAAGCACACTCCATCGACGACGTCCAGCGCTTCTACATGCTTCTTGTACCGCGTCCCCCTCAGTTCGCCGCTGACGGCCCAGAGACGACTTCGAAGGCAGATGACGACGAGCAGGAATTGAACTTGATTCAAGAGGGCGCAGATGCCGTCCCTGCCCAGGAGCCCAAAGGCCAGTCGAAGAAGAAGTTCCGCTTGATCGTCGTCGGCAAGAAGTCTCTGCCTGACCCCGAGGCTAAGGGTGGAGGACGAGGCAACCAGGTGTTCTGGGGGAGCATCAGCACTATCGGCGAAGACCTCAAGAAGCTCGAAGAGGGGCTTGGGGAGTCAACGTATGAGACCAAGACTAGAGGTGAGTAACATTACTGTTACCAGCTCGGTCCTGAGTCGGATATTGACAAGGGCGGGCAGGCACGCGTCACCAAGGCGCCGCACGGCTGGCTGCGCGGGGTGCATACGCAATCGTCAACAATGAAGCGAGGACACCCTCGCAGCGCGAGACGCATCTCGGATATCACCTCTCGCACCCGTCAGGAGATCAGCTGGGTGAAGTGCAGGAGGCGCTCGGAATCCACCAAGCCTCTTCCTTCGTGCTTAAAGTCAAGAATCCGCTTGCACCCCCGACAGGGCCTGCGCAGGTAGGCTTGCCAAAGAACCGCCGAGCAGACTACCCCGAAGAGATCCTCCGAGGCGTGTTCGGGAAAGGCGGACAGAGAGGCCGTGAGTCCTATGGGTTGAGGTTTGCGTCCTGCGAGAGACGGGAGCTGCTCGACTACGAGGGAACCGAGCTGTTGTTCATTGCGGCGCGAAGCGGCGAGGATGGGCTAGAGAAGAGCCTGGGCGAAGGCAGAGGACATGGTAAGTTTAGTCAGAAGCGGGGCGGAACATGTGTACTGATGCTCGTCACAGCTCTGGAAGAAGCGGAGAAGAACGAAGGCAAGAGTAGCATTGGCCAGGTCTTGAAGGAGCTCGCAATGGACGACGAGAAGATACCGTCTGACCCATTGGAGGGAGAGTGGGCGTAAGCAGATTCACTGAAAGACGCAACCAGGGGAAAGACCGTAACTAGAGAAGTAAATCTTACCGTGTACAATACCTTCTCTTCGGGTGTAACACTATACACTACGTCTTGTTGTATGTTACGGCGAAACCTGATCGACATGCGTGGCTGCGTTTTTGTTGGGTGCTTGTGAAGCAAGCGATGAACGAAGCTTTCAGGGTATACATCGTGCGGTGTCGTGACAAATACAGCATCCTATTATACAGAGCGTCCGGATTGACATGGACAGCTACTGCGATTCTGACTCTTCGTTGTCCGTGTTGACTCTGAGTACCTTGACCCACTCCCGGTAATTGAATTGGCCGTTCCTCGTGAAAGGACCCTTCAACAGCTTGTCGATCTAGAGGCATCCATCAGCTACCCTCGGCATGCGTTTCCTCCAGGGAAGCAAGCTGTCGTCCTCTTCCCACCACTGACTGGGCAAATGCTCACCTCATGCTCGTCCATCCGCTCACCGACATCCCCGAGCCACTTCCGGATCTCGTCGCACTTCACGAAGCCCGTGTCCCCTTCGTCGAAGCACTCGAACGCAGCAACGAGCTCAGAGTCTGCGTCAAAGTCATAGAGGTGCTCGCCCATCATCGTCAGAAACATCGGGAACGTGATACCGCGGTCGGACCCGCCATCGTCCGAGGGGCCCCGGGAGTGCGACCCGCCCAGACTGCCGCGTCGGTCGCCCGGGCGGTCAGCGAGCAGTTGTTCGAGTGTCGAGCGGGAGGGCGATATGCCTGGCCGGTCACGGGATGTGGTACAGCGGGAGGGAGGGAGCGCAGGACGTATTCAATTCAGTGGCTCGGCACTCTTACGCCGAGACTGCGATGTAACGCACCCAGCGAGCTGAATATGTGCTTCAGGTCCTGCTCTCCGACAATCCCGTCGCCGTCGTGGTCTATGAGCGAGAACGCCTCCCGGAACTGCTGGATCTGGGGAGGGGAGAAGAGCGAGAACACGCCGGAGGGCTCGCGTCGTGCTCTCGACTTCTGTGCCTTCGTGAGCTTAGAAGGCGAGTTTGTCGGTGTTATGTCCGCAGACAAGCCGTAAGGGTAGCGCGACATGGCAATGGAGGACAGTTGAAGTTATAGGACAGGGCAGACAGACGAATGAAGGGTAAATGGACGACGGCAAACGGTGTTGAGTTCAATAGGCGCTGAACGGGTTATTGAACAGGGCCTCCGACGCACTACTCGACGAAAATGGAAGTTATCGTGGTCTATACGAAACTGAAACATCGACCCCAAACCGGAAAGTCAAGCAGTACATATGTTCCCGAATATTGGCGACATAATAACAGAGTCGTTGAGGAAAGTATTCGCGATCATTTCGCTTTAGCTAGAACCACCCTCTTCTTCTCCACCAATGACTGCCACAAGTAGCGCAGCAATACCCCTCTAGGAACCACTGAAGCTATGAATGGGACAAGTGTGGAACCAGAGCCAACTCCAAACGACCTCGGTGGTTTCGCTTCCAGAGTAGGTTTGACAACGCCACGAGCATACTCGTCCAAGGGTGTCGCCGCCTTGACCTCAGGGCGGTCGGGGTTGAAGTCTTCGCGGATGACGTCTACATAGTCTCCATAGATCCTCAAGCTGGGTACGCCGACGTTCTGAGCCATGTTGTTGATGATTTTTGACGCTGCGCCGCCTGAGTCGACGAGGACGACCGAGATATTGAAAGGGAGGCATTCCATGTAGAGAGCTTCGGTGACGGAGTGGACCGCCGCCTTTGAGGCAGAGTATATCCCCGCAAATGGAAATGTCCTGTTGTCACCAACGGTTCATAAAGAATTACGGGAAGTGGTATGATCACGTACACATGTGCAAGTATGGAACCCATATTCACGATTGTACCGCTCTTCCTGGCAGCCATATACGGGATTACGGCTCTGCACACGCGGACTATCCCGAATACGTTCGTGTCAAACGTCTTCTGGAGACGATCGAGTTCGACTTCTACGACTGGACCTATATGGCACATGTCGCTTCAGCATCAAGACAGTGTCACAACTTGAGATTGTTTGCTAACCTGAACAAGTCATTCCGGCGTTATTGACGAGAAAATCTATGCGACCGTCCTTCTCGATGATATAGTTGACGACGGCATCGATAGAGATTTGGTCCGTAACGTCTAGTTGCAAAAGCTCGATACTGCCGTGTGTGAATCCGTGCATGGCTTCCAGTCTCCTCGCCGTGGCGTAGACCTTGCAGCCCCTCGAGGCGTACTCTTCGCATCTGCGAGACAGGGCAAGGGAAACAGGGTTAGCGTCAAGCGGGCGAAGGACTGCAGACTCCTCACAGAGCTGCACCAATTCCTCCCTGAGAGCATCCGGTGACTAGAACGATCTTCTGTGTACTGGACATTCCGGCGAAGTGGGCGAGTCCGGATGATTGAGGAATGGCATGGTTAGCTTTTATACCGTCCAGTCCTTTCAGTGACGCTGGGAAAGATTGGCACTCTGGATCCCTTGGTCGACTATGACCACAACATGATCCCGTCTGCGCTTCCTCTTCCTGACTATTCTTCATGTCACCCTGATATAGTGGGATACACTGATTCTGACGGGCGTATCTCCGACAAAGGTCCTTAGTCAATTTACCATCCTACGCTTCTCCCGGTTTCGGCGATAAAGGAGTACTGAGGGGGCTTCAATATGCAGGAGGAACACGCCCTTATTCATGCTCGGATCCCGCCGATCCCGCGGAACGACTTCGATGTATGTCACCGCCCGAGGCGCTTCCCTGACCGTGAAGCGCGAAGACAGCTTCTGGATCACCTAAAGGGGCTGGATGACACGCAATGTTGTAGTCAGACATTCGTAATTGAGCTGAGACCGATACGAGTATGAACAAGAGAAGTACTCGCAGTGAGATCGCTTAGTTCGTTCGCGAAACGTGGTCCCCCATACGCCCGTACACCGAGGCTCGTTGCGCCAAGTGAGTTGTATTTTCGTGCCATGCACTGACCATATGGCAAGGAGGAGCATAGTGTTGACGGTGCTATGCTGACTAGACTTTCTGAGGATACTGTAAGCTTGTTCCTTTATTTCAGCCGTCGTGTCACATAGAGACTGTACAAGACAAACCGAAATCGGCATCATGTTGCTCCTGCTTTTTTTCAAAACGCGCAGAATTTGTAGCTGTCCGGAGCGGTGTTTGACCGGACGACTCCGGAAGCGACGAGCATGACGACAATGTGGAGGCCCGGGAACTCGAATGCGTGTGAGATTGCTCTGGCTGAAGCGTGCACGCCGCCGCATGGGACTCTGTAGTCTTTAGGGGTGGGTGGTCAGCATAACTGGGCCCTCCGTTATATTGAGTATCGTCTTGGATGCATCATGAAATTCTGCCAGCTGCCAAAATTCGGACAGTACTTGGCTACTCGAATTGGACGCCCTGGTGGCTCCACTGTTTGTCCATGTTTCCGCACATAGGCGTTAATACTCGGTCGCAACTTGCCGTGCTGTATCGATACGTCCAGCATGTCTATCGACCCGCCGAACGCGGCGGATTGTCAAGGCCTCACTGTAGGAGGTGCATCGTTACTGCTCAAATTCTCATGTCGCTCGGTTCCGATGTGCCGAGTGGCCGTGACGCTCACCAGTCTCCTGGGGTGCTGACAACCTACTATTGTACTCAGATATCATTGAGGTCTCATCGCAACTTCTCCCGCGTTTACCGTGAACATCGGCCTGCGGTTTTGGGAGAGGCGCCCCTCCCGTGGTCTTGTGGCCATTCTGATGTACACTCTTCATCATCTTCCGTTGACCGTCATCACCTAGGAAGGTTGTCTCCAGTCTTCCCGAACCTATCCAACGAGCTCAACAGCATCCGTTCTTACAGCAAATCCTCGACCATCATGGAGATCCCATACACGGTCCTCTTCTCTCTCCGATCCGGCCCCGCTCCTGTCAACGCACACCGTCAGCATATTCTAGACCTAGTGTTGTTTGACAATTGTGCCATGCGTGTCCGAAAAACACCGTGCGGTTGTCGACCACTTAAGACACTCGACCTCACGAGAATCGTCACCTCCTTGGACAACCCAGCTTGCTTTCACAGCTGCTCTCGGCATGCACAGGAGCTTTCTAGTAGTCCTCTCGGCCGTGGCGGCTAACCTGGGGCTGGCAAGCGCAGCACTGTTCACGGACCCTGCCGACATACTTGCAGACAAACAGTATCATTATATTGTGGTGGGCGCAGGACCTGGGGGAAGCGTCGTCGCAAGCCGCCTCTCGGAAGACCCTCAGACAAACGTCTTGCTTATCGAAGCCGGTCCGAGGCGGGTACTGTGTCTTCAGGGGTGGTACTCTTAGGACTGACGCTCAGGACGCAGCGACGAAGGAGTCTTACCGATTGAAGTTCCTTACCTGGCATATGAGCTGCAGCCTAACACGACTTATGATTGGAACTACACGACGACCCCTCAGACAGGTTTAGATGGCCGGGCGGTCATATACTCACGAGGGCGCGTTCTCGGTGGCAGCTCTAGCATAAGTAGGCTACGTGATACCTTTCTTGACTGGCAATCACTCATGTGTTCCTAACAGATGTTATGGCTTACACACGAAGCTCTAGAGATGACTTTGACAGATATGCCGCTGTTGGCGGAGACCAAGGGTGGTCTTGGGATGCCATCGAACCCTACTACAGAAAGGTCTGGAGCCTCGGCACCGAATATCTGCGCTGGACTCCTGGGCTTATATATCATCTCAGCTTGAGCACCTGGTTCCGCCGGTCGACCATCACAATACGAGCGGTCAAGTCGAATGGCAGATCCACGGCACTCGCGGTCCGCTCAACATCACCGTCGCCAACGCACCGTTCCCCATCGACTCCCACGTGGTCGCCACCACACAAGAACTCAGTGAGGAATACCCGTATAACGAGGACATGAACTCAGGCTATCCCTTGGGAATCGGTTTGTGCCCCTTCTCTTCATCCTGTTACAAAGGCCAGCTGACCTTCGCACCTTGCGGTGGTAGGGTGGGCACAGGCCACATACGGGAACGGCATCCGCGCGACAGCGTCCTCGTCTTACATTCGCCCAGTGATATCTCGGCCCAACCTCGACGTTCTAATAAACACGATCACGACGAAGATCCTCAGAAGCAGGCACAGCGACGAGAGCGGGGTTCCAGTATTCTCCGGCGTCGAGGTCGCGCAGTCGAGCACATGTACGCCATCTCGTTCTCCTTCACACGGACGTCGCGTTCAGATGCGTCCTCTCAGCGCCCACGTTCGCCTTCAACGCGACGAAGGAGGTGATACTGTCAGCGGGGGCGATCAACACGCCCCAGCTGCTCCTGCTCTCCGGGATCGGCCCCCGCGCGCACCTCGCCTCCCTCGGGATTGAGACCGTCGTCGACCTGCCCGCCGTGGGGCAGAACCTCATGGACCACCCCCGCGTGGGCAACCAGTTCAGCGTCGCGAGCGCGCAAGACGACCCGGGCGACACCATAGGGCGGAACAGCACACTCTTCGACGAGCTGCTGCAGGAATGGGAGGAGCAGCGGCAAGGGGTGATGACCAACGGGGGCACGAACCACATCGGCTGGCTGCGGTTGCCGGCGGACGATCCGATTTGGGAGACAGAGGAGGACCCGAGCGCGGGCCCGGCCGCGCCGCACTATGAGTTTCTGTTCAGAGTGAGTTCTTCCGTAATGGGACGGTGCGGTGCGCGCTGCAAACAACAATCGCTCTGACCCGTCCCTATGCTTTAGCCCGCCTTCGCGTCGTCGATCCCAGGCACGCCCACGCCCGCAACGGGGAACTTCATGACCGTCCTCGCGGTGCTCGTCTCCCCCACCTCCACCGGCTCCGTCACGCTCTCTTCCGCTTCCCCCTTCGCGCCGCCCGTCATCGACCCCGCGTTCCTCAGCACCCCGTTCGACGTCTACACGATGCGCGCCGCGATCCGCTCCGCCGCGCGCTTCGTCTCGTCCGCACAAACGTGGGACGGCTTCGTCACCGGGCAGGGGGCGGGCTTCGCCGACGTGGACCTGAACGATGACGCGGCGGTGGACAAGTGGGCGCGGGCGCAGGCGTCGACGATATGGCACCCGACGGGCACTGCGAGGATGGGTGGCTGTGGGTACGTGGAGGAAGGAAGCGTGGTCGATCCGGACCTGAGGGTGAGGGGAACGGAGGGGTTGCGGGTCGTCGATGCGAGCGTTTTCGTGAGGGTTTGCTTTTGGTTTCTACTTTCTTGCGGAGCACTGAATTCGCGTTTGTGGGTAGCCATTCATTCCCGCGGCGCATCCGCAGGCGGCAGTCTACGCGTTCGCGGAGCGTGCGGCAGATCTCATCAAGAGCGGAAGACGATTTTGCTGACGGGCAGGAATGGGGACTTGTGTCTCGACAGCGGATTTGGATGGGTATGTTGCGCAGTCATAGAGCATCGGCGACACGTATGAGTGACAATTGTAGTGCTGGATTTTGTAAGGTGCGCTCGCCAAGGCTACAAGTTCTGCATGGGCGCATAAAGCGAACGATGCGAACCCACTACAGATGATCACTTCTTGTTTTGCGCTGCCTTCCGCGGCCCCTCACCCAGAGTGCTCCAGAAATAGTCCAAAACCCATGTACGAGGCAACCATTCAAATATTTTGTACCACGATGTCATCGTGCCCTCACTCATGTATCTCGGCGGCTTGGGCTGCAGGAGAGCGTTCACCGTTTTCTGCGCAAACACCTCCGTGGGCATGGGGTTGCTCTCCTGACTCCAGGTCATCTTCTTAAGGATGGAGTCGTAGTAGTCCTGGTACAGGCTGTCTGGGGGCAGCCGGATGCCGCGCACGGCCTGGTTGGTGGCGATGTTGGACTTGACGGCGCCAGGGGCGAGGAGGACGACGTGGATGTTGAACGGGGTGCACTCCATGTATAGCACGTCGGTGAGGGAGTGCAGCGCGGCTTTCGTGGCGCAGTAGACTCCGTTCCAGGGGTTCGGTCTGGGAGACGACTGGTGAGGTTGGAGCGGAAAAGACACGGCTACTGTGGACGTACATGTTGCCACCGACCGAGCCCACGTTCACGATGGTGCCACGCTTGCGGGAGGTCATGTGTGGGATGACTGCCCTTGCGGTGCGGATTGTGGCGAAGACGTTCGTCTCGAATATGCGCACGATGTCGTCCATGTCGACGTCGATGAGGGGTGCTGGGTGAACGTGTCTCAGCACACGATACCAGATAGCCTGTGTGGCGAACAGTGGCAAACTCACAACTGGTGCTCGCCCCAGCGTTGTTCACGAGTATGTCTATCTGACCTTCTTCGGCGATGATGGTCTGCACGACTTTCGTCACGTCGTCATCTTTCGTCACATCCAGCGGAAGGCGACGGACACCGTCGTGGCTGAAGCCGTCCATGGACTCGGGTCGGCGTGCGGTCGCATACACCACGCATCCCTTTGCGGCGAACTCCTCGCATCTGTGAGAGTGGGTCAGCGTCCGAGCGAGCGTTGAGTTCGTTGAACATACAGTGCGAAGCCGATGCCGCCCTTTGAACAACCTGTGACGAGAACGACGGTTTTGCGACTAGACATGTCGGAATGAAGAGAGCAGCAGGAGCGGGATCTACAATTGAATCAGGCTGGGAGCCTGAAGAAGCGGCATGCGTGAGAGTCGGGCGAGGGGGGATCGGAAGCGGGCAGATCATTGCAGAGCAAGGTGTCGTCCATCAGCCCAGCCCAGCCCAGTCCGGGAAACTCGGGGTACTATTCATGCGCAAACGTACACGAGGCGTCTGGGAACATGAGCCCAGTCCGGCGTCGAGTAGGTGGCGCCCAAATAGAGCACAACACGGCAGGCGCCTCCGGGACGCGGCACCGGTCACCTTGTTGTGTGCATGCCTACCTCGACCGCCGCATTTCGTCGTGGATTTCCCTCAGCGCGGATATAGGGCCCTTCGCGCCCGATTCTGACCACCCTAGCCGACGCTCATGTCCTCTCCGACAGAACTCAAACTTCCTACCACCCTACCCTACCCCATCAAGCTCCTCTCCCTCGCCGCACACCCCAACACCCAAGTACAGCGCGGCACACGCCTCCTCGACTACTCCTTCGCGTACGTCAACCCCGACGGACGCACAGAATCCAGATTCGGCACATGGGACTCGCCCCTCGACGGCACCCTCACCCGCTGGGCATTCAAGAAGGGCGAAGTCATCCAGCGATCCCGCGCGGACGCATCCCCGGCCGTGTACATCCTCGAACCGTGCAAACATGGCATCGTCTTCGGCGGACTCTGCGGCATCTGTGGGAAGGACCTCACAAGGTGCGTATTGCCACCTTCCCGCATTCTCTCGTTCCATGCGCTCACGCTTCCGCTCCTCCGCAGGTCTGATTACCTCGGGAGCCAGATCGACCAGGGCGGGGCGACGATCCCCATGACCCACGACCGCGACGGCCCCACCGTCTCCCTCGAGGAGGCACAGCGCATCGAACGCGACACCGCACAGCACCTCTACCGCTCCCGCAAGCTCTCGCTTATCGTCGATCTCGATCAGACCATCGTCCACGCCACCGTCGACCCCACGGTCGGCGAGTGGATCGCCGAGGGCGAGGCCTGGGAAGCGCGCCAGACGAAGAAGGCCGAGGTGGCGGCGACGGCAGAGAAGGAGGAGGGCGAGAAGGAGGACGACGCAGACGCGGACGAAGACGAGGTAAATCCGAATTGGGAGGCACTGAAGGACGTCAAGAAGTTCAGGCTGGGTCCGGAGGCGCTTGGGCAGCCGCATCAGCGAGGGTCGAAGGGGAAGGGGAAGGAGAAGACGATCGAGCAGGATGGCTGCATGTACTATATCAAACCACGGTGCGCATTCCTGCTCGTCCCGTTCCGTCGGTTCATTCTGCCGCTACCACACAACCCGAGAACGCGATCATTAGTTTCCGTCCGTTCATTAAGCTGACGCTTCCTTCCGTTCTCGGTTACGCCACTGCAGGCCCGGACTGCTGGACTTCTTGCAGACGATGGCGACCAAGTATGAGATGCACGTTTATACGATGGGCACGCGTGCTTACGCAGAGGAAGTCTGCGCGGCCATCGATCCCGGCGGCAAGATCTTCGGTAACCGCATCCTGTCCCGGGACGAGAGCGGCAGTGAGTGTGCACCTCACCAACTGTACTGGCGTCGCGCTAACGGTGATGTCTGGCAAGGTCTGACGCAGAAAAGCCTGCAGCGGCTGTTCCCCTGCGACCAATCGATGGTCGTGATCATCGACGACCGCGCCGACGTCTGGGAGTGGTCCCCGAACCTTGTCAAGGTTATCCCTTGTGAGCCCCGATCATCAGGATTAACCCGGCTTCAGCCACGCTCTAACAAATACATTCCTGAACCAAACAGACGACTTCTTCGTCGGCATCGGTGACATTAACTCCGCCTTCCTCCCCAAACTCGAGCCCCTCGCACCCGCCGTGCCCCCTCCGCCCCCACCCACCACAGCAGCCGTCGACGCGGACAGCGGTGACGACGAAGGTGACGTGACGTTGGTCGTCCCTAACGACGACGACGACGAAGACGATAACGATAACGACGCCGAAGACACGGACGCGGAGGACGACGTGCTAGAGGCGTCCGACCGGCCGTCCTCGCCGCCGGCCGACGACGAGCTGTCCGAGGCGCAGAAGGACGAGATGCTGTCGGCGAACACGCTCGCGCTGGAGGCGCAGGTGGAGGAGCGGCCGCTAGCGAAGAAGCAGGAGGCGCTGCTGGAGACAGCGAACGGGGAGGCGGAGGCGGAGTCGTCTGGCGCGAGCGTGGGCGGTGCTGACAGGCAAAACGGGCACGCACCTGCGGTGGCGGCAGCAGCGGGGCAGCAGGAGAGGAAGGAGAGGCCGGTGCGCAAGGCGCTGCTGAAGAACGACGACAAGGAGTTGGACCGGGTGCAGCAGGTGCGTCGCTCGGCTTCTGGGTGCGCGGGCTGTGATCGAGCGATTGTCGAAGATTCTGGAGCTCGTCCACGAGCGGTTCTACGCCGCGTACGAGGCGCGGAGGCGTGAGGAGGGCGCGCAGTCTCCGAGGAAGAAGGCGGGGAGGCGGCACGAAGCGCCTGTGGAACATGACGTTCGGGTATGTTTTGTTCGTTCGCGGGAGCGGGTGGTTTGGAGGAGGCGGCTGACGGCTCGCAGACGATCATTCCGCGAATACGGATGGACACGCTGGCGGGGGTGCACATACTGTTCACGGGGGTGATACCGCTCAACCAGCGACCAGAAACGGCGGAGATCTGGAAGACGGCGACGGCGTTCGGCGCACAGTGCCACACGGACCTCGGGAAGCACATCACGCACGTCGTGACGAACAAGGTATGCCCGTAGTCCGGCACTCGCCAGACGTCCGTACTCACACCAGGACGACGACAGGACAACACGCAGAAGGTGGACGCGGCGCGGCGCTACGCGGACGTGCGGATCGTGTGGCTGAACTGGCTGACGGACTCGCTCGCGCTGTGGCAGAGGCAGGACGAGACGCCATACCTGCTCCACCCGGCGCCGCAGGGGGAAGAGGAGGGGGGCAGGGCAGCGGCGGTTGGGAGTCCTCCCTCGGATGCTCACCAGATTAGTTCTGACCCGGACCCCGACGCAGATGACTGGGACGAGCTGCTCGTCGTCGACTCTTCTGGCGCCGGGGAGGGAAGCGGGAGCAGGGTGCTCGGCGCGCTCGGGGTCGAGGGACCGGAACCCGCTGCCAAGCCGCGGATCGCGCTGGACGAGGTGGACTGGGCGGCGATCAACGACGAGGTCGAGGAGGCCATGAACGAGAGCGACGACGAGGAGGGGGGCAGCGTGAAGAGTGTCGACGACGAGGGGTCGTGGACGGACGAGACGAACAGCATTATCAGGTGCGTTGGGTGGTGGATGGCTCCTGCTAGGCACGAATCTGTGCTGACGTGACCGCTGGGTTCTCAGTAGCACGACGTCGTCGCCCCGGATGAAGCGGAAACGCGTCCGGAGCCTGACGCCCTCGGAGATCGGCTCGCTGAACGGCGCGGACTCGGACGTTTTGCGGTCCCCGCTCGCGAAGCGCAAGAAGCTCGCCGCGGACCGGTCGGGCGCGTCGCGGCTCAAGGAGGCGTTCACGGCGGAGCAGCTGCGCGGGGTCGCGTCGCGCAGGACGAGCGAGAACGGGAGCAGCAAGGGCAGCCGGCGGTCGTCGCCGATGAACGCCATTGGGGAAGACGACGAGGATGACACGGACGAGGACGATGACGAGGACGGGACGAGCGACGGGAACATGATCGACGACGACTTCTTAGCACGCGAGCTTGAGGAGGAGTGGGGATAGCGATGTGACTTTTGTCGTCAGATTTGTGGAAGGGTGACTGCTGCGGTGCGCTCTCGTTCGTTCGCGTCTGTCTCTGCTGTTGCTGCTGTGATATGTCTGTTAGCTGTGTGGTATAGTAGTACTAGTGCGATTTATTGACCGACATGTGTGTAGCTATGTATCATAATTTTATACCTGCGATGCCCTTTCTTTACGACTATACGAACCGTTTAAATCCTCAGCGCATGTCGCGCCGTTTGGGGCTACTTGGTGTTCGCGATCGCATACTGGTGGCTGCACGTAACAATATCCCGTGAGTGCGTTTCACAGTCGCTTCTCCTATTGAAGTCGGCTGATCCTTCCCTTTCTCTGTAGGAGTGAAGGCAAGACTAGTGGTACGAAAATTGTCAAGTTATCTGGACGCGACCTTACACAAGGACCAGTGATACCAGTCAGCGGCTCCAGCTACTGTCCTGTTGATCATAGGTTCCCCGGGCACTGACTGGACGTCCACACACAGAGCTGATGCTTTAGCCATGCGCTGTTGCATCCACATTCGAAGTCCACATTAGTCCGAGCAGAACAGGAGGCAATCGGAGATGTAACTTCATGGCCTCTCGATGGCATACACATTGATGTGAAAACATGAGGAAGGGCGGGTGTACGTACAGTACATACCCTTCTCGTGCGAACCGTGCTATACAATCCCAGGACATCCTCATGAGCGTCCAGTACCTCCACTGTACGTTACCCTGCAGACATTGCTGTCAAGAAAGCCAGGGATACTTAGTATCTCATTGTAGGAAGACAAGATCGGATTTTATGTGCGTCCGTCAGACATTCTTCGGACGAGGGAATCCTCATGCCAGCCGAATATGTGGCAATTTGACCGTGAGGGGGCGCATACTCTGTGCGACTGCTCAAAAGCAAAGACTCCAAGAGGTTCCAAGAGCAAGAATACGCACTTATGCTAAGAGAGGTCTGACTTGTGATCGGGAAGAGGCCCGCGGGAAGTGTCTCAGTTAACCTAATCAACCAACAATCAACCAACCACGACGTTGTCGTGCGTACATAGTGCAGTTGACAGGCGGCCATGTCGCGTCTCCGTGTCCACAATCCTCAGCATGGAGTGTTTGTGCAGATCGGATTAGCCACATGATTTTATAACTTGATACCTTCGCGTCAACGGAACGTTCTCATGATGCATCTGCTCGGCAGGCTTGCATCTTTACACGTACATATAGGGTTGGATCGGTCAGATGAGAACTTCAAGACCAGTGAACATTGCGCTTCGCGCTTATACATAGACGGATAGTATGGCAAAGCTGGCGAGATCGAGACAACGGCATATGAAACGAATGGAGTTACGCAGCAAATGTGGAGTGCTGTAGGAGTTCTCGAACCTCCTCTCCATCCATGGGCAGAGCACCTTCGCCCGACGCATCGAGCGCGACCTGATACTCGTGCTCGACGCCGCCGTCGGCTACGCGAACGGTATACGAAGCGACGTGCCATGTGCTACAATCACCTTGATCTTGACCTCCGCTCTGAGGAGAGTGCACGAATCGTTTTCCCAACAGGGTACTGGGGTTGCTGAGAAATTGGTCTACGTCCTCTCTAGAGACACACCTGGACACCGCAGAAGGGCGAGTGGCAGGGGGAGTGGCAGGGCGCGTCGGTGGAGTCGCTGGCATGCGCCAGGCGGCAGCACGTTTCATGCTTTCAGGGAACAGAAGAGCAAATTCCGTCTTGTAATATTCACTCATGCTACATGGTAGGGACGCAATGGATTCAGCACGCCACGAAGACGATAGTTTAGATTACGTACATCTGCGTCTTCCGTCGCTGATATTGCCTCTCAAGGTCGGGATGATCTAGCAGCCCGTATGCGATCTTGAATTGGCTGAAAACCGACATCGCAGCCGCGGCAAAGTGCAAACGTTTGAAACGCCTGTAAATTCAAGTCAGAGTGACAGAGCACCTCCATAAAACACTGCACTCACTCTTCAAGTGACTTAGGCGGCGTGAGTTGCTCGATCACGGCATTGGCAGGGATAAGATGCACGTCAGGATCACCGCCCTGCGGAATGAATTGATCGGGACTGGTATCGGGCTTGATCCCGGGTTGCCTGTAGAGTTCAGCTACAATCTCGTCCCGGCGGGTAGCATGGTAGCTAAGGAATTCAGCATCCTCCGCGGCAATCTTGAGGTATCGAGATGCTTGCTGAGCAAGAGCTTCGACGTCGACCAGGTTCCTCTGTATTTCATAGACGTCCAAATTATATATTGGGGCTGACATGAAGCAGATTGCGGGAAAGAAGAGTGGCGGTGGAGTGGCTAGGAGAATGAGAACGACGCAGCGTGGCGATCGCCATAAATTAGCTCTGCATGCGGGTGTCGATGTTATTCCCACGGTTCGGAAAGGAATGGGACAAGGCCGACCGGGCCGACCTGGACTATCTGGTGCTTATTCGTGACTACCGACATGCCTTGCGATGATTCTATTAGAGAGAGGTCCCCTCAGTTGTTCGTTCTATTGTGAGCATCAGAGACTAGTGCCTCGGAAAAGTGTTATGTAGCGTGGGGGATGCGAGGAAAGCCGTACAAAAGTGAGGCTGTTGTGTCCTGCAAAGTCCGAAGTGCAACACAGTATGACATCTTGAAACCGCTTGAATACCGCATTGTGGCGGAGAGCTCTGGAATATGATATATCAGATATACATCAGCAGTAAGTTGATCACTTGTTCTCCTCGAGATGCTCCTTGTAAAGGGTCCATAACTTAGAAACCTTCCTGCCGGTGACGTCCTTGAAGATGTGCTCGTCGTACTCCACATCCTTCATGCCTTCGTTTAACTCACGTATGGAACCGTCTCCGTACCGACCCTCGATCCAGTCAAGGAAGTACGCTGTCTTCTGATAACCCCCGTCCCAATCACCGTCGGCATCCTTCTTCCAATGCGGAGGCGCGTATCCCGCATTCAAACGGACCCAATCTGCGTCCCGTACATGGTCAGCTGGCCACCCAAAATGTCGAACGAGTAAAGAAGGAAGGAGGACCTGCGATGCCCTCTATGAGACCGCCGGGGGTTTTGCCTTCGCCATTGTATTGATAGCAATGAACCATCTCGTGGGTGAGGACACCGAGGATCTCGTCTTTGGCGCGTGACTGCGAATTGCGGATGTGATCCAGGGAGAAGTGTATTTCCTTCGTCGTCGGAGAGCCGAAGGTATGAGCGACTCCAGGCATGGGTCGGAGGACGAGTGTGATCAACTGCACGCTAGTGGATTGCAGAGAGACGGCGGCGCGGACAGCCGCCAGACGGCATCATAGGAACGATAGCGTGACCACAGCGGAGTGGAAGGAGCACAAGGATGAGGGCGCCAGAAGCAGAGCAAGCGGAGGTAAGACGGAGTCCCTTGGAGATTTCGAGAGTCCGACGTACTTCCGCGGTACCGTTTGTTCAGTGTATAGCCAAGTGCAGACGGTGGTGACGGCATGGCGTAATGCCTCGTCAGGACGAATGTTATCAAGGAACAGCTTTGTGCCCGGATGTGCAAGGTCCTCGATACGGAGGTTGAACGTTGGTATCGGCCACTGTGGCTCTGGTCCAGATAGTGGGTGGGGCGGCATGGAAGAAGGAAAGAGAGCTGCGACGATGGTACGACCTGGTAACGACGGCTGTACTAGTACTTAGATACCAAGTTGGGAATCTGGATGCCAGGTGATCGCGGGAGTTGATGAGACGTGACACCTGTCACGCTCTCCCTCTCTTCTATACGGACGGGCGTTCGTGGCTACTGCATAAATCCAACATCTACTGCGGCTACTTCTTCCGTTCGCGCCGTCTCCGAGATGATAACCTTCTTGAGCCTGCTCGAACGTAACCTTCTGACCGTTTCAGCTGACCGCATCCACCGCTCCATCTTATGCTCGTCTGCCAGTGGCCCCAGTGGCCCGTCACTCCGGTTGATCCATCAGTTTGTCACTGAGCTGCCCGACGTTTCTCCTTCGCGATAGCTCTCTAATAATAAGAAGGCAAGCTCAAAGTATGGCCGTTTGACTGGCTCCTGAGCTTCCCGACTCTCTGAATGGCACACGGTCTGCGTCGTCTCTCGGCCTTTCTCACCGCTCTTGCGGTCGGGACCTCGTGCGTCTCTGGCTACGGATTCCCTGATTGTGTTAATGGCCCACTCTCCAACAACACCGTCTGCGATACGTCCAAGGACCCCATCACTCGAGCTACCGCTCTGATCGATCTATGGACTGACGAGGAGCTCACCAACAACACCGTGAACGCTTCTCCGGGCGTCCCAAGGCTGGGTCTTCCTGCGTACAATTGGTGGTCTGAAGGTCTCGTAAGTCGTCCACATAGACAACACTGATATTCCTTCTCACGCCTGTTTTTTTCTTCTGTCAGCATGGGGTCGCTCAAAGCCCCGGAGTCACCTTCGCTCCTTCAGGAAACTTCAGCTATGCCACGTCCTTCCCTCAGCCGATCCTCATGGGCGCTGCCTTCGATGATCCTCTTATACAAGCGGTTGCTTCCGTCGTAAGTACTGAGGGTCGTGCGTTTAACAACGTCGGCCGCGCTGGACTCGATTATTGGACGCCGAACATTAATCGTGAGCTTATCCTACGTATGACGTCAATCTTGCTATCTACGATTGATGCCTATCCCGCGTCCAGCTTTCAAGGATCCTCGCTGGGGTCGTGGTCAGGAGACTCCAGGAGAAGACCCCTTCCATCTACAGGGCTATGTTTACAACCTCATCCTCGGTCTTCAGGGCGGACTCGACCCCACACCGTACTTCAAGGTTGTTGCAGACTGCAAGCACTTCGCCGCATACGATATGGACAATTGGGAAGGCAATGTGCGCTATGGCTTCAACGCGGTGGTCACCCAGCAGGATCTCTCCGAATATTACCTTCCCTCGTTTCAGACTTGTGTGCGCGATGCGAAGGTCGCTAGCGTCATGTGCTCGTACAACGCCGTAAACGGTATCCCGTCCTGCGCCAACTCTTTCTTGTTGCAAGACATCCTGCGAGACTACTGGGGCTTTGACGACACCAGATGGGTAACCAGCGACTGCGACGCCGTACAAAACATCTACACCCCTCACAACTACACCGACAATCCGGCGCAGGCGGCAGCCGACGCTTTGCTAGCGGGCACGGACATCGACTGTGGGACGTTCTCGTCGACATACCTCCCCGATGCGCTCTCACAGGGCCTCGTTAACGCCACCGATCTCAAACGAGCGGCCATCCGTCAGTATGCCTCTCTTGTCAGGTACGTGCTGTGTGTGTTTTCTACTAAGGCTCCATTCTGATCTCGGTGCTCCGTTCATAGGCTAGGCTACTTCGATCCCCCCGAATCGCAGCCGTACCGTCAGCTCGGATGGTCGGATGTCAACACGCCAGAGGCTCAGCAACTCGCCCACACCGCAGCCGTCGAAGGCATGGTCCTGCTCAAGAATGACGGCACGCTTCCACTCTCCAAACATGTCCGCAAGCTCGCATTGATCGGCCCCTGGGCGAACGCGACAACACTCATGCAGGGCAACTACGCCGGCATCGCCCCCTACCTCATCAGCCCTCTTCTCGGTGCGCAACAAGCCGGATTCGATGTCGAATACGTCTTCGGTACCAACGTTACGACCACCAACGACACGAGCGGCTTTGCGGCCGCCGTCGCAGCGGCTAAGCGCGCCGATGCGGTGATCTTCGCCGGAGGGCTGGACGAGACTGTCGAGCGCGAGGAAGTGGACAGGCTCAATGTCACTTGGCCTGGGAACCAGCTAGACTTGGTGGCGGAGCTCGCAAGCGTGGGAAAGCCCTTGATCGTAGCGCAGTTCGGAGGAGGTCAGTTAGATGATTCGGCGTTGAAGAGCAAGCGTTCGGTACGTCATTCCTCAAAGCATATCCACCACCTCCACCGTGTCCTCGGGCGTGGTCACGCGCATGTGCCCAATTGAGGCACCCTCTGCGTCTGAGGCCTACATGACGCGGACCTGTTACGTTCTTGCAATATATCCCTATGTACCTGACACGTTTGACGTGGACATGATATCTCATATGTCTCTCACAGGTCAACGCGATCATTTGGGGAGGATACCCCGGTCAAAGCGGAGGCACAGCACTCTTCGATATCCTCACGGGCAAAGCCGCGCCCGCAGGGCGTCTGCCCATCACGCAGTACCCGGCCGAGTACGCAAATCAGGTACCCATGACGGACATGACTCTCCGCCCGAGCGCGACCAACCCAGGCCGCACTTACAAGTGGTACACTGGCACGCCGGTCTTCGAGTTCGGCTTCGGGCTGCACTACACGACGTTCTCGTTCGCGTGGGCGTCGAACGCGCACGCTAACACTCCCGCGGCGAGCTACTCGATCGACGCGCTGATGGCCAGCGGCAACAAGAGCGCCGCGTTCTTGGACCTCGCGCCGCTCGACACGTTCGCGGTGCGTGTGACGAACACGGGCAAGATGACCTCCGACTACGTCGCGCTGCTGTTCGCGAGCGGGACGTTCGGCCCCGCGCCCCACCCGAATAAGCAGCTCGTGGCGTACACCCGCGTGCATGGAGTCGCGCCAAAGCAGAGCACTATAGCGGAGCTGACGGTGACGCTGGGGGCAATTGCGCGCGCGGACGAGAGCGGGGCAAAATGGGTGTATCCGGGCACATATACCCTTGCGCTGGATACGACGGAACAGCTGAAGCATACGTTCACGTTGGAAGGGGAGGCAAGGAACATCGCCGATTGGCCAGAGGATACGACCTCTTGAGAACGAGTGCTTCTAAGACTGAGAAACTTCCCAAATTGTTCCCGGTCCCGTGCTGTTGATAGCAATACTAGTTCAAAAGATATGTCCGCCCACATTATCACTCTCAACCGGTCTCGTCAGATTGAGTCAAGGACAGGGATTATAAAACAACGACAGAGTTACCAAGATGGGAGCTGATAACAAAGCCCATTAGATATTACGAATAGATACTACCAAGCGCAGAACCCAAGTCTTTGACTGCATATTTCAGCCATATTCACCAAACCGAATGCCCAAACCATAATGACTTTAACAGAAACGAGCGAATGGTACCACGTCGTAAGCCAGGGTCCATGTCTTCTCCGAATCTCTGAGGTTCGACTACGCAAACCGCTCACTGATCATCAGGGGAAAGGGCATCGTAAGTTGGGCAGAGGTCCGACCAAGCCTGCGGGACTGGGTTTGCAGACTTGACATCCGGAATGTCTTCGGCCATGACGACAGCGAAACCAGCCTCGAGGTGAAAATCGATGTGGCAGTGGAGGAACCACGGGCCCGGGTTGTCAGTCTGGAAGCGGATAGTGACGTTGTCGCCCGCGGCGGGGGTACCGGTGGAAACGACGTCGCGCCAGACAGGGTTGTCGTAGTTGTACTCGGTAGAGCCCGCGCTGCGTACGACAGCGAAAGAGTGCTATGAAGGGACACCCCGATGAGCATATCATTGTCATCTCCTGTAGAGCGAAGGAAACTTACACCGTGCAAGTGGAAGGGATGAGGAGCACCAGGAGCGTTCGTGGTGGCGGGGAAGGTGATCTCGATGGACGAATTGACGGGCAGCTGGTATACACTACCAGACGGCAAGAGGTCCTGGGCATCCTGCGCGCCGCTGATAATTTGGAGCAGGACGGGGACGGTGGGGGGCACGAAAGAAGCGTCGTTGATAAAGAAGTTGGTGCCGTTGAAGTTGAAGACCATGTTAATGGCCTTGTCAACACCACCCTGCACAGCGGTACCGGGCTGGACGATGTATTTGGGTCAATTACCGATGTAGTGTTCATGTTCGTACGAATCGAGCACGTACCGTCACCCTCGGGGTCAAGGGCGCAAGAGTGGCCTCGTTAAGCAGGTTCTGCGTAGCCTGCTGGGACGTTGTAGGCTCGATCGAAGCAGCTCCGTCATAGCGAAGAATGGCAGAGTTGATGCCGTCTGCGAAGCCGATGTTACCCAAGTTCGGGTTAGCACGAATCCAGTAGTTGTCAACTGTTTGATTCGCAGTAAGCTAGAAAACAATAGGTCACTTCGGTTTCATAAAGAGTGCTCGCGCTCAGATTACTCACCACGAACGAGTAACGCTGGGCAGCAAATATCTGAATAGCGTTGACGGTGACGGGCTTCGTCTCGATACCATCGGCTTCAATGACGGTCAGGTCGTGGTTGTCGATACTGAAGACGTAGTTCGGGTCGCAAGAAATCGACACAAGTCGGAAGCGGTAGCTATAGCAAAGCCGTCAGCCCTAAAAAGTTGATGGATCTTCAGCTATAACGTACCGCTTGCCCTGCGTAACATTGATGACCGCGAGGTCAGCGGTAGGAGTTCCTGGGCTCCGCCCCAGACCGTTGATGAGAGTGGAGTCTGAACCAAACCTGTATTCCGAGTGGAGTTAGTCACGACAGTCTGAACGACGGTATACAGGAAGGTGATCAAACTCACGGGACACGAGGGCCAACCTTGGCGGCAAGATGGTACCAATCCGTGAGGGTAATCACGGTCGAGTCTATATGGCGTGAGTGTCAGACGAATCTGCCTTTGGCGGGGGGAACACCCGTAGAGGACTGACCGTCGTCAACATCGTAAAGATGTGCGTGGGGATCCTTAGGATCATACACTACGAAAGGACCCCTCAAACCATCGCAATATTGCGTGGAAAGATGACTGTGGTACCAATAGGTACCTGAATTCGTGTCAGCGGCCCATTCATACCAGGACGGTGACCGTATCTTACCAGACTGGTCTGGAACCTGGAAATCGTACAGGAACGAGTTTCCGCTGGAGATGGGGCACTGATTGATGAAGGCAGGACCGTCTGCCCAGTTCGTGCCCTTCTGGAAGAAGCCATGCCAGTGCTACAGGACCGTTGTTAGCATGACTTGTGACGTTCCTAGGCGCGAGCGGAGGATGATCCATACAATACTAGTGGATTTTAACATGGTGTGGTTCGTCAGCTGGTTGATTACGTTGAGCTGGAACCGGTCGCCCTATAATCACCCAATGTCAGTCAAGAGTAGTGCTATGGCTAGCATGCTTCAGAGCTGACCTGGTTACCAGTGATGAGGGGCCCGGGAACGAGACCGTTGACTGCGATGGCAGCACGGCTGAAGCCATCGGGGGCGACGGTTACATCGGTGATGGTCAGGTCGGTGACGGGCCCGATGCCTGCGGAGGCCGAGGCGGCGAAAAGGAGGGTGACATAGGAAAGCAAGCACATGAACTTGGCCATGACGATCGCAAGTGAAGAGAATTGCTCGAAGACCAAAGGAGGACTGGGGCTTGGATAGAACGGCCTCTTACGACCATCCTTTATAGCAAAGCAGCGAAGCCAAGGCGCCAGAGGCCAACCGAGCTCTGCTATGTCTGCTACTGCCATAGAGCCGGAATGTGTTCGATCATTTTGGCCCTGAAAGGCGGTCGTCGCGCGAATCCTACGGGGAGCGTGAGAGCAGGCTTGGCGCAGGCGCAACCTAGTCATCCCCGAGACCTTTCTTGGGCCCCCCGTCGAGCGTCGGCAGACCTGAACGTCCAAATTGGTGCATTCGGCGCCGATGTAAGGTAATTTGATGCGAGCCATTCATCTGCGATTTGAACAACGGCCCTCGCGCGAGTCCGACGTTATGCGTAAGACTGAGGATAGGTGCCACGGAAACATCCATACGGTTGATGGATCGTCTTGCGCTGATTGAGCAGTTTTTGCCAACGACGGCATGGAACCGTCACTCTTACTGCCCCTCAGACCTATCACAATGACGACGACGCTTGTGGAGACTCTGACCGCCGACACCCGGCGCAGCAAGTATACGAGACCAGAATCAATGTTGCAATATGCACACCACTGACACCCGCAGTGGTCCGTTCCTCGAGGGGCCTCAAGGCTATTGCCGTCTGGTACGGGTCAACGTGGGATTTGTCCGATGCATGCGGTGCAATGCGATATTCTGATGCCAGAGAGAACGAGAGCAGGCTGCGCTGTTGCTGTCATCAGGCACAAGTAGGATGGGAGGCTCAGTGCTTACATACCGGTGTCGGGACAAGGTGAAGGACGTGATCCGCCCAAAGATACCAACCGTGACCACAAACGAACAGACTTTCCAAAAGTGGATGAACCGGCGTTTGTGCGATTAGCACGGCCACCAGCTCCACTGGCAGCCCCGGAGCGGTGAGTTGAACGTCCCCCGCCAACTAATACCTGCTACTCCGCTAATTTACCTCACTCGGCTTATGGGACGCACAAGCCATTCTACCATCGACCTGTGCGCTGAGACAGCTACAGCGACAGCCCCGCTCTTGCCCGTCGGAGGCCCGGCAGAATATCACCAGACCTCTATGCCGACTGCTTGCATTGTCCTCCGCCGTGTCAACTGCCGCCAGGGTAGTGTGCCTACGAGTGTTGTGCCTGTCACACAATCTGGCCTCGAAAGCCATCAGTCTGGATAATCTGGGTTTTACGTCGTTTGGTGGGAGCTCACCTAGCACCGACCGTGAAAAGTTCCCACGACGGCTTATGCTAACACGTCCGGTAGCTCGATTGCGCGTCCTATTCGCCAGCGTAGGGTCCCCTATAGGACACGGACAGATTGACCATGCTGATGCTGGGTCACATATCTGCTTGTTTATTCTCACACTAGCGTCGTGGTTTGCATGATCACTGGTATGTGCCCTTTTACTGCTTGTACGTTTGTGATCTCGTTCTGAAACGACACTATTTCGTAGGCATATCATGCGATGGAGAGCGGCGTCAGGAGGGCAATCCTACGTTGGTTTGTAATTGCTTGGAAAAGCAACGATGGTGGGACGTTGATCTAGTACTAATAACTCTATCTCTGGCATACAGTTTGAAACTGACCGCAGACCCGAAGTGTCTCTGCATCCACCCAAGCAAAAAGTGTAGACAAGACCATGGGAGCAATTTGGGAAGCATCTGGCACGGCCGCCTAGCCTGCGTTGGTCCGCTCGGACCCAGGTAGTGCAGTTCGCTCATCAATCGTCTTTCCAGAACCACTTGGATAACCAGTCTAACCTTCTTTTCCCCCAGGCACACTTCGACATCGCGTACCTTCGTTCGCTGAGGATCTGTACCCTTGCAGAATGCTGTCACTCCACTAGCCTTTCAACAGATGCGCTGAAGTCACCCGACGATCGCGGTCGCCAAGTAGCGTTACACCCACCGTCCACCTTCATCGATTTTCACCAAGCCACAGCCGTACCTCACTTTTTTCGGAATGCTCCTCCCTGGCCGCTCATTCAATTCCACACTAGCTCAACCGTTGAAATGAAAGCCGGCTTGAATGGTACATCCGAGGTTTTCCCACGATTGAGAACGGCAGAAGCGGATCCAATCAATAGGCCGCGTATATCTCGTCGGCCGCGCAGTTGCAGGGGTGATTTCTGCTGCTGCTGTTACCGCGCAAGGCATCTGGTTGTCTGCGATTCGGGTCCAGATTGCCGAGACGCAGAAGCAGAATGACTCAAGCAGCGCGCCCTGATAGACTAAATGCCTAGAGTTCGCGTTGCGTCAGGTCCCAAACCTACGACCCCTATGGCCGGATGTCCCCTTGCCAAAGCGATGGGACTTCTTCGAAGGCATTTGCGATTCTCTGCAACGAAGAACCCGGGCCGCTACCCGATGACGACCGCGTGCGTGGACGTTCGGCGGCGGGCGTCGAGAACTTCCAACCGACTGCTATGTGATGCAAAGACATAAGTGCGTGTGTGCGTTTTCGCAATCAGGCTACTGAGAAAGCTACTGGGGATCTGGTCCTCATTGATGTAAAGAAATGCTGTCAATGAAGTCCTTCTACAGATGGGTCTCAACATTGATGGGAGGTATCGTTTAGGTCATAGCAGCCAACGTAGTGGTTCTTGGACTTCGCCGAGGCGCAACCCTGGTAAGTCCCTGTGTCTAAATGGCTCGATACTTTTCAAGAGTACGCGCATACTCCCTTTGACTCATGATGATCGGCGTCCCACAGGATATCGATCGTAGTTGGCTGGCAACTAGAGAGCGCTCTCCCTTCCTCGTCCCAAACTGGCCTGTCGGTGTCAGCTCTTCCCGTCCCTCGCGTGCGCGTTCGCGCTGATGCTTTGCCGAACGGTCATATCAGCCCGCCGGTCAAGCTGCCAGTCGAAGATATGTCTCGTGGAGCGGCTTTTTAGACACCATTCTCGGAATAAGGACCGTAACTGCCATAACAATCGCGCTCAGACTATACAGGCGATTCGGGTTAGCTTCAGCTGGCGCTGCGGCCGGCTCAGAAAACCAGGCACATCAGCACTCGTCGGCTCCCAATCCCAAAGCGCACGGAGCATTATGCAAGCCGTGCGCACATACGAGCTATCTTCTTGGTGAGTGCTCCTCCCCTGAAGACGCTCTGCTCTGTTCGCCTCAAAGCAACCAATTAAGATGTCACTCGAGCGATTGTAACGACGGTGACGACTGCCGACGCCTGGCTGTCGAAGCCCATGTAGTTGCAATGCGCTGACGTGAGTCTTGCGGCCGAGGTGTTTATCTTGTCAGCATGACCTAAAGCCTGCATTGACTGTGCGACGGACGTCAACACCGCATACTCCCGCGAGCCCTACGATGCCGGAACGCTCGGACGTCCGATTCGGTCAAGCTAGGCAACAGTACCGCAGCGCGTTTATCATACCCGGCGTCGGCCCCTCGATCGTGCATGTGTTGACCCTGCGCGCCGTCAGACGTCGGTCGTTACTGCGCGCACCCGGCACATCTCGGCGCAGCAAGCGCTGTGAAGCAATAGGCCATGCGCTCTTCTTTCCGACTTATCGCTTTTACGTCTTCTTCTACCTTTGTTGTTCAGCTCTGGAAGGAATTTGCACTGTTTCCGCCGACTTATGCGTCAGCCCAGGTCCGGGAAGGACCCCAATCCATGTTCACGGCTCGTGGACAGCCCCTGGTGTAACTTACGTATCCTAAAGTGATTGAATCCACATCTGCATTCCTCTCCTTGTCCTTCCTTATTCAGTCGTTCGTCTCGGAGGAGCGGCGCTGATGAGAACGGACAGGCACGCTCGCTATGTATCCGGAAGGTAATGCGCCCCACACAAAGCCCGCCAGACCCCGCACTAGTCGCATTTTAGTGAATCCGACATTCCGACAACGCGGTGTATCCCACGATCGTGTTGGCACTTAAGTTGTTCGGCGAAAGAGTAAGAGAACGCGCCATATGGGCAGAGCGAGTGATGGCGATGCGTACCTGACACTTCGCTGCTGTAGTTTGCTGTTCCCATATGACACAACTAGAGTGATACTGGATGTTGCCTGGAATGAGTAAAGACGGCATAATGAGGTAATGTAGCGTACGACGTCCAAGTACAGCTCTTTCACCCAGACCGACGGTGAATCACCTAGCTACAATGAAAGGAGTATAGAGTACAAGATATAGTATACACAAGCATTGGGCCAAAGCACGGATACAAGAATTCATAACAGCAAGTGTGGATATAATACGACAAGTTCTTGACCGTAGGGATGCAGAAGTCCACGGATACTCGGACATAGAAGAGACCCGGCGGCCTAGCGTGGGCAAAGACATCCATCAAAAACTTAGGCTCAGGGGGTGTGTAGGTTCACATGACTTACATCGCTCGATGACGACACAGAACGGTGCTTAGAAGAGACGATACTATTTGGGTTGAGTCTACATGCTAGCAAGTATCCGTAAGCCATTCCATATGTCTGCAGATGACGCAAACGAACATCAGGCACACATTGCACATACCTGCTACCGGATACCTGCAGCCGCCTCAAGTCTCGTCACCTCTTCTCTGAGAGCGTCTCTGCCCTCCTCCAGCCACTGGATATAACCTCTCGCACGGAAGAGTATCCCGCTCTTTCCCTTCGTGCCCCTTCCTCGGCTACCGCTGCCCTTTGGCCGCCCTCGGGTGGGCATTCCGGTCCCCGGGGGCGCGCCCGCAGGGGCAAGCAGCGTTGTAAGCTGCAGGTAGCCGTCGCGGATGGCATTGCGACGCTTCTGCTCGGACATGATATGGTTGAGCCGCTTCTGTGGAGTCGAGAGCAGGGGTTTCACACGGGGACCAGCGGATGCTGAGGGCGTACCGCGCGACGCAGGGGAGGACGATCTAGATGCAGAACGACTCCTGGAACGCAGTTTCGGCTTCGTGTCGGCAGCCTGAGCGTAGGACTGCTGTGGCGGGGGAGGGGGCCGCTGCGCCTGCAGCTGAGACTGCTGCAGGTGGTGATGTTGTTCCGGCTGGGAAGTGAAGAGGCTGGATGACGGTGGGAAGTGGTGTATCCCAGGTGGTGCCGTCTCCTGCAGGGGACTGTGGTAGAGGGGATCCGGGGGTACATCCGGCAACAGTGGAAGCGAATCCACATTGAATTCCCATTCGAAGTTCTCGAGAAAGCCGAAGAGATCCGTTGTCTCTGCCGCAGAGAAAAGTTCGTTTGATGGGGGCAGCGGTGGAGGTGGCGGCACACCCTCGCCATGCAACCCAGCGTTGAAGAACTGGAAGTCGTCGAAGGAGAGAGGCGGGGCGATGTGCTCGGCCGGCGGTGGGGAGTGGGGATGCGGGGGATGCGGAGGAGACATGATGGTCCGAGAGCAAGTGCCGGATTGCCGGTGCGCGCTCCGCGAGAGTGGTGGAGGCCGGGGCAGCGGCAGGGGCCGGAGCGGAACCGGGGGACCGGGGAAGAAGGGGCGGCACGTGGAGGGGAGAAAGGAGAAAAGCGGGAGATATAGACCGTAGGGTCCGAAACCCCGCGCATCACCCCCATGTCGGCCCTCTCAGAGGCCTCCACGCCGGCCCAGGACGCGGCCCCTCCGTCGATCGACACGCAACAACTGCAACAACATAACCAGCAGCTCGCTTCAGACCTCGGCCAACAGGCACAGCAGCCTGGCTCCGGCTCGTCCTCCGCCCCGCCCGCCGACGGCGGCCGCAAGCGTGCGTATCGCGTCTCTGCTCTCTCCACCTCCCGCCGCCGTTGCCCGTCCTGACCTCCTCCGCTCCAGCCAAGGCGCCCTCCGTTCGAAGGGCCTGCACCGCCTGCCACGCCGGAAAAACAAGATGTAGCGAAGTCCTCCCTTGCCAGGTTCGTTCCTCCGTCTCTCTTCCTCCTTCCCCGCTGTGCTCACACATCACCACACAGAGCTGCTTGAAGAGGGGCATGGGGGCATCATGCACCTACCCCGATCCGGACGCCGCCGATACACACCAGCCCCAGACTGCCCCCCGTACGTTCTTGTCGCACACAAACGCACATGCATGTCCTCACGAACCTTCGCAGCGCAAGTTCCCCCCTTTGCCGCCGCCATGCCGTACCCTCCACCCATGCAAGGCCTCACCCACCCACACTACTACGACTACAACAGCACATTCCCCGCCAACCCAAACCCAGGCGCCTCGACGTCCACATTCCGGCCCGCGAAACGTCCACGGCCGCTGACCGAAGAGGAGGCCGCCGCCATCACGCGCAACTTCACCCGCGGCGACTTCTTCGTCGGCTCCAGTGCCCCCGTCCGCATCGACCCCCGCTTGCCCGTCCGCCTCACGCTTGCCGAAGGCGATCAGGTCCACTTCTCCATCGGCGAGGCCATTGTCTGATCTCTGCCATCTTGCGTCCCTGCTGTGCTGTGTTACCCCCGTTGTAGATACGAGTGATGGACTTGCAGTTTGCATTGCTGTCGGTTAGCTTTCTTGGCACCCATGGTCGTCCTATGTATGTATACGTTGTCTCCGAGTCGTCTATCCGTCCCAATATATAGGGTGATCCCTTTGCCGCACATCATTGCGGAGTTTTCTGCTATCTGACGGTGAATTCTTCCCAGGTGTGAGCACATGGCAATCGTCATAGAGTTGTACCCGCCACCTGCCCAACCTAGCTGGCGAAGCTGCACTTGAGCAGGCAGGTTCAGTAATGGTAACCGAGCTCTCTCTTCAGCGTGACATCGGACGCCGAAATCACCATCATGGGTCACCCTGTGACCGAATTTCGATCTCCCGCCACGGATGGATTCTCCGCGCAGGAGGTCACGATCTGTCACGCTTGCCGAGGCCTGCCGGTCTTCGGGTAATGCCCATTCTCGAGCTTGATGAGCCTTAGCCGAGGAGCCTAAGCAAGTCGGAGAGTCAAAATGTGGCTGCATTGTCACGCCCGTGAGGGCTACTTCTTGTTTCTCCTCTGCGTTCCCCTGAGCAGGCATCGGAGAATTCAATAAAGGAAGGGTAAGATGTGTACATAGAAATGCGTATGATAGATTTGGAGGGAAGCGCCCGGAAGTAAGTACAAGGCGAGACTCATGAAGTTTTGATGGCAATGAGTTGCCCCACTTCCTCCTGCAAGATCGATTCAATGGCTTATGATATAAATTCCGTTCTTTTTACTGCTTATCTGGAACACATCTGGGCACCACCTTCAAAGTTGCAGCTTTATCGGGTGGAAAATGAGGGAGATCCGTACCTTTGTCCGAACACTGGGGTCGCGATAGTACTAGGCCGCAGAGCGAGCGACCTGAGTGGAACACCCTTATGCAGAGCATGTTCCGGGTTATCTTGGCATAGTGAGCAACATCAAGCCCTTCCTTACTGGCACAGCCCCCGATAGCCACGTCTTTGTCCGAACGACGCTATTCAGCTAGCTGAGTAGGCGACAATGACTATACCAGTCAGGCGGACCAGGGTGAACTGTACGAGGTTTAACCGTTCCTTGCCGTTGTAGACATGTGGGTGGACAACATCACTTCGACTTCAGCGGTGAGCTTGTGTGCGAAGATACTTCATTCGCTCTAAAGCCGCAGTCTTCGGTGACGTCGCTTCAGCTGGTATGTCGTCGCCTCCTGAGACGCAGAAATTAGGACAATGATTGCAGGGGCGGGCTCAATCAAATGTGATATGTTGCGGTTCGGACACTTGATCCGACTCTGCCACCCTCGCCCAGAGGAAGCAGGAGCGACGTCATTCTCCTGACCGCCGATGGCGGCCATCTTCTTAGAATGCGAGCGCGAAAGTAATAACCTTAACCAGACCGCGCGATGCGAGTTGCGACGCGACATCTCATGTGCGCTCGGATGGCAGATCTACTCCGTCGACGGAACGTTGACGGCAATGTCTGCTTTACCTCTTGATGTTGAAAACATGTGAAGCACGCCTCCGTACTACGCACGCGACGTTGAACCATAATATGAGCATTGCCTGCACACTGATACATGATAGACCCGATAGTGACATGAAAGAAACGATACTATAAGAACAGTGGCATATACAGTCGACTGAGCAATAATCTATTGGTAATTAAAAATTGGGTATGACAATGCAACAACAGAAATGTAGACAACTGACAACAGAAATGTTCGGTACCGAAACTCAGCGAAAGACCACTACATAAGCTTCGAGTTACGCATAGTCGAAGTGTGCAACAACTTCAGCTCTATGCGCCTCCTCGTCAACTGCAGCTCACGCTGGTGGTGCTCGAGCTTCTTATCCAACCTGCGCCGCTCGTCCTCCAAGTTATCTTGCGTGCGCTGAAGTGCCCGGTAGGATGGATCCGTGTGGAACATAGACAGAACCATGGAGCGTGCCTTACTGCGGAGGTACTCCTTCTCGTCCATGTACTGCGCAGGCCATCCGGCGTACACGCCGTCCGCCTCAGCGATCTCGCCCGAAGTCAACAGTGTGTGTTCGAGAAGCATGGAGCATGGCTCCATGGATGCGCCCGAAAGCAAGCGAGAACCCGAGCGCAACGCACAGCTGTCAGGAATGTGGTTAGCACGTATCGATGATTGGTGTGGCAAAGCGGACTCACCCAGGGCCAATTTTCAGCGCGTTCAAAGCGAAGTTCCCGCGCGAGTTGATGTGAGCGACAACTGAGCAATTATCGAGCGCGACATTGTCACCCAAGTCGACAAGGTCAGGCTCGGTCATCAAGCCCGTTCGGCCCCCCGCGAAAACGGAGACGTTCTTGCCAATCTTCGCACCCATGGCGCGATAGAACCAGACGATGTATGCAGATCCGCTGATGGCACCAAGGACAGCGCCATTACCGTACCCTCGGTATAGAGGCTTCGCGAGGACGAGATGGAGTTGCCAGCGCTGGCAGTACGAACTCTTGTCCCAGTCGTAGCTGCCGGGAGCCCGGCGACCGATGACGATCCACTTCATGACGACGACCCAGAGGATGACAACGATCGCCTGGAGGACAAGGGTCAAGATAAACCAGCATGCTATCAGGCCAAATATGACAAAAGTTTGCTGAGGGCCCGAGCGGAAGAGGTCTAGCCGAGAAAGATGTATACGAAGTTGGTTGAGGACCTGGGTGCCGACGACGGCGGCGATCGACCAGTATCCTGCGCCGAGGATGGCGATAAGGGTGTTGATGCTGACCAGGAGGGGGTACGGGAATACGAAGTAGGTCGCCTCGCGCTTGTAGAAAGCGCGACCGAAGGGCGTAATCGTCGGGCTCTCGTCGTCGGTCGCCTCCTTGCTTCCGCTCTTGAAGCAGACAGCTTCCCCGCCCTCTGAACCCATCCAAACGGAGCCGTCCGCGTAGGTCATGTCTCTCTTTGCGAGTGCGCCGGAGCCCATAATGGCGCGTTTACCCACGGACACCCCAGGAAGGAGGACGACGCGGTCAGCAATCATAGCGCCTGACTTGACGATGATCTTGCCCGAGCCATGGGCGTCCGTAGTGAACGCTTCAGATCGGGACCCGAATACGACGTCGTCGCCAACCTCGAGGAGCTCTGGGTCTGGGCAGTAAACCCCCGACCCGGGCCAGTACACGCGCTTGCCGATTTTCGCGCCCATGCAGCGCCATATGATTGAAGTCGTCTCGTAGTGCGAACCGATGATATCGAACGCACGCTTCATGGCATATTGGTTGAGGAGGTGCTGGTTGATGAAACGGCGGGTGAGAACCCATTGCGAAGCGTCCGCAGCACGGCCCTCGCTGTTGAGACCCATAATGCGCTTGACGATAATACCGATGACGAGCTGGAGAATTGGCGGAAGGATCACTCGGATGATACGGGCAAAAGCATGCCACGCGACCCGTCTCGGTAACGAGAACCAAACGATAACACGCTCGGCCGAGTTGAGATCGCCTTTTGGGCCAGGTTGAGAAACGAGGAGGTAGAGGGCAGCGAACCAGGGGGCATATGAGACAATCTTGACGATGATAATGACAGGATATGCGAAGAATATCCTGGGTGCCCAGTGCGGGGATGGCACAGCCGACCGACCGTATTGAGCGTGGCTTGGGGGAGAGGGCGCGTCGTAAGAAGAAGCGTGTGGGCCATAGACCGCGCCGTCGGGGACAGTCGCGCCGGGAGCAATCTGCGTGTAAGTGTTCACGACGGCACCACGGCCAATGACGATAGGCTCAAGGCGGAAAAATCCATCACGCTCGATGCAAAAACCGCGCACGAGCGCATTGTCGATGCGACAGCCGTCGTGGAAGGTCAGAAGGTCGTATTCGCCAAGCGTCGCGTTCGAGTCGATGACGACGTTCCAGCTGACGCGTGCTCCAAGCAGGCGGAGATACAACACCTCGAGGTAGGGGTGCCCAGAGAAGATACCGCGGCCGAAGATACGAAGAGCCTGGTTGGTGATCCACCAGCGAAGGTGATAGTTGCTCCAGAAGCGGTACGTCCCCGGCTTGTAGCGGCCGATGATGATCCATTTGACGGCAATGCCAACGATGGGAAGGACAATCCTCGCAAGAAGGCGAGCTCCGATGATAGCTGCCAACAGGGATCCGATGCGCTCCCAGTAGCTGCCATCGATGTAAACTGTGGAAAGCGAGAGGATCATGACAATGCCGGTCCAAGTGAATGCGACCTTGAGAGGATAGAAGAGCAGCGACGTTGCTTGTACGCAAAGCGACAGTACGTGAGTCTGGCTGCGCGTACTGTCCGAAACGGGCTTCTGACTTTCAAGGGAAGGGAGGTCGAGCGTGCTGTGCCCCGGCTTGTCCATGACAGACTCGGCATCGTCGTCGTCATCCGAGCTGTTGATGGCGATTTTCTCGATATCGGGGCGTGCTTGGTTGACGTCCTCGTCCTCGATCAAAGAAGCGATTCCGCTGATGGTACTGTGCGTGAAGATGGAGGGGACGCGCACAGTTACTCCCGTCTCCTTGCGGATCATGTGCGCAAGACGGCCCAAGAGCAGCGAATTGCCGCCTAAGAGGAAGAAATCGCTGTCGCCCGAGATGGACGCAGGGTCCTTGTCCAGAAGCTCCGCGACGATCTTACGGATGACGAGTGCCTGAGAAGACAGGCCGCGTGCGTTGCGACGTGCCATCTCGGCTTCCATAACGCCCCAGTCGACTGTCTTGTCCTGCTTCCTCGCGAGGAGCTCAGAGAAGACATAGAGAGGATTGGGCACGGAGTAACCGGGGACAATCTTCAGCAGCGCGTCGACAATGGAGACGGAATCGAGGCCTGAAGCGGGGTTGATCGCAACGAGCGCTTCGGGGGTACCGTCTTTCTGCAGGCGGACAGCGACTTCCCGGACGCCCTGGAAGCTGGCAATGGCATCCTCGACTGTGGAAACGTCGAAAGAGACAAGCGAGCAAGGGATGGGCGTCGACAAAGGTGCGTTCTTGTCGGGGACAGTCTGAGTCTCGAAGTGACGAACGACGGCAGGCGTCTCGTCAGACATCTCCTCGATGCCAAGACGCTCGGCGAGCTTGATGCGTAGTGGCTTGCCCGCGGCGTTCTTCGGCAAGTCGGGCATGTACACGATCGCAAACGGCCATTTGGAGGGGTGGAGTTGCACTTGCAACAAGTCGATGAGCTCGCCGAGACCGATGCGAGGCGCATCCGGCTGGGGAACGATGACAACGCCGATGGTTTCCTGGAGGACATCGTGAGGAATGGAGAACGCGATCGTGGCCTTCACCCGCCCCGAGGCGAGAGACGTGATGGCCTCCTCGATCTCGAAGGGCGAGATGACCTCGCCACCCTTGTTGATGATCTCCTTTGACCGACCAGTGACGAACAGGTAGCCGTCTTGGTCCATGTAGCCGACGTCTCCACCGTCGAACCACCCTTCAGACGAGAACGCCGAAGTGTCGAGAGGAGCGCCGGGCTCGGTCTCATATCCCTCGAACGTTGGAATGCCGCGAACACAGACAGCGCCGGTAGATCCCCGAGGCATCTCGCGCTCCAAGTTGAAAGGGTCGCGGATAGACATGTGGGGACCGCAAGCGATGCCGGAACAACCCGGGCGGTCGAGTTGATATGTCGTCGGGGGCGAAGCAATAGGCATACACTCCGTCATGCCGTATGAGGGAAGTACGATAGAGCCGAAGGTGTCCTTCACCTGCTGAGCCAGAGTGGGTAGAAGGCCGCCGGCTGCGTTCGCCACCATCCGAATACGGACATCCCTCGAGGGGACTACCGTCTCGGGCATCGATCCCAAGATAGCGTGATGCATTGTCGGCGCAGCATAATACCTAAGTTTGGGTAAGCTCGAAATACTGACGGGAGAATAAGCGAAGCGTACCATGTCGCTCCACAGGCCATTGCGATCGGCCAGAAGGCAGTGCTATCAAAGCCTGGACACATGATGGCGCTGCCGCCGGAGAACACGGGCGCCCACAAGTTGCGGATGATACCACCGACGTGGAACAGCGGCATCATGTTCACTAGTATTCATATGAGTATCATCGCGACTTTAGCGAACCTAGGCTGTATGTACTCACTGTTAACATCATCGTCCCTCAAGTTCCATGACTGGATGACGGCGCAAGTGCCGACGATGAGGGAACGAAGTGTGTACGGAACAACCTAAAAGTAGAGGGTGCCGAGTTAGCCATCACCGTCCATCCTAGCCCAAACTGAAAGGCGCTCACCTTTTTCTTGCCACTCGTCCCAGAGGTGTGTAAAATAAGCGAGAAGTCGGATAGCCCGTTTGGACGCGGTTTGTATACCGAAAGGCGCTTCTGGCGCACGTCCACGGAAGCGCGTTTGTGGCTCACGACGGAGGCGCGCCTTTGGCTTACGACAGAAGCGCGTCTTTGGCTCACGACGGAACCGCGCCTTTGGCGCACGTCCACGTCGTCCGAATCGTCGCCATCCTTCATGATCGTCATGTCGAACAGGCCTGCGGGGCCATCCTCGCGCGCGTGCATGAAAATGACCTCGCACTTCAGCTCCTCCCTCAACTTCCTGAGCTCAAGCCTGTCCGTCGCTTCGGTGGTCGTAAAGACTGCCTTAACACGTAGGCGTGCTGCGTCTTCGGCGATCTCTGCAGAGGTGCAGCTGGAGTTGACGGGGGCGCAGGTATGGTAGGCGGAGACGGCGAGTAGGGCGACGGCGTTCTCGGGACTTGTAGGAAGAACGACCATAACGCGGTCGTTGGGGCCAAGGAGGCCATGGAATCCGGACGTCGGCAGCGCAAAGCCACAGACGAAGCGGCGAAGTGCTGCATGCGACAGCGGCGAACGTGTCGAGTCGGTAGACCAGAGTACGGGGGCCTCGGTAGACGCGAGGCAGTCGAGGAGCGTTGTGATACGTTCGGAGTCGGTGACCTCTTGCGCGAGCTGGTCCCCGAGGGACATACCCTGAGCAGGGTCCGAAAGTTTGCCGAGGAATGACAGAGGAACGGACATTGCGATATAGCGTACGGGGGATCGTTAAGGGCGTGAAGGGAGGGAAAATAGGTGAGGACGACAAGTCATGCGGGCCCTTATATATGTTTTCGACGGCCTGACTGCAAGGGTGAATGCCCCTAAACGGTGGAGACTACTGCCTGGGATCTGTGCGGCGGCGGGTGCGGATAGTGGATACGTTGGTGTCATCGACGGGGATGACTTACCAGAGCGCCGGTATAGTCCGCAAGAATCCGGAGATAAGGTGGTCGAGAGCGATGGTGTGCAGAATTCTCGGTGGCCTTCCGCCCAGCATCGCATGAGGTACCGCGCGTGCCGTGTTTTTGCGGATTGCAGAGTGTCGATCGTGTCGGCTGTGGCTCAGATACGATCTGCAATATGTAAGGCGCGCAGCCGCTTTCGGGATGGCTTCCTCTCTCCCGTGCCATTCGGTACTTGGATTGGAAGGTTGCTTATGCTACTGATTGGGAGGGGGACTGAATGTTAGGGGTGGCCGGAGTATACGATTTTGAATTGACCCACAACTCTAGACGAATTATGATTGTCCACATCGTGGCGAAACCGGGCCTACTTTGACCACCCTTGAAGCAAGGATGGCGTACGCTGCCTGCGATTATCCTCCTTCAAATTCCTAAGCGACGTCCAAAGCCGTATCCTGCGCGAACTACGCAAGTCGATGAACACGGCGCCCGTGTCAGTGTGTTCAAGTGGTGCGCCCGATCGTGAGGTGTCCTAAAGGCGCATCTAGCAAAGACGGTAAATTCGTAAAGCTCATGTCTAGGACTCGTATGACGTTCGACGACGCAAACGCACCTCCCAAAGTTGTCAGTCGATAATCGTGAATCTTCATGTTGCGACACAGGGCCCGAGTGGACCAATGTGAACAGTCGGAGGCGGTCCAAGAAGGGCGAGAGCGGCTTCAGGAAATGCCATGCGGAATCCCGTTCACCGACTTCGAGCAGGAGAGACGATATACCCGCCCCTGCATCCGCACCCGCCCCATAGTCTCGAACCCACCCCCTCTGGCGCTTGCAGACCGTAAGTCTGAGAGGAGATACATGCTACACACGCAATCTGCAATATGTTGTCAACGGAGTTCGGTGTCGGACGGTCCATTGATAGACGTTGATGGATGTCCTCAATAGACGTCCTTCTCGTGTCGACATCCGTGCACGTGACCTCGTCTTCGGCTAAGTAGCAAAGGCAACATTGGCGCCCGTTAGATCCGAGCGTCGGTCAAGATCTGGTCAGAAATGGCATCCGTAAGGGCGCTCCGGTGGCGCCGCGCGCGGCTCCCTCGACCATCGTTACGGTCGCACCGTATCGCGCACGTGCGAACGCGACCGAACGTCCCCACCGCTGAACCTTTCCGCATATATTTGCGCCTCACCAGATGCGTTCCACAAGTTGCATAAAAATGACGAGAGTGGGATTCGAACCCACGCCCGTGAGGACCAGATTACGTAGGTTTAGTAACTACCTTAGTCTGGCGCCTTAGACCGCTCGGCCATCTCGCCATGTCAGAACCGCTGCCGTTGATTAACAACAGAATAACGAAAAGATTATGCAGAATACCTGCTCTCGATTCGGCCTACATAGACAGTGAAGTAGTACTATGCGTCCGCTCGATCATCACCGAACATGATCTTCAGGTTCTCGATGCTTTCCGGATCCGTGTCACGTTTGCCTTTGAATGCCTCTTTGACGATAGCGGTCTTCCGTTTCTGAATCTGCAGAATGCGACCCTCAATGGTGCCAGAAACCTGTTGTTAAGAGGGCTCGTGAGTCGAAGATCAGATCATGTTGCACATACGTCCACGTACGATGAAGTGGGTAACGTAGACCGTCTTCTCCTGGCCGATTCGGTGCACCCGGTCGATCGCTATCTCGAGAGGTCAATGCCGGTGCGAGAGTACTCGCAGTGCTTCCAATGCATACCTTGATTCTCAGTCGCGGCGTTCCACCAGCAATCCATCTGAAAGTCATTAGCGAGGGAGGAGGGTCACATTGCTAGTACTGGCGACTCACCATGAAGACATGGTTGGCGTTGGTCAACTATCACGAACCGTATCAAGCGATGATCATCCTGTGAGCGAAGTTGGGAGCGTACATTCAAACCAACGCCACCAGCCTTCAAGCTGATGATGAGCACCTTAGCCTCACGCGTAGGAGCTTTGAATCCGGACACAGCTTCGTTCCGCTTCTTAACGTCCATCGAGCCGTCGAAGCGGTACCAAAGAAGACCCTCACGCTCCAAGACAATTTGGATCAAGTCCAAGAAAGAGGTGAATTGAGAGAACACCACGGCGCGGAAGCACAGGTCCTGGTCTCTCAGCCGGCCTACAGAATAGTTAGAGACAGGCAATGATCGAGCCAGAAGGTACCTACGGAGATGCTGTACCAAAGCCTCTAGCTTTGTCGAAGACCGGAAATCATTCCGACGTAGAATCACCGTGGGTGCTGGAGCCTCCTGGATATCGCCTGCACCTTCGTTGCTGTTCTGTCTTGAGCGGACAATCTCCAGGAGATCGCTCTCCTATAGAATGTTTTCAGTGGAACGAAAAGCGAGACGAATAATCAAAAGACTCGCCTTAACGGGACCCTTACTGCAAGTCGGGCACTTGCCGTCTTCGCCTTTCTCCCTGCACTTCTCGATGAACGCAATGATGCAGTCCTTACAGCTGCAAATGCGAGATGAGCCATCATCTCATACTTCTTCGCCGCGAGGAACAACAGTACCACTGATGCATGCAATTAGGTAGGATTGTCGGCGTTTCCATCACGTCGAAGCAGATCGGACACTCCGCGTCCTCCTGGCCAAGGTTGGCTAAGACGCCCTCGGCGTACACCTTGCTGTCGCTTACGACGTTCTCGCCCTCGCCAAAACGCTGAATGAGCTCCTTGACGTCGATTGTGCCGCTGCCGTTGGCGGACTTCGGCGCGAGACCACCGTCGCCGGACGAGAGGACCAGGTTGGGGTGAAGGACCGCACGACGCAGCCTGTCATCTGTGAGTCAGTTGAACTGTATGAATTGGACCATATATGGAACATACCGCATGAGCATAGCGAGAATGTGAGTATAGTTCCTGCTAACGAGGCCCTTCTCTTTGAGGTGCTCGAAGTCCTTCTTCGCATCCAAGTACAGCGAGTCGTAGATCTTGCGTTCCAGCGGAGAGAACTCCAACTTTTCGACTTTCACCTAATCATCGCAGTCAGCAACCGGACGTTTTCGGCACGGGCTAAGGATATGCGCGAAATACCTCTTTTGGAGGTAGCTGGACGATGCGCTTCCCATCGGAGTCGAGCATGTCCTTCTCGCGGCGCAAGAGCACGCTCTCGAGAATAATCTGTACGACCTCTACCGCCTTCCGGTCGCGAGCTAGGAAAGGTAGTGTGATGAATCTGTTTGGCTCGTTAGTGGGCCGTGTATGCCAGACAAAGGTTGTACTCACGAGCGGAAGAAGGTATAATTCGACCATGGCGTAAAGTCCAAAAACTTCCTATATCACATTGTGAGGACCCGTCGGCTGAGATGAAGTGAGCGAATGTCGCACAAGAGGGAGTAGAGATCTTCTAGGCGGTTCACAATGGGCGTCCCAGTGACCGCCCACCTTCGCCGAGCCCGCAGCGCGTATACCGCCTTGGCGGTCTTGCTTGTCCGAGACTTGCAATGGTGGGCCTCGTCCAGAATGACGCCTGAAGCAGATCAGTAGAGCAAATTGATATGTCATACACGCCTCTTACGGAGCCATTCGACTGTATATATCAACATGAATGACTTGTACAGGACTGGCTGGCCAGATACGTACCTTCGAATACAGACGAGGGTTGTTTCTCGTGCTTTGCATGCTCGGACACGAGCGTCCCGTAAGACGTGATAACCACGTTCGTCGCGCCCTCCCCGTCTACCGCGGCATCCAAGTCCAGCCTGTTCATGCCATGCCAGACCAGCACCCTCAGGGTATCTGGCTTGCTTGATCGCTGCAGCTCCTCCGCCCACTGCGTGAGGAGGGAAGTGGGCGCGACGATCAGGGTCGCCGATGGCCCTTTGCGTTGCTGTGGTAGAGGCTTCTCCATTACGCGGAAGGCGTTGTTCAGTCTGAGCTGCTTGGCTCTGGAAGAGCTTGCTGAGTCGTCGGCTGGCGTCTCGGGTTCGCGGGCGGTCTGTATGAGGGCGGACAGCATGATCGTTTTGCCCATGCCCACTATTGCAGAGCTTCAGTCAAAGTGATGCCTGCAAAGAGGATATAAACTTACTCTCTAAACGGAAGGAGTCCAAGGGAGGAGATGCGATCAGTATAAAGCTATGCGTATAGCATGTCTACCATCCCTACCGTCACTGCGAGAGACGCAAGTAACTAGTGTGAGAAACTAAGACATGCGCGAAAACGAGACACTCACGCAAGGATACCGCCTTTGCACTTACGTTCCGCCTTCGGAAACTCGAGGCTGAGTTCGCCTGAGTACTCATTGAAATAAAACGATCGTTCATCCGCGGTGAGATCTATCATGTCATCATTTGGGTCGAATGGGAATGGGTATCTAGTGCATAGATGAGTGTTCGCCATGTCGATGACCTGGGCTCCAGCTCACTCTTTCCATAAAGGATGCATTGATTGTGCTTCTCGCGCTGAAGCGGCGCCTGTTTCGATGGAATGCATCCACCTGTGGGATTTTGAGACGAAGCGACGACGGGACGACAGACTTTGACTTACAATAGCGCCTGCTTCTGGTATCCTCGCAATTTGAGCGTGAAGCTACCAGCAGGCTCCATCTCACCCATCTGTCTGTCATTCTGCTGCGCTCTGCAGACGTGGTTAGATACTCGTGGGCCCACAGTTACATATTCGCCTACTTCTTGTAGATGAGGTTGATCTGCTCCTCCGTAATGTCTCCCTCGTCCTCGTCCTCGTCGTTGCCAGAAGACGTCTTCTTCACAGCCATCGGTTGCTGTTGGGTCAACAACTCGAGCTCGCGTTGGTACAGCCCACTACGACCGCCGACTGTGTGATTTCCTCTGCGCGGTTTGAGGTTGATACGCTTAAAGAGACTGGTGAGCGACTGCTTTCGTTCTCTCAGGATCTGCTCGGCCTCCGTCTCTTGACCCTCATCGAACATGTCTTTGGCTTTGTCCTCGGAGGGGTACGAAGGCGGACGGAACGCGCTCGGTTTGATGTATATTGACAAGGAGAGTATTAGGTCTGCGCCCGTCGTGAGCTTCGTCGGGCATTCAACCATGGTGCATCTCCGGAACTCGACGATATCTGCTTGCAACATCAGCACAGCTGCGATAAAACTGTCACAGAAGAGACTTGCCTAAGTCAAGGAGCCGCGAGACCCAAGACGCGACCTCCTGGGGTAATCGACCAAATTCTAGACAATTGTTACCCTAAGGCGCTTGATACTCATAGCCGCATACAAGCATACCGAACCCCCTGGTATTGGTTATTCGTACGACGGAATTTTGTTTCTTCTTCGCCGTGGGCTTTGCGGGCGCGGGTTTGAACATGTTAGCAATCGTCAACTGCTTCTTGCCGTCAGCTCCCTTCTTCGCAGGTTTCTTGGGCGGTGGCGGTGGGGGCCTATCCACCTCTTCACGTTCAATGAGAATCTCTTCTCCAGGCTTGATGTAACCGGTGCCTTTGACGGTGCTCCAAGCGTTGTCCACCAGGAAGTAGCCGAGGTACATCGAGCTGGATTGCACTGATGAGCTGTGTGCAGGGGACGAAACCTTGCGCTTCTTCGCTAATGGACCTCCGACTTTTGCAGACTGCTCATGCACTCCTGCTACTGCTATGTCGGGAGAAGACTGCCGTTTCTTTTCGTTTTGCTCAGAGGACGCATCGCTGGAGACGCTTGAGGCACGTGGGACGTCTACGAACTCTGGCATCTCCACATCGAGCTCGATATCTCCATCGTCGACGTCTACATCAGGTAGTGGAAGGGTGCGTTTGACACTGTAGTTCGTGGGCTCGTCGTCGTCACTGTCAGCAAAGAAAAGGGGTCTTTGGGTGGGAGACCGATGTTGCGTAGCCGCGGCAGCAGAGTCATGGGAAGGTTCCACTGTAGCGTCGGCCGGAGTGTGTGTCTGTGCATCGTTCATGTCTTCGTCATCTGAGCCTGCAAAGAACATAGTGCTTTCGTTGGTGGCCATGTCAGCGGAGGAGTTGGGAGGAGGATGATGGGAGAAACGCGTCGAGACGCGTCTGAGTCGCGTCAATAATCGCCGCCACCGACGCGGCCCCGACGCGTCAACAGAGCCAAGCACGGGAGGGACGCTCAGATGGGAAGCTTGTTCCCACGGATAGGTCGGGATAGTCGAGAAAGCAATCGAAGATCTGGTCAGACCTCCATCCATCCTCGTATTTGTCCCTATCCATCATCAAAATGCAGCGAGGGCTTCCAATGGTGTGTCACAGTCGTGTGTATAAGGGACGGAAACTCACACCGTGCTCAGCAACCTACCGTGGTCCTTCTCAAGGAGGGCACGGACACCTCGCAAGGAAAACCTCAGCTGCTCTCAAACATTTCCGCATGTCTTGCGATCGCGGAGACCCTCGCGAGCACCCTCGGCCCTCGCGGAATGGACAAACTGATTGTGAACGAGCGTGGAGAGGCTCAGATCACCAACGATGGCGCGACTATTCTCAAACTCCTAGACATCGTTCACCCCGCCGCGCGTACACTCGTGGACATCGCTCGGGCACAAGACGCGGAGGTCGGCGACGGCACCACAAGCGTTGTGCTCTTGGCTGCGAGATTGTTGAAGGAGGTCAGAAACTATATCGAGGAGGGTGTTAGCCCGCACATCATCAACAAGGGCTTCAGGAAAGCGTCGGAGCTGGTATGTACATTACGACTTTCCACCATCTCCGCATTCGCTCATGGCTTCCATAGGCCATAGAGCACATCAAGTCCGTTCAGATCACCGTGGAAAAGTCAGATCCTGAGTGCGTCCTGAGTTTGCACTTCCTCTAGCTACACTCTCACTGGCGCGGTCGTAGGCAATTCCGCTCGCTCCTCCTCAAATGCGCGTCTACCTCCATGTCCTCCAAGCTCATCCACTCAGAGAAGCCGTTCTTCTCCAACATGGTCGTCGAAGCCGTGCAGTGCCTTGACGAAGAAGACCTGAACGAGAACCTCATCGGCGTGAAGAAGGTCCCTGGCGGTGGTATGCAGGACTCCCTCCTCGTCCGCGGCGTTGCCTTCAAGAAGACGTTCACATACGCCGGTGCCGAGCAGCAGCCAAAATCATTCCGCAACCCCCACATCCTGAGTCTGAACGTCGAGCTCGAGCTGAAGGCAGAGAAAGACAACGCGGAGGTCCGGGTAGAGCACGTCTCAGACTACCAGGCGATCGTCGATGCCGAGTGGGAGATCATCTACCGCAAGCTAGAGGCGATCGAGAAGACGGGTGCGAAGGTTGTTCTCAGCAAGCTCCCAATCGGCGATCTTGCGACGCAGTGGTTCGCGGACCGCGACATCTTCTGCGCGGGTCGGGTGCCTGCAGATGACCTCCAGCGCGTCGTCCAAGCCGTCGGCGGTTCAATCCAGTCCACCTGCTCCGACATCAAGCGCGAGCACCTGGGAACCTGTGGCTTCTTCGAGGAGAAGCAAATCGGCGGCGAGCGCTACAACCTATTCACGGAGTGCACGAAGGCGAAGACGTGCACGCTGGTGCTTCGTGGGGGTGCCGAGCAGTTTATCGAAGAGGTTGAGCGCAGTTTGCACGACGCTATCATGGTGGTCAAGCGTGCAGTCAAGAACGGCGACATCGTAGCGGGAGGAGGCGCCATTGAGGTACAGTACAGTCGGTTTGTCAAGACACCGGCATTGGCTGACAATTTTCTTCGTACCTGAAATGCAGCTGGACATAGCGTCCCGTATCCGACAGCATGCCTTGTCCATTCCGGGCAAGCTCCAAATGGTAATGATTGCTTTCGCGAAAGCGCTCGAAGTCATTCCGCGCCAGATCTGCGACAACGCAGGTCTGGACTCGACGGACATCATGAACAAGCTCCGCGTAAAACATGCAAACGGGGAGAAATGGTACGGCGTCGACGTTGACGGTCCCGAAGGCATCCGAAACAACCTCGATGCGTTCGTTTGGGAGCCGAGTCTGGTCAAGGTGAACGCGATCAATAGCGCGACGGAAGCTGCATGCCTTATCCTTAGCGTCGACGAGACCGTGCGGGCCCCACAAAGCGAAGCGGTAGGTGCATCTGTGGTTCCGTGGGCCGGAAGACCGCTGATGCGCTATACGTTGTATAGCAAAATCCAGGACCAAGGGCTCCTCCAGGCACGGCACAGCGAGCTCTCCGAGGTAGAGGACGTGGGATGCCAAGGCGGTGAGGGAATAGCAAGCTGCAATGGCGAAATGTGTAGATGTATCGATGTCACTCACGCATTTTTGTGTCTTCGGTCGAGTGAACGTTTTTGCTGCCTCAGTCTGAGTGGTGGGCATGCCACGATGCTCTGGAACGATAAACCACAGTCGCGGGTTGGCGCAGCATTACGGCTCGCGTAAAAACGTAACAGCCGCGATAACGGGCGGTTAACCTGTTTGTGCTTCGCCTTGGGAGGAGATGTCGCCATCGCGTGGTGTAACACGCAATACTGACCGACGCTTGTCATACACCCACTCCATGTCGCAGCGTTGATATCATCCCCGGATTCCCAGCGACTCCTTCGGAAGGCGCTGTGCCGTGAACGCTGCTATAAAAACAGATAAGCGAGAGAAGCATGGGGCTTGCAGTCTCACCGGTTGCTCCTCCAGGTGCCCAGGCTTCAGGTGTCCGTCATGTCTACGGTACCAAGCAAGTCGCTATACGTCGCCAAGGATGTCTCGGATTCCGACTCGGGTTCCGACAAATTCAGCCCCGCCGAGAGTGTCCTCGAAGTCCCGACGGTGGGCGGCCCCGTCCCGCTGAAGGAGACGCGCTCGTTCTGGCGCAAGCCGAAGCACGAGCTGGACAGCATCGCGACTCAACCGTCGGTCTTCGACGATCCCGTCACGCTCGAGCTCTACCGTCCGCCTGCAATCTGGGAGAACGCGCATCGTTTCGACCCTTCCGCGCGGTGGACATGGCGGGAGGAATACGTGAGTGTCTCCTGCTACCTCCTCTCACCTGGGCTTCATACCCGTATTGCACGCGTCTGACATCGCGCTTGTGTCTAGCGCATTGTCCGGAAGATTGACCTCCTCATCATGGTCTGGGCCTTCATCATGTTCTTCAGCCTGGATCTCGACCGGTCCAACCTGAGTCAAGCGAACACGGACAACTTCCTGGGCGACCTCAAAATGACGACGAACGACTTCAACTTGGGTAACACTCTGTTCAAGGTAAGCGTCCGATCGGTGTGACCTGTGATATAAAGTTCCCTGACGTGGAATATAGTTGTGCTTCTTGATCGCCGAGCTACCTTCGCAACTCGTCTCGAAGCGCGTCGGCCCAGATGTCTGGATTCCCACTCAGGTATGCCGATCTCGGCCCTATGAGAGAGAAGCACGAGCTCATGCTTCGTAGATGGTCCTTTGGAGCTTCGTCTGCCTTTCTCAGTTCTGGCTGACTGGGAGAGGCAGCTTCCTCGCGACCCGGTAGGTGCACTTGTCAGTGTCGCATCCCATCCGCTAAACATGATGCAGTTGTCTCCTTGGCTTCATGCAAGGAGGCTTCATTCCTGATGTCATCCTCTACTTATCGTACTTTTATACTAAGACCGAGCGTGAGTCTCTGTTGACATCCCCTCCGTCTATCTCATCCTTACAGACTTTCCGCGGTCTAGTGCCCCTTCGCTTGGCCTGGTTCTGGGTGTCGAACTACATGGCTGAAATCATCGGTGCCTTCTTGGCGACCGGTCTCTTACGCCTGCGTGGTGTCGGTGGCAAGGCTGGGTGGCGATACCTGTTCCTCATCGAGGGTATCCTGACGTTAGTCATTGGTATTGCGTCGTTCTTTATGATGCCCCCGAGCCCGACGCAGACCAAGGCATGGTTCCGGCCTAAGGGTTGGTTCACTGAGCGGTACGTTACATGCCCTTTGCTTCAATCTACTGGCTGGCTTTATCTCACTATTCGTAGCGAGGAGGTCATCATGATCAACCGCGTACTTAGGGACGACCCAACAAAGTCAAACATGCATAACCGCCAGGGCCTTACGATCAAGAAAATCTGGAACATTCTTAAGGACTGGCGCATGTGGCCCATCTACTCGCTAGGAATTGTCTTTATGGGTACGATTCCGTGCCATGCATCTTCGGCCTGACTCTCACTCGGGTGTTCCAGTTCCGGTCACAACGCCACAGACTTACCTTACGCTTTCATTAAGACATCTGGGATATAGCACAACGCAGTCGAACCTCCTCAGTATTCCCTCCAAGGTCTTGGGCATGCTCCTTCTACTCCTATTCTGCTACTTCTCCGAGGTCATCAACAGTCGAATCAGCGTCCTCGTCCTGTTACAGCTATGGGCGCTGCCTCTGCTGATTGCCCTCTACACCTTCACATCGCAAACCTCGCAGTGGGCGTACTACGCTGTCGTCACCCTCATCGCCGGTTTCCCGTATGTGCATCCCGTCCAGGTCGCTTGGGCTTCCACGAACTCTGCGGGCGTCGGCACGCGAACGGTCTCTGCGTCCATATACAATATGTTCGTGCAAGCAGGTGGTATCGTAGCTGTGAGTACGCTCTCGGGCGATATACCCCCGCCTCCCCACTGACTGCCGGCATTGGACTATTAGGCCAATATCTACCGTGATGACGACAAGGTACGTTTGACAGTTCTGTACGGCATGCTTCAAATACTGAGTGCTGCGCCCTGATTTCCAGCCGCTTTGTACGTATCGTCGTGTGAACCTCTGAGACATTGCCTACTTCGTGCTAATTCTGGGACAGATAAACGCGGAAACCGGGTCCTCATCAGCATCGCTGTCTTGAACCTTGTTCTCTACGGTCTCACGTGGCTCTTCTACCGTGGCATCAACAAGCGCAGAGACAGGATATGGAATGAGTGGACTGCAAAGGTCTGGAAAGCTCATCGTCTCCTCTCCGACGATTCCCTGACACGATTGAACAGGAACAACACGAATATCTGGAAACGACCAAAGACGAGGTATGTTTGAGCACTCTCGTGTCTCCAAATGCCGCACTGACCTCACATACGTACCAGGGCAATGCCAAGATGAACTTCCGTTTCGCTTACTGAGGGCCACATTGTTGTATTGTTAGCTTCATAGATCCCCGTACTTGGATAACAGCACATTTACTGCTGCCCGAATCAATCTGACCGTCTGACCTTGATGCTTGTTCACGGGGAACGGAAGTCCCAGCGCCAACGATCAGCATCCATGCTACGGCAGACGGATTGAGAGCCGGGGGGTGCCTGACAGTGTGTCTTCCTATACGACAACATCAGAGGGTCGAGCAGAACACATCGAACTAAAAAGACGTCTCAGCCGAGAAGATTCAAGTACTCTTCAATAGGAAGGATATCTCCAGCTCGTAAGGGAGAGGTCGCTATACATTTACTCCGATTCGTCGGTAGCGGTCTCAGTGACCTGCATAGTCAGTCCAGAGAAGTCAAGAAGCGCAGACGCGGCCTGATCCTCAGTATCTCGCTCGATTGCCCGTTCCCGAAGTACGCCCCACTGGACCCACCAGTCGTCAGCCTCGTCTTCGCAATCGTATCCAAAGGTCGTGCGGATTTGGTCCCAAAGACGGCTAACGTCCCCGGCCAGGCCCTCCAGCACGTTGTGAGCCCCTTCGGCGGCCTTGGCGCGCATGCCGCTATCGCGCGTCCGCGACTCCTCGCCGTCTTCGAGTGTCATGTAGAACACGTTCCCGAACTCGCCCGCCCGGGCGGCTCGTGTGCGGGCCTGCCGCAGCTCTTGGAAGGCATAGAGGAAGTCTTGGATCTGTCTATTCTCTGACAGATGGGAGAAAAGTTTTGCGAGGACGGCTCCATCCTCGACGGCCATAGCAGTCGCCTGGATCGTCCCAGGCTAGGATTGGCGAGTCGGTACTACATCTGGAACTGCTGCAGCGGGGAGACGTACGGGGAAGGGATGGGCTGCTTCACCGATGACGACGAGTGGCCCATCGTCTGATACCCAGTCTTCGATGTCGTCATGTGCCCGGACGGAGACGCGAATGGCTTTGCGAGCCTTCTTCATGTGTAACCGGAGCCTGGGGACGAGCCTGTCGGCACTCTGATACGACAGCAATATGGACAGGAAGAGCACACACCTTACGTCCAATTCTTCCGCAATCTCCGGGACGTCTACTGAAGGCTCGTCTCCATAATTTCCCGTTGCATTGTCGGGACCATAGAATTGCAGAGCGATTTCATCTGTGTCATGCTGGCTGCTTGTGTCAAATGAAATAGGCAGATTTGTCGCCAACTGACGCACGATCGGATATGCAAGCAGGGCATGTCTGTGGCCAAAGGCGGTGAAGATGGCATTCTGACATATACGTAAGCTGTCGAAGTGCCTGCAAGTGTTAGGATGCGCTTACATCTTTCCAGAGCGACTGGACGTGTTCTTTGAGATCGTCGCTTGAAATGACTGTACTGGAATGTGAATCAACAGGACGACACGAAAAAGGAGTAAGGCGTAGATCACTCACTCGTACATTACGACTCCCGTCGGATGGCCATTGACGGACTGGCCCACTACGGTTGCTCTGGACACTCCGTATTCGCCATCGGCGCCGACGAGTACGTCTCCGACCAGCTTCTCTCCATTTTCGAGGGTAACCTCTCGATTCTCGACATCGATGTCAACGACGTTGGCGCCGTACCGCACTTGTGCCCCAAGTTCGGTTGCTCTGTCGTATAAAATGTCGTGGAGATCGTCATGCTATTACGAGCCGGATTGGTAACCAGTTCGATCGATCACTCAAACGAACACCCACTGTGCACAGCATGTAATCGCCTCGCGTCTCTTTCAGTATGCCTGTATCCCAAACGTGTTCCCCGAGATAGTCGCCCGATTCGTCTGCCCATCGCTTCATCCAACCGAGAACGCAAGACGTAAATTTAACGTTGCACACTCACATCTCATAAACGTCATCGTATGGGAGACGAGTGCTTTCTGCATTAGGGCGGGTTTCAAGCCCCAATGAAAGAGGATTTTGGTGAGGTTTGGCGGCAGTCGCACGCCACCAGAGCCGCGCTGGGGAAACCCGGAACCACCGACTCAGTACGGGCCAGCGCACAAAAGATAATGACGGCTCACCACGGATCCCCTCTCTCCCTTCTCCAATACCAACGCATTGTGTCCCACCCGTCGCAAGGCTGTTGCAGCTGCCAACCCCGCGATACCTGTCCAAAAGGAGTGAGATAAACTCCTAGGGGTATCCGAGTGGGGGTTATGAAGGGTCGCGTACCTCCACCTATGATAAGAAAATCGAGAGCATGACTGGTCTGTAGTGGAGGGCCTGACTTAGTCGACTAGGAGTTGGGGAGATGGGAGTATTGGCTCGACCGCAAAGCTCATCACAGGACAGACGGGCTTACCTCGGCACTCATAGGAGCCTAGGAAGGGAAGTGGTACAAAAAATGATGGGCAGCATGCCACGAGCACGATACGCACTAGCCCCAAGAGACCTGGGTTATATCACCGGGGTCAGTCGCTGTTAGTGACTCGGAACCAAATCAGCAGGGGTCTGGACAAAAGACGCATCAGACCTGCCGTGAGGGAGCATGCGCTCTCCGATGAGATGACGGAGCATCAATAACAACATCGGGCGATGTCGCGGCTAAAGCTAAGCGAATGAAATACATACTTTGAGATTCGGGGGATGGGGCCCGGAGGCTAGGGCTCGGCGTCATGGAAGAGAATGAATGTTCGACAGATTTCGAAATAGTGAAAGATTGCCAAGATTTTGGGGGAGTCTAAGGATTGCTATAGGCAGAACAGATGGTGCCCAGTGCACTGCCAAGAGGCCCGGTCACGCAGACCTTACAGTAGAGTCGAAAACTTGTCATAATGGCTCAGGACAAGTTCAAGGTGGCCTGAGGTCTCATCGACCTCTAGACTTTCGAACTTTGCATCCGCAGCGTTCCCAGTCCGGTTCGGCAATCGGGTCGGTCGGCGAGATAAGTTTGCATGATGCTTACTTACTGCATCGCAGCAAGCTCGTCAGGTCCTCCGCTGTCCTCATCAACGCTTGCACTTTCCTAACCTACTGCGCTTTACATGACTTTTTGACACGGCGTTTGACAACCCGTAAAGGGTAAGCGCCTGTCACATATGCGCCGTGACTTTCCTTGGTTGGGCCGTACGAGAAGAGATTCTGAGGCTACCTGAGTGGAAGAAAGGCGCAAAGAGTATCAAGGACCCAGCTATATGGCCATGAGAGTGTTTTACTGGCCATAGCGTGCCAAAAGCCGAAGGCGTTCAGTACTTGGCATCAAGAGATATGTAGACGCCGAAACATCTGCGTGTCCACGGATATACTTATGCAAAGCGCAGTAACTTGGGCCATTACGTAAAGAGGAGGCCCTCCAACCCAAAAGTTTATGAGAGGCAAGCCTGCTTGATGGCCAGCGATGGTTACTGAAAATCTTATCGGAAGACAGGTCTGTTCGCGGCCTCACTTATGTAGCAGACTATCCCACTATCGCCATCCCTGTCCGCTATGGCCGCTCCGGGCCCTCGCATTGACATTCTTCACTAGGCTCCCTCTCTGTTATCATTTCTAATCGTCTTTCCCTCCACCGAAAGCGAGACACCACGCCGCACGCCGCTTGTCCGAAGATGCTACGAACAATTCTCTCCTTCTCCATCTCCGTCAGTGCCTCTTCCAATCCTCTTTTCTATGGCCCCATTTGATGCGGGTGGCGTCGACACAATCTCAACACAAGCCATTTGAAACATGACGACGATCGGTCCCCGATCTCTCGCATTCAGGATCACGGGCGAATCGCTTGGCGCCGTCGAAGAGCGCAGTCGGAGCAGACTCTTCCGTTGGTTACTCAACGATAACTTCCATTACAGCGCCTTTCAAAACAACAGGCCACTTGGAAAGATTCTGCTCAGGTTGGGTGAAGACCCGAGGCAGAGGCGAGCGGGATCCGCCACTCTCAATGCTCAAGGGCACCTCTTCGGATGGGCATCTCGATTGTCAGATGACCTGATATTGGACTTGAGAACTGACCGGCCGAAGTATGGGTCTTGTGAGAGGGCCTACAGTATCATTTTGAGAAACGCTAGCAAGAGATTCCCGATATATTCCGAAGATAACAGATTAGGTCCGAAGTAGTATAGTACAGAACGAGCAGATCCACGCTATGCAGGAACGGACGCAGCGTCCGCCTGCGGCTCAGGCGGGGAAACGTGGCCGCCCCTACGTCTCCTCTTCAGAACAGAGCGGCGCTTCGCAGCCTTGACGCGCTTCAGGCGATCCTTGACATCTACGAACTTCACGCCGACGTCGACAAAGCGGATGGTTGGCCGTCCCGGTCGCTCAAGCACGACGTCGGGCTCGGTCTCACTTTTGAGGTGACGTAACCTCTTCAGCAAAGCCGTCTCTTCCGACTGCTTTGAGTTCACCCCGTCTACTGCTGCACGAGCAAGGCTCGTAGGCAAGATCGGGTTCTGCAACAAGAAGCTCATGAGACGGAGCAGCATCGGGATGAACAGAAAATGTTTACCTTGCCTTCCACTACAGGCTCCCAGAACATCCGCTGATAACGCGCACGCGCGAAGTCTTTGGTCGCTTCCGAGAGCTCATCAGCTTCAACAGCGTTCTCGCCAAGCTCCTGTCCACCAGTGCGACGCCCGGTACGCATGGAGGTTTGCTTCTCTGTGACACCTAGCGCGTACTCCATGCCCTTGAGGAAGCCAGTTTGAAGCGGCTTGTTCTTAACAAATAGTCAGTAAACCGTCCCGTAAACGAGGCAGCTCAAAGGCTCAGATGGGGTTGAAAAGAGATGAAACCAGAATCCGGCGTGATGTAAGGCACACCGGACGTCTTCCAATTCGCGAATGATGATGTATGTCTCATCGTGCAAGGAGAGATTAAAGACTTTACTGACCTCCTGCACGACACGACGGGCAACGGCGACTCTCGTTAGCAAGACTTCAGCAGGGGGTAACATCGCACAGTACCTAGCAAAGAGGGGATAGGTCAGTATATGTTGACACGGTATATCATGCTGCGACATAAGTTCAGAAAGCCATGCATGTAAGTTTGTCTAACCATATGCCCGGAGGCATCTTAAAGACTAATCGATTTAAACTCATCCTCTAGAACGCCGCAACGCGTGCGAAAGGGCAACAAGAACGGGACACGAACCTTTTGCCAATGCTGCTCCAGACCCTTCAACCGCAGGATAGCGTCGACGCGCGCGATGCTCAAGCCATGTCGCTGCGCAAGGATACGAGGGTTGAACACCTCCGGGTCCGCGATGAAGTCGTTCCAGATAGCAGTCCGGATCGAGTCCGAGATGGGGGTAGGCGGCTTGAATGACGGGTTCAGCGGGAACGGCTACACGTCGCGAGAACGGCGCGCGCACGGTCAGCGAACGCGTCCCCCACCAACAAGCAAATAAGACGAACTCAACTACTTGTCCCCCAAGCCAGTTCTTCGGCCGGTGCGCATCCTTGTACTTGATGCCCTCGGTCCTCAGCCACTGCGCATAGGTCGGGCCAGACTTAAACGGGTCCTCGGGACCACCCTCGGATTTCTGGGCGTAACGTCTACGCGGGGCCGCAGCGAGACATGCCCGTGCGGTGGTGGCAGCCTGTGTCGCGGGGCGACGCGAAGCCTGGGTAAGATGAGCGAGCATTGCAAGTACCGCTGGCAAATTTTGACCCATTTCTTCGGTCTGTCACGTGTGGCTTTAGGGGAGGCTCTCAAGCGTGTGCCCGACTGCGTCTTCAGGCGCTCAACCGACCCCACCCTGATCGCAATGCAGCCATGTCGGCCTCGCTCTTCGACGTCCTGCGCGCATATGCGACCTTGCAGCCTCCGAAGGGCATAGAGAAGCCAGACGTGCCTTTCGCCGCAGCGCACGAGTTCCTGCTCAAACATCTGCTCCTGAACCCCCACTTTGACAACTATCCGCCCTCAAGACAGTACCAGATCAAATTCTGGAAATGGGCGATCGAATGGCTAGAAAGCCTGATGTCAGACGAGGCACGAGGCCCTCTCATTCGCTTCTGTACCCCGCCTGATAGCGTCTGAAGGACGAGCTCGACGAGCGCATGTACACACACCATGTCGAGTTGATGTCGGAGGAAGCCATAGCGTCGTACGTCCGCGTACAATCTTCCTCGTGGGGATAGGTTGACGCGAGCGCATATACAGCAAAGGCGCAGGGTCGGCAGGGCCGACGCCGTCGTACATGACATACCTATGGCCTTCGGGGGACTCCGCGTCCGTCGGAAGGCCCGTCTATCCCGGCTGCGCTAGCGCGACGTTGCTCGAGTCGCGCACGATCACCGAGGGCGGGACGACAGGCTTGAGAACCTGGTCGGCGAGCCTGATCCTGGGGCAGCACATGCTCTCCCACCCAGGTAGGTCGTACACCGCGCGATGTTTCCGTTTCCTGACCCACGTTCACGCTACGTGCAGAGCTCGTAAAAGGGAAGAGAGTCCTCGAGCTAGGGTGCGGTTCTGGCTTCCTGGGGGTCGTGACCGGCTCCATCCACGCCTCAGCGGACGGTTCGTCGCTATGGCTCACGGATATGAATGAGTCGGTGCTCCAACGCTGCAAAGTCAATATGAGGTTGTTCTGTAGTATGTATACCCTGGCCTTGTTCTCCGGCGCATGCTCATCAATCGTGCAGATCAGTCCCATACACATCCAGACCTCAACTTCGAATTACTGGACTGGTCCGACGCACTCAGTCCTCGCAAACGGCCTGCATTGGAGGCATTCTTCCGCCGAGCTCGACCCGACCTCGTGTTGGGAGCTGATTTGGTAGGTCCCTAGCTATAGCGTAATCTAAGCTAGGCTAGAATTCACCGCTGGAGCCAGGCGTATGATCCCTCCATCATTCCCCCGTTGGTCAATATTTTGGCAGCTGCCCTTCAGAGTGGAGACGGGGGTCCGGGACCGACCGCGTACATCGCGGTGACTGTGCGCAACGAAGAAACACACTCAGATTTCCTCCGCCAGGCCAGTGAGTCGCCGCTCATCGACTGTATCGCGGCCAGGCGTCCCAAACATCCTGAGCGATCTCTTCACAGAACAGCTGCTTTCAGTCGAGGACACACACACATTCACGGTCGCGGAGAACATCTTCACGAGGACCGCCGAGCTCGGCCAGGACGCGTCCCAAGCAATCAGACTATACAAGTTCGGACGCAAACCGTAACACGTACGACGATGTAACGGGCTAGACAATCACGCTACTACCCACCTTCAGGGCTCGCAGTCGGCCCACTCCTCGAGTTCGGGATCCGACAGCCAGTCCACGATCTGACGAAGGCGCCCCCCTTCTACCAGCGCGCGCCAGTACTCTGCGTCCCTGTCTTTCACGTACTGACGTCCATATCGATCGTCAGCACAGAAATGTGAATAAAAACCTAGGATGGAACCGACCTTAGCAAACGCGTCCCGCAGCCGCGCAGCGTCTCCCGGCGACGCCAGCCAATACTTCGCCATCGTGCCGCCCGCCCCCTCGCGCGGGTCGAGCGCGCCGTCGTACCGGATCCACCGCGGGTACTGCGCCGCGAGGACCGCAGGGAGGACGGAGTGGAACTCCCAGTCGACGATCCCCGCCACCTCGCCCTGCGCGCCGACGAGGACGTTCGTCTCGTTGAGGTCTTCGTGGACGAGGATGCTCCTGCGAAACGGGCTTTCTGCCACGCGCGAGCAGGCCCCAGGGAGCAGCGCGGCGACGCGGTCGATGGCGGCGCTCGCCCCAGGGGAGAGGGGCGCGGCTCGCCGTCTCTGCTCGACGAGCGCGTGCGCGAACTCCTCGAGGGTGGCGTAGACCTTGTCGGCGCAATAGCTCTCCCTGATCACGGCCCGCGGAGTGACGTCCAGAGCGTCGCCGGCGGGGCAGAGGGTGCCGATGCGGCCTTGAGGCACGTCCAGCCGGAACAGCGCCAGAGCGTGCTCGGCGTAAGACAGGACGGCGCGCTCCTGCGTCGCCGCGGCGAGATGAGTCGAGGGCGCGGAGATGAAGCGAGAAAGCGCGCGTGCTCGCCTTCATGGAGTACGGCCAGTCCCCGAAGACGTTCAGGATGCACTCGCCCGGCATCCTCTCCATCGCCACGAACGTCGCCCCGAAGTTGTAGATCTTTGGCACGGGGACGGAGGAGTGCTCCCTGAGCCACCGCATCACCCCGACCTCGCACTCGAACCTCTTCCGCGCGCGGTTCATATCGCGGGGCGCAGGGTGATCGCTCAGCACGCGGACGATCCTCCGCGCGCCATCCGCGAACTCTATGTCCAAAACCTCAACACAGACAGAGTGCGAACATGCTTCGTGTGAGCTGCGAGCCTCGGGGGCGGTGACAGAGGGCGCACCAGGCTTCTGCTGGTGTCGAGTCCGCAGACGTCCATCTGCCTCGCGTTGATGGAGAGCGCGGCCTCGACGCGCTCTAGGGCAGCCCGGTAGGGCTCGTTGAGGGTTTCTCCGGGGATCCAGTGGAGGAACGAGGAAGGGTATGTCTCGAGTCGCACCGAGTTGCCGTCGCGATCCCAGTAGGTGCAGAGAGGCATCGTGTGTCGCCGGAGGAACAGAACAGGTATTTTTGGGGAATAGCAGAGGCAGCTAGTTGTACGCTCCTTGTTCTCTTATTAGAGCGTGCTACGTCGTATGATGGGGATCAAGCATTGTGGCTGGTGGAGGCGTGTTTGGCATGAGATGGGCTTGTGTGGGTGCACGGCGGATGCAAACGAGAGGATGGGGATCCGAACGCGGGGACGGACACGGGTGGCGGGAGGACGCGTTCTGGACGATTCGGGTCTTTAGTGAGCACGTGGGTGACGCGTCTGTGGCTGTAGTCGGAAGGATAGGCCTAGTGCTATGTTCTGTGCCCGCGAGCGTGCGTAGCGCAGTGCCCCTGAGTGCTTTATATATACCATTGCTCAACCATCTCTCAACTTCGCTTCCCATACACCATGCCCGACGTCTTCGTGCAGTCCTTCACCCATCTCAACGACAAGCCTAATGCCGACCAGGCGCTCGACCTACTACAACGCATAGCTTCTCTCGTCAAGCCCATCATGCGCAAGCATGCCTGGGTACTACCTGTCCTCTCAGAGTTCTTTCCGGAGGACCCCAATCTACTCGGTCAGTCGCCACTCGGTCTTTTAGTGGTCCCTGTTCGCGGAGTATTGACGTACACACCCCACCTTTCTCCCACAGGTCTAAGTGAGCACACCCATTTGAAGTCCCCCAGTCCACAAATCGCTCACGCCCTCCAGATATTAACGGCGGTGAGAAGATTTTGGTGCGTCTCCGGCTCCCACATGCCCCAGACACCTTCCTCCCCGAAGACTCCGTGGTCGGCACTATGCTCCATGAGGTCAGTCCCTCCCCCGTTTCTGTTCCCCCCTCCGCCTTCCTCGGCACCAAGCGGCCCCTCCAGCACCCACTGACGCGCATACGCGGGACGCAGCTGACCCACAACGTCCACGGCCCTCACGACGCCGCGTTCTACAAATTCCTCGCCGGCCTCGAAGACGAATACGACGCCCTCCGCCGCTCCGGCTGGTCCGGCGAGGGCTTCCACGCCGCCGGCCGCCGCGTCGGCGCGAACGTCTCCCACAACCTACCCCCGCACCTCGCCCGCGCCAGGGCCGCACAGGCCGCGGAGAAGCGCAGGCAGCTCTCCGTCGTCCTCGGCTCGGCCGGCCGGCTGGGAGGGGGCCCGCGCCGCCCGAACAAGTCCCCGCGCGAGCTCGCCGCCGAGGTACGTCGTCTGATCTTGGCCGCGTTTGGGGTGGTGGGGCGGCCACGCTTCCTTTAGACGAGCAGAGCAGCTGATGGCTGATATCGCGTCCTTCTTTCGCACCGACAGGCAGCAGAACGCCGAGCGCGCGACGAGCTGACATGCGCGTCGACGTCTGGGGCGGTGGCGCAGACGGACCTCGCGGAGAAGGCTGCGGGGGCGAGCGTCCGGGACGAGGTGATCGACCTCACGGGCGACTCCTCCTCGGACTCGGAGCCCGAGCTGCTTATAATCGAGGAGGAAGCCCCGTCGCCCCAACGCTCGACCTCGCCCGCCTCCCTTGCCGCATCCGCCTCTATCTCTGCATCCTCGTCTGCGCTTTCACTGAAGAGCGCGCCGCCAACAACGACCGGAAGCACGTCCCGCCTCGCTCCGCCCGACCGCGCGCCCTCATCGGCCTCCCTGCCAGCGCTAGCTTCCTCTACTACCACATCTACATCCACGTCCACGCCGGACTCGGACCGCATGACACGCCCGATCGTGAAACGCGTCCCGCACGGGGCAGGCGACCCCCGGCCCACGCTCCCCAAACCGCGCTCCGTCTCGCGCCACCCCGCGAAGCGCCCCCCGACCTCGTGGACGCCCACCCCGCCCCCGACGCGCGCCACGTCCGTCATCCACCCGCGCAGCGAACAGTACCACCCTCACTCGCACTCGCACCTGCACTCTGATTCCGACCTCAACGCGGGCTCCGCTGCGGATCCGACCGCGGACGGGGATGGGGATGCGTTCGCGGGCGCGTCGATCCCGCTCGAGACGGAGTGGGCGTGCCCGCGGTGCACGCTCGTCAACGACGCGCTCGCGCTGCAGTGCGCGGCGTGTCTGGGCGTGCGGCCGCCGCCCCCTGCGAGGCCGAAGTCGACCATCGGTGATTGTAAAGAGGAGAAGAAGGAGGCTGGGAAGGACGGAGGGGGCGGATGGACATGCGGGGTGTGTGGGGAGCGCGAGATGCCAAGCGACTTTTGGTCGTGCCGATTTTGCGGGAGCGTGAAGGCGGGGTCGTAGACGCGCGCGGGCGCTGATGGAGGTACCGGGGGATGTCGTGCCGACTTGCGGCGTCTCTGCGGCCGCTGCTATCGCTTCTACTACTGCATCGCTTGCTTTTTGTACCACCACTAGACGGACTGGACGGACTGTGCCCATGGATGGATGGCCTACAGCGGATACCTTGTACTTGTATGTAGATACGCGTCGAGCCTGCGCTTTGCTGGATTATTGTCGCGAACGGACGCACGTTACTTATTACCAGTGCACTCCTACTCCTTAATGTGAGCGACTGAACCGCCGTGTTTGGACCCATCCCAGCAGTATGGTCCACGCAGCAACCCATAGTGTCTAACCTTCGTTCCTGTGCTAAGTGGGGAAGGGAACATGCACACGGTCACATCCATCGGGAGATATGACAGCGCTGGAGACGGTGAGGTCGACGGCAGGGCCCACGCCCGTGCATGTGTCTGTGATGAGGGCGCGAGAAACGAGAGAAACGAAGGAAGCTCCGGAGTTGGCTGCGTGGTTGTTGGGTCTGTTAGGTTCCGAAGAAAGGCGAGCTGTGGAGGCTGGGTCCCCAGAGCCTGGGTCTGGCTGTCACATTGCAATAGCGAGGCCTTGAGTACTCCTGCAAGCGGAGTGGGCGGTCGACATGGGACGATCATTGGGGCTGGCATGACACCTCAGTGACCGCTCAGAACCGACGAAAAGCAATCTGATGGATGCGCCGGAACCATGACCAAGGACATGAACGACGTTTTGAGCTTTGAGGATCTGATGAAGGCGACCAGCCGCCGGCTTTGGGACCAAGCATATATGGCGCAACTCGAACGCGGTTTCGGCAGAAACGACAGAGTGTCCCGAAACAAGCGCGAGGAGTACTCGTACTGACTGCCAGCACGGTAAACTTGGCCACACTCCTTTGGAGCGTCAAGTGAAGGTCAAATCGAGTGCTATTTCTTGCGAGTGAGCCAAAGCTCTGTATCACTACAATTCTTGGCCAGCAAGCCAGCGGTTGACCACCTCCAAGGTGCGGACGGGTTGGTCATACGGCGCCTAGGGTAAGGCACACATGAGCAAACGGACGCATCCCACTCCTCGGGTGAGAAAACAGACAGTGCGCACCATATGTCCTGCATCGCGGATAGTGGCGAACGTCAAGCTGCCTGCACTCCTCGTCCGACCCGCATCTACCCCATCCACTGACCAGTCTCGCAAGGGCTGGCTCCTAAATGCGTCCTGTCCGAACCACTCGAGTTCGAGCGTCATGCGTTCGTTGCCGACCTACGATAGAGAACCGCTGTCAGTTGATCAAATAGGAAAGCAGGAAACGGGGCGCACCCAATTGCAGATCCAATCTTTGTCACCAACGTAGATGAGAGCCTTCACGCCACGTTGGAGGAGCGCCTCCAGGTGATGTTCGGCACGGAACCACCTGTCGTCTTCATTCAACCGCGCATTGACTTCCCAGTTGGCCCAAGAGTAGTTGCCGTGGTGCGGGTCGATGCCAAGGGCTTCCTGCACGGAGCGGTTGTTCAAGTACGTGGTTGTGTCACTGTAGTCACGGTACTAGCTCCCTCACAAGATAGAGAGAGGGTCTTAGTCGACGTACCCAACGATAGGGTAACAGGACTCGAAGTCGGGCCTGTCCAGGCTACAGCCATCGTCAATACGCACCAGAGGGGATATGAACAGATGGGCTCATACCACGGTCTCAACGCATCGTATGGGTTCCGCCCTATGAGACACTGATCAATCAAGATTGGTAAGGAGTGAATACAACGCCGCTCACTTGTAAAGATATCTTCAGTCAGCGATTTCTGGCAGAACTCCCAGGCGTCCAGGCAGTCGATGTGATCCAAGACATCAACGCAGGACTCCTTGAGTCGCTTCTGGCATCGAGGGACGAATTGCTTCATGCGAACGCAATCCCTGATTGATACATCAGCACTGTTGGTGGCCTGCGGGGGTGAATGGTACCGACGATATGCTCGTCACTTTTGGGAAGCCATAGCTTCCACACTGAACATCATAATATGACATCATGGTGGCTACACTATTAGTGTCGCCGTTCCCTGAGAATGGATGAGTCTACATGATCAGTATGTTAGGCTGCGACAACTGACCTATCATCACAGAGGTCAGATTGATAGGCGTCAAGCCTGCATAGACCAGGTCTGCGTTGCGATCGTACACGGCAGATGCAAAGACAGGGATGTAGCGGCCCTGTGACATGTTCAATTAACGCACTGAGCACAGCCGAGATAGCACTCACACCAAAGGATTCGCCAGCCATGTGGAACGGTCTACCCTTAAACTTTGTGAAGTGCTCGAAAAATATGACAAAAAAGGCAGCTATGTCTTGTCCTGCTTCCGCATTGGTGCTCTTTGATAGTCGCATCAATATATTGTTGTAACACACATGCAGCTGGGGATACGTACGATCTTCTCGCCATAGTCCGCGTACGAGAAGCCGACACCGATAGGCTGGTCGACGAAGAACACGTTAGCATGGTTGTTCCATGCGTATTCGAAACGTTCCGTAGTGTTCGGTCCAGTCACACGGCAAGGTCCTGTCCCCAGTAAGGAGGTAAGAAGAGTCGTTTATTAGATTGACAAGTCGGCTGCATACCAAGCTCGTTGTAGAGGCCGAGCATTGAAGATCCGCCAGGACCACCATTTGTCCAGAATATCACGTCGTCTTCGTCGGGATCGCGTCTGCTCTCAAAGAAGGCGAAGAAGAGATGGCGGGCCCCGACATCGATGTAGCCGGAGTACGCCCTATGAAACAATCACGTCAGGGGCTCTAACACATGCGATTTGGTAGTACGGTGCTTGTTGACGTACTGTACTTCGCCGTCGCAGAAATGCGACTGCTTCACACGCACGCTATGTGCAGGGAAGTGAGGGTGCAGCAGAGTGGTGTACTCTGTCACGGAGAGAGCGTTGAGGTCCTGAAAAGGTGTGAAAAGGCCAGCGTCGTAAGGAGCAGACGAGCCCCAACTGCCCCTAGTAGTAGCGCCCAATGGATACTGTGCTCCTGCAGCAAGGCTGCCAAGCGTGAGGACAGCGTAGGCACGAAGATTCATGTCTTCCACCTACTTACTGAAGAACATGAACGCAACGCATCAGTGGTATACTTATATGCTGCGCGGGAAACAGACTCGCCCGGCTGCGACCCCATCAATCGCAGGTACCCATGAATGTATGGTACGGCCGCGGCGCAGTCAATTGAGATGTGCTCGATCACTGAGTGGCGAAACGCATGCGCTTCACAGGCGGTTTTGCTGGGATGCAATGCTGCTCTCAGGATGAGGTCTGACCTCGTAGATTAGTTGGAATGAGGACGAGCAAGTTGATGAAGTGTTTGTGGCCTGCCCGGGGTAGCAGATCGACCGGGGGGACCCTGAGATGCCGGAACCCCGGCCGACTCCGGGGTGTGAGTAGGAAAATGGCCGAGCCAATCAAAGGCCGGTGCTGATGCCACCGCAGAGCCGTCTTCGCCTGGAATACCGACCCGAAGCTCGACGCCGTCCCAACCCACGCTTCTCCCCTCCCTTGCCTCCCTCACGCTCCTTGACTCGATGACGACGCGATTGTAAACTGGCCGACCATGGTAGAAGACAAATATATCGGCATCATCATCGCCATTACCGGCTCGGTCGGCATAGGCAGTAGTTTCATCTTCACGAAGAAGGTCCGTCAAGTCTTGCCATGCTTCAAACTCTTTGCCTCGCGTATCTCACAGTTCGCCCCTTGGGGGGATCGTCAGGGCTTGATAGCAGCTAGCAAGAATGGCTCTGCGGCTACTAATGAACACACGTACCTCAGAAGCCCGCTATGGTGGATTGGCATGGTTGTGAGTGAGTACAATCCCGTTACTGTGCGTGAGGTGGCTGGCCTAACTTGTTATGGAACAGTGGTTCTTGGAGAAAGTACGTCAGTATAGGCAATAGACACCCACATCTTCTTGATGAGCTGCCTACAGTCCTCAATTTCGTGGCGTACACCTTTGCGCCTCCAATATTGATCACACCCCTCGGAGCCCTCAGTGTAATCATTGGGTGCGTCTGACATCAGGCTCTTCTCTGTGTTCCAGATTTAACAATGACATAGGGCAATCCTTGCATCATTTTTCCTCAACGAAAGATTGGGGCACCTCGGTCGCGTGGGCTGCGCGCTATGTCTACTCGGTTCTCTTATTATCGTGCTACATGCTCCGCCAGACCGGGACGTGGAAACTGTCGATGAAATCCTGCACTTCGCTTTGCAACCTGGTGCGTCCTAGTACTTATTGCGTCGCATATTGACCCCTTAGGTGGAAGCTCGTGCTAGCCTTCTTGATGTACTCCTTCCTGGTTCTCGTCTACAGCCTCGTCATGATCTACGGCGTCATCCCCAAGTACGGTCATACAAACCCCATCATCTACATCTCCGTCTGCTCGCTCGTCGGCTCCGTCTCTGTCATGGCGATCAAGGGCCTCGGCGTCGCCGTGAAACTGACGTTCTCCGGGAACAACCAATTCACCCGCCCAGCGACATACGTCTTCGGCGTCCTCGTCGCGACCTGCATCGTCGTCCAGACGAACTACTTCAACAAGGCCCTCGACACCTTCTCGACCAATGTGTACGTCTCCCGCCCCCTCCCTGGCGTTCCCAACTGACCGCCCGTACGCAGCGTGAATCCAATGTATTATGTCGGCTTCTCGACGGCCACTATCGTCGCGTCCATCATCCTCTTCCAGGGCCTGAACACCGACGACCCCGCCAACTCCCTCTCGCTCCTCGCTGGCTTCATCACCACCTTCCTCGGGGTGCACCTCCTCGAGCTCTCCCGCACCCCCAGCGGGGGCGGGGACGCAAGCGAGCTCGGGTACGTGCGCGCGAGCGGGCACGCAGAGGAGGAGGTCGGGCTGCAGACGATGTACGAGCCCGAGCCGGATGACTACGAACACGTCGCGGACGAAGAGCGCGCGCCGCTGCACAGGATGAGCGACGAAAGAGGGAGGGCTCGGACATGAGGATGGTGATGTGATGATACACGCCTGCGCCTTGCGCCCTTGTGTTGGGACAGAGGGCACGGCAGGGAAAACTTTTGCAAATAGCGAGTCCGCAGCGACGCTTCCCTGCGTGTACACGGAGCGCGGACACTCCGGAAGATCGGCCACAAGCCGCCTGGGACGGAGGGGCCCCACTATCCCCTTCCATCGCCGATTGTCGAGACGATGCATTGGGGCAGGAGCGTGTGCATGCGGCGTGTTGCCGACGTAAAAATCGCTAAATAGGTAACTTATTCGTAGTATTGTATGGACTCTTAGTTGTACTAGAGCTATTTGTAACTATACATCTATGGTTGCGGCGATCTACACAGTGATTACATACAATGCTGCGTGGTAAGCGTACAGGGTCCACAGAGTCCGGTCAACCGCCCGAAGATGGAGGAGGATGAGGGGGATGAGATTACAGGATGCCGGTGGTATGTATGCAAATGCGATCGAAGGGCGAAGGAATGATGGCGAGCACGGTGCAAGATTAGAGCAGCTCCGGCTAAGTATTGATGATGGTCGAATGCTGGGCGGTCATGAATGCGAAGAGAGAATGTGTGTATGCAGCGTGGTATGATGCGAGCATGCGCAAAGACGAATGAAATGAAGCTAGTACCCAAGGAATCGCGCCATGATGACCAATCAGGATGCAAAAGTCTCGAGAATCGGAGCGCGGGAAGAGAGGGGAGGGGAGAGGAGGGAAGGAGTAAAGCTCAGCAGAACTAGTGGTCGCCGTACCCGCATTCCCCAGGGTGCATCGACTTTGTCGCCTCGTACACTCGGATCGTCCGAACGTGTGTCGAGTGCTCCTTTGATGCCGTTGATGCCGTGGCACCGCCATAAACATGCGCGCGAAGCCCGTCAATTGACACGGTGCGCTTCGCCTGCGGAGGCGTGCCGGCGGAGAACTTAAAGATAGTCTTCGTGGCAGGTGGTGAGGGCGCAACAGATTCATCAAAGTCGTCCTCCAGCTGGAGCCCAGGCACGTCCTGAGGCCAGTTGAAACGCTTCCGTCGGAAGCTGGCGAAGGCAAGAACACCGGTCAGCGAATTCGTGTGTACCTGGCAGACGGAAGTGCACATACCATTCGTAGTCCCACAAATAGTCGTCGAGCTCACGCTCTGAGACAACCGGCTTCCCATGCCGGCCCTTCTGCGCCGTCACGTACTTCGACAGCGCGTCCTTGCATCCTAGGAGCGTGTTCATGTGCTTGCACGCGTGCATTTCCAGCTCGAGCGGCGTGCAGGGAATAAGCGTCGCTGGTAACAGGACAAGCCCTGGTGGCTGGTATGGCCCGGCCTCCTTCCACGACGGAGTCCGGCTGTCGAGGCTGCTCCCGTCCCCGAGCAGCAGTTGCCGCGCTTTGGGGGTGGCCGTGTGGAGCATAGCCGGGTCTACGCGCGGATGCTCGTCGCTCGTGCGCTGTGAGCGGGTCCCTGACAAAGGAGACGACGCTAACACGGGCGAGGATGGCGAGGTGCGCGTCCACGGTGACCCCTTGCCACGCTTCTCGTCCTCGCTCAAGCGTTTCGCATGCGACGAAACCCTTGGGCGGGGGCTGGGCTCGAAGTTCTCGCACTGCTCCACGAGATCGCGAGAGGGCACCGCGAGCTCGAAGTGATGCGTCTGATGCGCGCAGGAAAGGCCGAAGACCTCGCGGAGCATGTGCTCGAGGAAGGTGTGCGGGCGGGGGGCGATGCCGTACCTGTTTGTGAGCATGTTCTGGAAGATCGTCTCGAGATGCGTTGCGATAATGCTGTTCGCGCTGAAGTCGACCTCGGAGGATGTACGCGCGTGGCCGTTCTTGAAGTTGGGCGAGCGCTCGAAGGAAGGGAGTTTGGGGAGGGGTTTCTCGGACCGCGCGCGGGAGATGGGCGAAGAGAGACCCAGCACTATGTTCTCGGAATTGGCCGCGCGCTGATAGTTGGGTCTCGATAGTGAACGCGGGTCGTCTCTAGTTGGGCGAGGGAGGATCGTCGGGAAGAACAGGTCGTCATCGATGAGCTCCAGTCGGCCGCCCGGCCGGAGGACCCTTCGTACCTGTGTGAGCACGAACTTCCATCTACTCACGGGGATGCAGAGGGTGAGATTTGCCATTCGCACGAGATCGAAGGAATTGTCTGGAAATGGCAGCGGATACTTGACGCTAAAATGTAGTTTAGTGGCGCGCATACAGCCATCTAAACAACACATACAAGTTGGCTCGTTTCCAGACAACGTTCTTCGCAGCATGTTCCGGCTCGAGATGCGGGTGGACCTCTCCAGCCTCGTTGTTGTGCACGTCGATGAGGTCCAGGCCGACTATCCGTGTGTTGCTCGACTTCCACAGCTTCGCAGCATGCAGAACCCAGAAGCCTTCACCACATCCCAGGTCCAGGACGTCCGAAGGCGGCTTCTTGCCGAAGTTGTGAAACGTCGGCGTGTCTGCTCGTGCGAGCTTGCATAGCAACCTGTGGGTCTGGTAGTCGCTGAGCGCCACGGAGCGCGTTGTGAGAGACGGGCTCGCGCAGGCAAAGACTGGACTCACTTCTCAAGCAGGATTTGGCTATACGCCTGCATGTAAGGCGCGTCCTCGGGGGAAAAGGGATGATGGGGCATGTTGCGCCTGCGAACCGTCCGATTGCGGTCCTCGAAGCTATTCTCCTCATCCTCTCGCGGCCCCGCGGAGAGCGTCAGATGCGAGTGAAGATCCGCGCCTATGTTTTCCTCGTACGAATTCTCCTGATGCGATGGCAACGGCACTCGTTTCCTCCCTCTCAAGGACTCCGTGAAATCGAGCGATGGGGTCTTGAACGCCTTGAGAGCTTGCCCAAAGGACCGCTTCTTCTTCAGTCTCAGAGCAGACTCCACGCGCACCGCCGCCTGAGTGATGGTGGCTTGCGATGGCGAGTCGTCTAAACGCGGGTCCTCCATGGATGAACGCTCCGAGGAGGTCGGGGTTGGAGTGGGTGGCAGAGGGTAGTGATGATGCTGTCGCTTCTTGATTACCATTCCGGCGATGTACGTGTCAAAGTGGGCAGGGTCGGGAACGTCATGAGTAGACGAAAGCATAGAGTAACGAGGGTCGGCCGCGGGAGCGTACAGCGAAGAGTCGTCGAAAGGCACGTCCGGATTCGACCCACCGGCAAAGATGGGATAGATGATCCTGGGATCCATGATCCGGGCTGAGAGCTCGCCGTTATAAGAGTTATGATAGGAGAAGGCAGAATAGCGAAGCGTCGAGTGGCGGAAGCGGAAGGGGCAAGTGCTTTGTCCTGTGTGACAATAGGGCTTCGAGTGTCGAGAAGGGGCCGGAGGTAGAGGTTAATCGAGAGCAGACATCGACGAGCGAAGGGAAGCAGTGGAATTAGCGTACGGTGTCAGGGATCGTAGGCCAGCCTCCGAAGTCTCCACTGCAGCGCCTCGGAGAAGCGACAAGTCGACAGCCTGCTCCGTGGGATGGCACCGGAAGGGGCTGACAGTGACAAATGGACGCACCCCGGAAACTCCGCGTCTGACTATATGTACCCAGGCGTCTGGATGAGAGCAAGAACGCACCCACGTCTGTTGCTGCGTCGGAGCGAGTCGTAGTGCATGGAGAGTCGGAGGAGTGCCACTGGACGAGTAAGTGACGACGACAAATACCCAAAACCCGACTACCCGCCTTCTTCGCACGTTGGCGCCGGCCGTCGCCCGTAAATGGGTGGTGCATTTCGGGATGCAATTGGACTTATGGAAACTACCCGTCTGCCAGAATATCCTGGAAACAGAATATGCCCACATCATGCCAATAGCGCTATGGCGACAGACAGAAGACTGCACAACACGAATACCTGTTGCCAGCGAGGCTCGCAAGAAGAGGCATATATATATGCATTGCGCCATCGACGTTACAACACGTACTGCGATCATGCTGGCGTCCTCGGAATTCAAGGCCGCTTCCTCATAGAAGGACTCAATCGTCTTTGGGAGGGGGAGGGCCGCACGGCTGTAACATACGCTACAAGGGATAGACGTTGAACGTGAAGGCTGTGGGGATATTGATGGTTTCAACGCACCTCAGTCATCTCAAACCTGACTCGTCCAACTGCCTCTCCGTCAGCAATGGCCAAATAAGAAGTCAAAGTGGGGTGCCCGACGATAGACGACAGCGTGTCCCTGTGCTGGTGGGTAAGCCACTCACTGCGGTCGAGGTTAGTTCCAGTCCAGCCTAAGGTTCTGAACTCCTCACTATTTCGTTAAATCGGCATGGCCTGCATGAAACCGTCAGTAGAGCGTTTCAAATGGGATGATTCCATCTACATACCTGTGCCAGTGTAACGAGCATGCACTGGGCGTAGGGAGATAGTCAGCGGAACATAGCCTCGAATAGGTTAGTAGCCCACTCACAATGCTCAAGTTGAGTGTTCGCCGTGTACCGTAGCTCAGAAGACTACCAGCGAGGTCAGTATAACGTGGACAAAGACGACGACGCAGGGGAGGATGACTGACCATGGTCAGAGGCAGCGAGCACCACTGCCTGCCGATCGCCACCTTTGGCGAGCTGCAGCGAACCGGCGCTTCGACAACTTTTCCAGGACGCCGTCCCGCGCAAAGGTCTCTGGGCTATCTTGCTTTTCTGCTTCTACTACTGGCTACGGGATCACAGGCTGTAACGGAATCTGGCTCTCGCGACATGGGGGACAGCTCTGAGAAGCTCATGGCCAAACTGGCCGCACTGGATAGTTCCTTGGACGACCTCGAGGACAAACTCGAACCTCTCCTCGCGCAGACACTACCTGAGTCTCTGCTTCCATTGGAGACCATTCAACAGGTTAAGCTGAATGTCGCACTGCCGTACTTGGTATACGACCTGATATTCAGTACGCCAAATCCACTACCATGTCATGCAGTTCTCGAACTAATGCATCAGAAACCCGCTAGTCTACCTGAAGACCCGGGGCATCGACCCCAAGTCTCATCCAGTAGCTGCAGAACTCGTATGTGACACGGCCCGTTCTGCACTAGCCAGGTACCCACTGACCACACAGAACCGCGTGAGACAATACTTCGACAAGATCAAGAACGCCGAAGACCCGGAGAAGCGTACGTCTTGTCTCCCTCTTCTTCCCTTCCTCCCTCCTCCTACGCCCATCTGTCTCCCCACGTCGACTCTCCCACATAGCCCTCGTGGCGTACAGTTCTATGCGACTAACGTTCACACCCTCTGGGCATAATAGGGAAGACCGCCGTCGACAAAGCAGCCGCGAACCGCTTCATCAAACACGCCATTGCCCAAGTCAAAGACCAGGAGCAGCGTACCCCCGGCGAAGTCCAATCTGACAGCCGCAGCAGCGCCCGCCCTTTACATACGCACATCCGGTTCGACGAGAACGGCAATGCACCGTCCCCGTCAGCCTCTTTGGCACCAGCACGAGGGGCGCAGATCCCGCCAGGGAAGGTGACCAGCAAGATGCTCGAACGCGCCGAGTATCAGAAGCAGCTCGACGAAGGGAGTGGCTCGAGCGACGAGGATGTAGACGCGGACACGCTGGAGATCATCGACGACAAGGATGAGAATGCGGAGAGTGCAGACGGGCCTGCGCGACTAAGCTCGAAGGCGAAGGGGAAGGCTAAGGCCACAGATGCACAAGATGTGAGCATGGCCGACGGCGAGGTTGCCGGTGCCAAGAAACGCAGGAGACCTGCTCCGGATCCTTTTGCTGGTACGTACACCTGTCTCTCTTGCTGCGCTCCAACTGGCTCACGGCACCTCCGTTAGGCTACGGAGACACACCCGAGACGAAGTCGACGAAATCGTCGAAGAAAAAGAAGGCCATAGCCCAATCTACACCTGGCGAAGATATGGCCGTAGATGAACCGAGAAGTGAAACAGGTCCATCTCAATCTGCAAAGAAAGATCAATCTGCGGCAAAGAAAGCCAAAAGGAAGGCGAAGAAGGCTTCATGAGCTTGTCGATTTCCTGTCTCTAGACGTCGTCTGCGTCTGATTATGCGTGCACGTTGCTGTCCACCTGTCTAGTCTACAGCATTGAGACGTTCATTCTCTGCAATTTACATATACAACACGTCCCAGAATACTAGTACAATCCGTGGAGAGAGAGAGAGACGAATCTACATATAACGTCTACGAGGTCGTCGCGACTGTCAGTGAGTGTAATAAAATACAACAGTGAAACCCAAGAACGAAGAGAACAGGTCCGCTGCAACGATGCATGTTGTCGCTTCGCGCAAGCATCTTCTCACTTACATGATCGCACACCCATCTCGCCCATCCGGGCCTTCCGATAACAACGGCGAGCCCGCCCCAGAGCGTCGCCCGCTCGGGGCCCACCAGCGCGTCCTCCCGGAGGCAAAGTCGGCAGCATCCGCCGTCCCCGCACTGCTGCCCGACCCGTTCCCCGCCCGCTTCGCCGCCTTCCGCTTCTTCTCCCTCGCCGCGCGGACGGCATCCACCGTCTGCCACGAGTAGAACGTCTTCAGCACGACGCGCGTCTCGTCGCATTCGTCCTGGCCCACGCCGAGCCCCTCCTCGTCCCGCCCGTCGAGGTACGCGAGCTTCTTCGCCTCCCACGCGCGCCAGCCCCGCCGCGGCCGCGTGTGCGGCGTGAGCTCCTTCACGGCGTACTCCCCGACCCCGCGGCAGTCGATCGCGACGAGCGCGGGGTCGACAAGCTTGCGCTCGCGCGCGAGCCGCACGAACTCGCGCGCCACCGCGCTGCTCATGCGCGTGTTGTCCGCCTCGAGGGCGCGCAGGCGCGTGCAGCCCCGGATGAGCGCGAGCAGCGCGTCGTTGGTCACGTTGCCCGCGTACGAGATAACGAGGTGTTCGAGGGCATGGCCTGGCTGCGGTACTGGGGGCTGCGGCGCACCGCGGGAAAGGGGCGACGATAGTGAGGCGGGTGCGTTTGCGTTTACGTTGGCACTGGCGTCCTGTCGCGGGGTGAGAGCGGCGAGGACCGCGTCTGTGATCTCGGACGCGTCTTCGAGGTCGACTCTCCGGATGTAGGGGGTCGTATCCAGAAGACGCACAAGACCGTCGTCGCGGAGGTCGGGGCCGATCCCTGCGAGCTCGAGGAACTCGAGCCTCGGGACGGCGTGCGCGAGGTGCGAGAGCGCGTGGTCGGTGAGCAGGATGCACGACGAGAGCGCAAGATGTCGGAGACGAGTGACCCGTCGCCAATACCTGGTGGGGTCGGCAGGATCCCGGCCAGCCTCGCGTGCTGTAAGCTGGACTGCTTCGAGTTCCTTTGCTTCCTCCTCTGTCAACGAGACGAAGGCTTCGACGGCTGAGTTGTGGAGCGGTACGGCATAGCTGAGATCCAGCACTTCCAGGTCCGGTGCAGCGCGGCCTAAATTGCGCATCATGTCGTCCGTAACACGGGCCAGCCAAGTGAGACGGAGCACCTTGAGACGCAGGCGTTCGCCGCGTTCCAATGTCGACGAGGCCAGGTAGCTGATACCCTCGCCGTCAAGATTGCTGCACCTGCTCGCGTCAAGCGAGACGAGATTTCGGCAGTGCATAGACAGGATGGCGCAAGTTCTGTTATTCACCGCCGCCAGCCCCTTGACATTAAGCGTTTGCAGAGCAGGAGAGCGGATCAGGAGATAGTGCAAGGAGCGCGTCGTCAAAGCTGTGCAGCCATGTAGGTCGATAGTAGTGATACGAGTATGCGCCAGGACGGCGGACTGTAGGGGCTCGATGCACAAGCCGTCTGTTATTTCGACGAGCGCGTCCGATGACAAGTCGGCGAGGCCTGTAAACTCGACGCGCTTGACGAAGCCGCCTGCCCTCCCGCACAGCCGCGCGAGGACGCTAGGAGGTAGCCTGGGCAGCCTAGCCCAGAGCTGTCCGTCGTAGACGAGGCTTTGCCAAGCCTTTGAAACCTGGTACGACCAATAGGTCACCCATTCTTCACGTGATGCAAAGGGAGTATACCAACCCTGCTCAGCTTCAAGAGTTCCCGGACACCCTTCTCTACCCCGACATGCCTATTTCGGGAAAGCCCAGCCCGGATGGCCGTCCATTTGCCACTAGAGACAAGCCGGCGGTGGTCCGCTTCGTGCAGGTCGACGAGCATCGCCAGAACGAGGATCCTCAGCTCGCGGGGTAGGTATTCATCAAAGTGATTCGGAACGATGACAGGGATGGGCTGTGATATCTCAGCAGGGGTGGTTGGCACGATATCAAGAGGAGAGGATATCAGCGGGAAAGGAGAAGAGTACGAGCGACCCTTCGTGCGCAGAACGGCAGAGCCGGAAGGCGGACCAAGACGATACAGCGGGGAGACGGGAGGGATCATACCGCTCGAGAGGTCGACATCGATGTCAATAAGAGTGCCCTGAGGTGGGCTCGTACAGGACTTCAGGTCGCGAGCCCAAGGCATGAAACAACTATTGCTGCCATGAAGGTCGGCATCGGTCGTCTGCTCATTCGGAGCAGTCGCAGTGGTAGAGGAAGTCGTCGGAATGGGCACGGTCTCAGCTCGCCTCCTGAACAGGAGCTTACGGGCGATGTTTCCCGGCCCCTTGCTCACGGCGAGCTTGACCTTGACCTTGCTGATGGACAGCGCCGACAGCGAGCGCGTCGAGCGGAGCGAGATGTTCGAGAGCGAGCGTCGGCGGGCCGGGATGTGCGCAGGGGCGTCGGGCGAGACGGGCGGCGTGACATCATGGCCGATGCTAGCGCTCTGCCCGGACTCGGACTCGGCGATCGATGCAAATCCAGAACCGTACGAGGACGGGCCTGCGGTCTGGGGCGACATGGAGACCGAGCTGAGCGACGAGGGCCATTCAGCGCCGTCGTAGTCCAACGACGGGGACATGAACACGAGCGGCGGGAGCACGGGTGGCCGCTCACGCCCCTTGCCCTTCGCTGAGAAACCCGAGGACTCGCCGACATTCTCGAGCTCGTCCGCGCAGAGTAAATCGGGGGAATTGTTCAGCGCGGGGTCGTGGAAGTGTGCGAGCTGTATATGGGACGGGTCAACGATGGAAGGGGACGACTCCGACCACGCGTGAGCGAGGCTGAAATTGCCTGCAGAAGAGGACGATCCGGCCGCTTGGAGGACGTCGATCTGAATGTCGACGGGTTCGCGACCCTGAATGTACAAAGGCTTTGAAACACCTTTGCCTTTCGAGGGGCTAGAGGCCACATCTGTCGCCATCTCGTCGTGAGTAGGAATGTTGTTGTAGTACCAGTCAAGGGGAAGGACTGGGGCCGAGAAGGAGGAGAGCGAACGGGGGTGGTCGTGCGAGTCAGAAAGGGGATGTTGAGGCTCCTGCACACTCTCCTTGAGGCGATGCGAACCATTAAGTGGCTCATAAAGGTCAAAAGGGAAGAACGAGTCGTCGTTATCGATGTCGTGTGTCTGGCTCATGGCGAGAGACAGCAATTCTAAGCTATGTTGATGCGATAAGAGATACAGTGGCAGTAGGTGCTTTGGCTGCAAAAAGACGCAAGACAGATGGAGTAGCGAAAGCTTAACGGGCTGCGACTGGCTCGCTGATGGTCGCTGGAGGACGAACGGGCGCGCTGAGCATGATGTATGCGGCCAAGCTCTGCAGAGACAGCATTCCAATAATGTTCTCCCACTCCGAGCCAGACGCCGTCGCCCGTAAGGCTCCAACCATTTCATTTATTTACTGTGTATAAACGGTTGTTTTCGTTTACCTTTCAATTTATTTACCCATTTTCTCGTAAACGGTCATAAACCAGTTGTACACAGTAAATAAATGGTTGCTGGTACCACCATACCAGCAAGGCTAAAGACCAGGAGATGAGGTATCAGAGGGCCATGTAGAGGGTAGGTCAAGGTCGTTGACCGTTGGTCGACTCCTGCCTTGCTTCTGCCTGGTCAATTGGCATCGACGGGGCCCGGCAGCTGACTTTCCTGTTCGGGAGCTTACCTCACCTTTCGGCGCTTATCGCACTGAGACGAAGCTTGGGAGTGAGCTTGATACTCATTGGTCTCCCAGCGACGATCATTGGTGGCAAGAAGTGTTATAAGTATACACTGATATGCAATGCTCCCAAATAGCCCTATGGAGTGTTTCTCGGAGTGGTCTGCAACCTCACCTGTGGAACCATTTGTTTACCCTTCTTAAACTGTTTTCAAACGTTTATATACCCTTTCCGTATATTTTACGGTTTGGGATAAACATAAAGTAAATGGTTGGAGCCTTAGTCGCCCGTGGCTACTCCATGCCCCGTCTTCCCACGCTTGCTATAACGTACATGACGCTAAAGGCGGTCTGTCGGTGTCCAGTCACGCAGCCATCATCTGACGTTGAACTCGGAGGTACACAGACCTGATCATTACTGCATGCAGCATGGCGAATAATGTACAGTCACCCTACACATATTCATACATCGCACACGCAAGCACCGAAAGCGCATCCGGTACCTACGATCGACTTCGCAAACAACAATCCAAACGTTAGTAGGTCAAACGGGGCAGAGAGAGAGCAAGAACTAAACTAGGGATGAGGGCGCCGGAGCTTGAGAACACATGGTAGCACAAACACAGTCGATGATCGCCGCTGGAGCAGATGCAGTCTGACTCCGGCCCGACACGGCAGGGCCTATCCACCAGAGGGAGAGCGAACTGCTAGAGGGGATCCTGCACGGAGCAAGGGCAGGACACTGGACAGGGGCTCGTCTACTTGCTCTCCTTCTGCTTGTTCCAATTGTCGATGACGAGCTTGAACCTATGACCGATACAACGACGATAAGCCCCTCCCGCTGATGGAAGCACTCAGGGACCGCGCTGGTTCCGCACCTATCCTTATGCGGCATGTCGGGATTTTCCTGTTTGAGCCGCGCGACTTCCGTCTGCATGAACTTGTTGAAGTCGGTCAGCTTCTTCCTGCCGCCGGCACCGCTCGACTTTCCTGTGCGCGCGCGTCCCCCGGACCGTCAGCACGCCCCTCGGACGCACGCAGATAAGGCAGATACGCACTCCTAGCCTTGGCGGTGGTGGACGCCTTCTTGGACGGGTCAGCCGCGCTCTGCTGCTTTCCGGTAGTAACAACCATCACGCCGACTGCGCGGAAAGTGGACCCGTGAGCACGGACGTTCGGGAAACGACGGAGCAGGCTGACCTGCTGAGCTCTCAACGCTTCGGGCGAGTTTTGGGGAGCCCCTGGTGGGAGGGTAGAGGTCGTGGTGGAGGGGAGAGGTGTGGATGACGCATAGGCTCTAGCTAAGGGGCTTTATAGCGAGGCGAGAGGAGGACCGTGCACTCTGACGGCTTTCTAGTCCGGTAACGCGCTTCGATCGCACTTCCCCGTCAAACCGTGGACCCCGGCCACCACTCGCGCGTATCCTGTCAGAAATGGCAACCGTTGTGTTGGTCCGTGTTCCCCCTCCTCCCGCGCCATCTATCCTCTCTGCACGTCCGTAAGTCCAGCTCTTCCGGAACTAGACCTTCAGATATTTGCATACTCCAGAGTCCATTGCATGTGAGTACTTAGCGCCCGCCCAGAGGTTCAAGGGGAGACTCAGGATCAACCAGGTCGCGTGAGCGTGTACATAATGTCTGAATATCACGCTTGATCAAGCCCAGTATCTCGACAAATCCAACGTGTCCTTTCTGTGAGAAACTGGCCCGCTCGCCAGCAAAAACATGTGATCTCCAAGTGGAGACTGGCGGATGGGCGGCAGCGCACGTAGTCTAACGCGTCTGCGGGCGCGTCAGGTTCATGCTTTGAACCACACCACCACGGGCGTCTCCCCAGTGCGCACTGGCACGGACACGTCCGTAAGCAAAGTCTTTGCGGCATCTTCGCTACCCCTATGGGGTCCCAGCGTCCACGCCACCTGCCTCCACGGCCAGGGGTCGGGGGACGCTATGCGAGATTACCGAAGCATCGTCGTGAGATTGCCAGGAAGGTATGGAAGACTACTCGAATTCTTCAAGAGCCGAGGCTATTCCCGACGGGAGGATAACAGACGCAGTCTCTGGTATATGTACGCGTACATCTATGCAGCAAAAAAAGGGGCAGAACTGCCCACAATACGCCCATCGTGAACACGTACGATCGCATATATACGAGGTCAGGCGAGGGACTGGACGGAGCGCCGTATATTTCCCTACTTATATATCCATCGATGCCTAAGGGGCTCGCACGACGCCTTAAGCGGCATGCACGATCTACGACGGGCTACAGCCCAACCTCTTTCGACGTGGCGCTCGCCGTGCCCGCGATGCTGTCTATCATCGTGTTGCCGTTGATGATTCCCGTGGTTGCTATCAGGAATTTCCGGCCTAGCGCAGGACACGAAACAATTCAGAAGCACGTCCCACCAAAGAAAAACCCTAGCGAAATGAGCCCGCCCACCTTTGTTCTGTCGCCCCACCCAGCGGAGCGCAGCGATCTCCGTGTAGGTGCACCCGCCCAAGAAGAACACGACCGTCGTCGTCGGGCGTTCCCTCGGAAGCACTGTGCGAACCGATTCATATCAGCATGCCGTAGGCGGTCAGAACGTCCGCGCAGAAGCCAGGCCAGCTGCACGCACTCAGCGACAAAACGGGGGGAAACGCTCCGCCATCCTGGCCCCCGGGTAACTTCTGCACGATGTCGACGGTCTCGCCCGGGATGGACGCGATGACGTCCTCGAAGCCCTTCCAGCCCACGATCGGGTGCGCCTGCACCAGGGGCGTGCCCGCCGTGCCCCCTCTCCGTGATGCGCTGTCGCCGTCCGCGCCAGAGCCCTTCTTGTCTGCTCCCTTCTCCTTCTCCGCGGCCGGATTGCTCAGGACGCCGCCCTTCTGCGCTACGCACTGCACGAGGCGCACGCTGATCGGCGCGAAGCCGGAGTATACGTAGCTTATGTCGTTCTCGAGTTCTTCCATGGGGTCTGGATCCTCGACTAGGAGCCGCAGGGATTTCCGCAGGTTGGCGTAGGGGTACTTGGAATCTGCGACAGACGGAGGGGCGTTGTGGGGCAGAGGGTTGGGCAAGAGGACTGACAGTGGTGGCGCAGCGAGTGACAAGAGCAACGGTAAGTAGTTATAACCGTATGTCTGGATTTCATACTGTCAGCCGGCCAAGTAGGGTGACGGAGATATGAGGAACAGCACCTGCAGGATTTCACGCTTGATGTTCTCTAACAACTTGGCCTTAACACCTCCGGTCACCACGCTAGCTAGACAAAGCAACCGAACGACAGTGCGCATGTCCGCTCCTTGCGCAATCAAGTCTTCGATCGCCGCGATTTGCGCATTCACCTCATACAGCGCGAGCAAATCTGACAATCGCAGCAGTCAACTCCTCGGACATCTTCATTGGTGTTGAAGACGCACTCTGCTGGATCTCCAACGACTTGTTGAACTCCTCCGTCCTCGTCATCGGCACCAGCATCTCCGACAACCCAGTATCTATCACGCAGAACGAGAGTCAGTGTTGCCCACATGGTGACCACGCGGCAGGGGGGCAACTCACGTAGCCGGAGCGACTGGTGCTCGTTCTGGAGGCCCCCCAGTCTCCCTACGAAGTCCTTGAGCTGGGCAACGGTCATCGCCTGATGCCTAAGCTAGCGAGGCACATCACGTCAGGCGCGATCACACGACGTCAGCGGTCTTTCGGGAAGCAAACCTTGTAATCGTCGTCGAGCCGTCGCGCCACCTGATTAAGCTTCTTGCCCACAGCGGAGAAGTTGAGGTCCCGGAGCTCCGCCAGTAATGGATCCGTCGCAGTGGTGAGATGGTGCTTGCGCTTCTTCTCCCTTGTCAGCGACGTGGCTGTAGCCGTTGACGTTGACGCTGCATTGGGTGCTGCGGAGGCATTCGGTTGGTTGGACGCGGGTGGAGGCGAGACGAGGGAGACTGACACCTCGACGTGTGCTGTAGGATTGCATTAACAAAGAATTTATCAGACGGGCGGACACACCGACAATTCTTGAGGCCGATCAATTCATCAATCAGACCCTCGTATGTGAGCTGTGTTAGGAGAGGGGAGATCATATCCACCCGGCGGTCGAGCACGATCAATGAGTCAATTGTGTCCGAGGGTGCGCTCAAGTGTGTATCGGCAGGCGCTGCTGCTGCTGCTTGAGGGGTGTTCCTGGTCAGGAGGTTAGCAAGGCGCTGTGAATTGTGTCAGTCGTGACTGCGGCAAGGAGAGGACGACACCTACCGCGGCATAGTCGCCTTTGCCGATAATGCGGGGGAATGCGCCATGTAGCTTCTCTAGAGTAAGGAGGGCTTGCATGGAGTCATAAATTACGGTTTCGTCTCCGTCCTATTCTCCGTGTAAGAGTTGAATACGATTATACGAGAAGGGAGCCACGTACTCACCACCCAGATCTCTTTGAACGCGTTGTCGTTCTCCAACGATATCACGTCATCAGCAATAGGGATGAACTGTAGGTTATATGAGGAAACGGTGACATCGCCAAGGACGCCCTCTTCCTCGAGGATACGAGTGACAAGCGTGGATGTCCGGGGAACGAGAAAGATGGTATAGGTGTGCTTTTGGTTCTCCCTGGCATGTCGCTTAACCTGGTCTTGCGATAAATGAGAAGGGTACGGAGGGGAATAGATGGGCGAAACCTAACCTGCTATAATCTTGATCCACTTGATGAACGGTCGGCATAGGTATACAATGTTTGTGGATGTTGCAGAAAGAGCCCCAGGCTCTAGCCAGAACATCTTATCCACGCCATGATGCTGCAGGGCGTCAGAAGGAGTGCGCGTATGAAGTGTGCCTGTGCTCACCTTCAGCACCGCAACCTCCGTGACCAACCCTAGGGGGCCTGCCAGTGTCGGATCCAACACAAGGGTCTTTGCGCCGTTCACCTGTTGTGATTTAGATCGCGTAGTCACAGGAAATAGTGATGCCACGCACAGAATTGAGTGAATCCACCAAAGCCTTCCTAGCCAACTCCCTCAAGACCGAAACATCAAGCTGACCTTCACTTCCACTGTCCGTCTTCGACGCCGCGACTTCTGATGATGGAACGGAGGATGACGCCATGCCTAGTGAGATTCCTGGTAGGCTAGGCTCAGCAAACGCGCAAAGTCAGGAGTCTAGGAAGACAGGTGCACTGTAAGACAAGTGCGGAGACAGCCTGGTACTTTGTGGCGCGGATCGCTGCCCAGAACGCACGACTCGCTCCGGCCCGGTTCCGCGCCCTCCATCGCGTCAGTTCGAGGGTACACTAAGTACAGTACTGCCGCCGTGGCTGCACCAGATGCCAGTGACCAGCGAAATCCGTTTGCTACGCTCGTATGACAAAGCATGGCTCCACGATGGCAAAGTTATCACTATGCTATAGCTTCAAGCACCCTTTCAGTAATGCTGGACTCGGAGCTGAGGCGGGCACTCGAAGAGGTCATATAATTCAACGAATACATATATCTCCATACAACAACGCACAGAGACAAAGCGAGATTCACGACAGCATGATAGCAGGATTCACAAGAGGTATATGGTGGGGTGGGGGAGAACGGGAAGGTGCCCCGACATGCAATATGGCGCTCACTGCGTCGACTCAGCACCAGAATACCTATGCGTAGAGAAGGGCATCGGCTTACGCAGTGCCCGCTGAGGGCCATCATTTTGGCCGCCTCCTCCTTGGCCGCCTTCTTCGAAGTGCCGAATGCGGAGAAGACCTCGAGGCGTTCCCCATTGTCTTGGACACCATCAGCTACCGCGTGTAAATTGTGTCGAGTCCACTCACAAATGGGTGTCGCTTTGAACCACGGAAGGTGGTCTAGGCCCCCAATGCGCTCCGCCTCCCACTCCAGCCGGATTCCGCCCCATTGATTGACCTGAGGGAGGTAGCCCCAGACGGAGCTGGGCTCGCGGAATATATGTGTTCCGATGCGCTCCAAGAAGACCAAATGGGGCGGCATGTTCACGATCATTTTCGCGAGTAATGCTTTCGTAGTGAGATACGATGCAGTCGACGCAATGCTTCACCTGAGCAAAGCGCATTTTATACACAACACAACTCCTACCGCAGCACACGAGCGATTCCCTTCTAGAATCCTAGCTACCAGCGACCGTGCTGCCTCGAGGGAATCCTAGGGACTGTCTTCGGGCTCGAGCGGAAGCTTAGATAATGGAGCTGTGCTGCAGATCTTCGTGAGAACCCCAGAACATGCACCTGAATCTAAACCTACGGGATCATTGAAGAAGACCTGGTTTGGGAGGATCGTGAGTCCCCCTTCTCTGCATGCTTCATAGCCGGAAGAATGGGTCGCGTATACCCGGTTTGTTCATCCCAATACTACGAATGGGAGACGGTCTACTTGACTCCGGCAGTCTCCTCAGATACCCCACTTCAGATACTTCTCAATTGCCGATGTACATATTGAGTCGAACATACATTGTCCTTGATGTAAGAGGAAAGCTACACTACATCCGCAGATTTGTCAGTATGAAGCCACAAGAAAGCAGCGAACGACTTACGACAGCATTGAGAGATAGGTACGAAAGCAGTTATATTGAGTTTCTACGGGCGCTCCGGCCACGCGTCCTACCTGCTGCAGGCCTGTTCGCCTCCCCCACGTAGGGTGACGGCAGAAGGCCCTCTGCTTCGAACTTCTCCAGGAAATCCATGGCTGCGTGGTACCCCTTCCTCTGTATCTCCTCGAACTTTCCGAACTGCAGGGTGCCATACTGCACAACCGCGTGTCAGTGTTATTGTGCACGCGTTCAGGAATTGTGACATGTACCTCCTGCACTGGCATCTGCATGTACAGACAGCCCTTCATAGTCTTTGCCTCTTCAAGAGTCTTGACGCTCGAGACGCTTGAGGACTAGGTCAAATGTATGTCCCATAGAACAGGATCGGATAGACTTACTACGCGAGCCGCTGCTGCAGCTCGGTAATCGCGGGCACATTTCGGGCATTCGAGAAGGGATTCCATCGGTTAATGAAGAGCCACACGCCCGAGACAGAGTCACCAAAGTTGCGTGGCGAGTTGTCGTCGATCTACGTAAGTGACCGCAACCATGAGAACTGAGCTGTCATTGGGCTTTCAATGCACTCACCGATCCGACATCCGACGCAATGACGGCGCTCGCTCCCATCGAGAGCATGGTGGAAACCTACATACCCAGTCAAACTATTATTCGACTGAAGGAACGATGGACTCACAGGAAGATTGTCGACTACAACACGCTTCAAGTCAGCGAAGACAGGCGGCTAGTGCAACAGCTTACGTACCATAACCGCCGTCTACAAGCATACTTCCGTTATCGCAGATCGGCGGGAGCAGACCAACCAATGTCATGGAAGCCCCTAGTCAGCTGATTTTCAGCTCCAGAATCCGAGGGTTCTGCCCAATTCAGTCTTACGAATGAACCGCCATGCATATCCCGTCTCGTGGATTTCCATCTGCGAAGGATTGAGGTTCGTGGAGTTGCAGAAGAACGGCAGCCACATGTCTTCAATGTGGAGGTCATAGAACGCCTACAACAGACGGGAGGTTGGCGGTATCCTGCAATATCAGAACCTAAAACAAACCTTGTAGATGGAGCGATTGAACTCGTGACCCTAAACAAGCGACATTAGCACATTACCTCAACTCTAGGAACGATGGTATGCGTACAGTAGTGTAAGCAACGATGGGGTAGGTCACATCGGACAGCATCCTCCAGAAGTTGGCCATTCGGGCGCTGAACTGCTTCGCCCTGCCGGAGCTCGAGATGATATCGCCTTCTCGCGCGTACAGTCCGCCAATGAAAGCGCCGATGCTGGTGCCTTCGTGTTGCTGTGAGCACACATTCAAGCAGAAATAGTGACTTCCTCACCTCCGATATGGTCTACTGGAATCCCACATTCCTCCAAAGCACGTAGGACGCCCTATGGAGGACGTGATAAATCCGAGCCACGGGGCACTTCTAGCAAACGTACCAGATGAGAGATACCACGCGCCCCGCCTCCGCCCAGGACGACACCGATCGACTTGCCACATATCCTCCTCGCAAGGCGTGCGAAGTCGCTCATATGCGGAGGCCGCTGGGGTCGTGGGTCGGATCGCGCGCCGCGATACCTCTGGATCTCGCTCTGCACCCGGTCCTTCATCTTCTTGAGCGCCACCACGGCAGCAGGATCTGGAGGCGCAGCTGGTGTTCGTACAACAGATGGGTTCAGGCCCTAGCAAATACTTATCAGGGAGCATCTCCGATTCGATGGGGAGCCAACTCACCGGGAGCTCAACATGGATGTGCTGGTGGACCCAAGGACGATGCTGGCAAGATTTCAGCACAAATTCTCGAAATAGTAACCGGAGTGCAGACACACCTTGAGCCACTCTCGTGTTGATCCAGGCACGACTGACCTATCTGGGTGTAATAGCACGAGCTCCTTCCTCGCTGTTGTCTTTAACGTCAATAGCAGCCTCTCGTACTCTCCGATGCTTGGATCGTCGCCCATGCCTACGACCATCACAGAGTCCGCCTGGCGAATGCACGTCTGCGTCCACGAGCTGCTCACAGCTGAGTCAGCGATATATAGCACGATCCGGTATTTCTGCTCCTGCTCCGCCAACCAGCCCGCCGCCTTGAGCTTGCCCATTCGCGTGAACGCATGCCGGCCGAGGTGGTCGGAGACAGACGCCTGGTTTAGAAACGCTGTGGGTGCCCCAATAGCCTCGAGGGCGGTGTGGAGCTTGCGCGCGAAGGCCTCCACTGGGATGTTGCGGGAGACGGGGAGGATGGCGACGTTCTTGAGATTGATATTCCCTCCGCGGGAGCGCTCAGCTGCCATGCTTTTGTACGAGGTGTCGAGTTCTGTGCGGACACGAGAGGCGATCATGCGGAGAAGCCTGAAAGGGGTTAGGAAGCCGGTTACGACATGTAGTGTGACAAAATACGCACTGGGCTGTTGTCCGCGGATTCCTGTATTACCTATGTCAATCAGCCAGAATAGTACTTAGAGAGGAACTACACATACCGAGCAGATATGGCATTGAACAGCGTCTGCGGCATGCGAATGAGCTCCGTGTCACGGATAGCGTGAACAGTGTTCCTCCGCGGGGAGCTGGCGATGACATCCAGCTCTCCGACAGTATCTCCCTGGCCGTACTCAGCCACGATGGTGATGGCGCCATTTTCCTTCTCGGTGATAGCACGAAGACGACCATTGATAACGATGTAGAAGCTGTCGCTTTCGTCTTCCGGTCGCCAAAGCACTTGGCCGGCATCGACCTGCACCCAATCGAGAGAGCCGTCGATGTGAAGGACTACGGTTCGCGACGTCATGATGCGTCAACGCCGTGTATATGTCATAAGGACGTACCAAGAGGTGAGAGCAGGGAGATCAGACGCTTGGCGAGGGTGAGTAGGACGATCGGGCGTCGTTCGAGTAAGCGTTCCAGGGCGGGCGATGGCAAGAAGCCGACATAGGTGTCCGTCTTCGCGACGATGTCAACGTACGACGCAGTCTGGCAGAGCGACGCTACAGCTGCGTGAGCCGCATACCCGACAGCGATAATGGGAGCAATGACGTACATAGATACCCAGCGATGCCTCCAGGCTTGACGGTGAACAGCGGCTTCTGGGAGCGGTCTTTGTCACTCTTGCTGCGTGTCTGGTCATCAGGGCGAGGGCGCGAACCGCCAAGGAAAAAATCAGAACGAGACTGTGAACGTGTCTCGTTTTGGTCTGGCTGGACGTTCTTTCCTTGCGCGGTCTTGGCCTGTTTGTTCGTCTTCTCCTTCTCGCCGTCGCCGTGCTCCGGGGGCAAGATCATGTCAAGGAAGCCGTCGATGACGTAGAACAGTCCTGTCCAGCTAATCTTAGCCTGAGCTGCACCCCATGGCGAATGAGTGTTTACCAGTATTCCGCTCGCCAGCCTTCGCTAATATGGACCCAGCGGGGAAGAACAATATCTCCACCTCGTTATCCAGATTGCTCAGATGCCCATCCGCATAGAACGATGTCGAGCTCTCCGTCCGCCCCGTGCTCGACGCCGCATCGTCCATCCCGATATCCAGCAGTGACAAAGAGCCGAAAGACGACCTGAAAGCCTCCCGGCCCCCGCGCCGGCTGCTGCTTGCCCCGCTGTCGCTCGGAGGCAAGGCCGGGGAAGCCTCAACCGAGTCCCCGCCGCTCAGTGGCGGCTGGATGAGCCCGATCGACTTGGCAATGCACGACATAACTTCCTCACGCAGATCAAACTCGTCTGCGGAAGCCGTCACCCTTTGCAGCTTGAACGATGGGAGGTCGAGCGGCTCTGGGCGGGGGGTAGGGGCCCCAGCGGTGCCCCCGCTGCTGACGGTGCGCATGATTGCATTCGGACCGTCGGCGTGGTTCCCGGTCGAGGTGAGGAGGTCGCCAGCCTGGACCAAGTGGCGCGAGCTGTGCGCCTTGAAGGGCGTGGCGGGGGAGAAGCCATTCGCAGTCATGCCCGATGCGCTGGAGCCTGCGCGTGGTTTGATTCCAGTTCCTTTGAGCTTGACGTCGTCGAACAGCGAGGACGTGCTGGAATTGCGAGAGGAGCCATAGCTGAAGTAGTCGCCCTCCGTGTCAGAGTCGTTGGAAATGGGCACGCCGTCGAACCGCTGGCGAAGCTGCTTTAGGCCGCCTTGATAGAACGACTGCGGTAAAGGGTGACAGGCGATGTCGTTGATAGCCTTCTCTGTCCGGAGGACTTCCGTTGTGAGGCCGAGATAGTTATGTGCTGCGTTGAAGGTGACGCGAGAGAACCGCGTGAGGATGACTGGAAGACCATGCGTACTAAGATTAGTTAACACATCGAAGGAGATAGATGAGACCCTGCCTTGAACGATGTGAGCTGCCGCCCTGGGGAACTTCTTCGTCAGTCGCTGGAACGCTTCCGCTGGGATCACTGCCAGGGTGCTGTCTTCAAATGCTCGCGCAACGACGCCATAATGGCTCTGCGTCTCTGTGGAGATGCTGGCAGTGATCCGAGCGTCGTAGACAGACTCTCCGTTAGGCGTCCTGCCGTAACGGGAGTCGCGAGAACCGGAGCGTCCACGACGCGGGGAAGTGGCGTCGGCAGCATGCACAGTTGAGCCGGAAGAAGACACCGAGGCTGCACGAGACCGTTGAGCTTGCGCAGAGGCGAGATCCAGCTGCGAGACGTCAGAGTCTGAGCGCCGCGTCCGCGTCCGCAAAGGGGTACCTGAAGCTGGGGTTCTGCTTCGGCTCCGGTAGTCCGCCTCGTCGGGTCTATCACCGTCTTGCCAACTCATCTTAACGTTCTCGGTGAATAAGCTGAGGATGGTGAATAGGCTAGACAATGTTCCACCAGGGCCAACTTGATTGAGCAGCTGATATCCATTCATGTCCTCCTCGTCCCATGTCCCACCTCGACCCTGGTGCATGGTATGTCCGGTCTGAGCGTAAAGCTGCACATTGCCGTCTATGACGCAGTAGAAGCTCTTGTCGTGGTCGAGCGAGAGAGTGTCCCCAGCGAGCAGCCTTCTCGTCTGCAGATGCCTCGCAAGTTCGTGGAAAACCTGTGAGGGATACGATGAGTGCCAGAAAAGATCCTACCTGTTGAGCTCACGCACCGGTTTCTCCAAGAAGCCAAATATGCGAACTGCTTGTAGAAACTCGTCAAGATAGTTGTGGAATGTTGGCTGCTGCTCAGGAGTATTGACATCCGGGTGCAGCTCTTGTGCGTCCGCCTTAATCAAGGGCGGTTCCTTGAGCTGAGTGTACTTGTTCAAGTACCGGAAGCGTATCCAATAATTGAGTGCGACAGCGCAGGCAAGGAAGAGGAGCGCGAATGACCAAAAGTTCAACTAAGTGAGATGATTCGGGACAGATGTCAGTGACCTGAGAGCTGGAGCAGTGCGTTCGTGAAGACATTTACCGTCAAGGTCATAGAGTAGGAGAGGACAGAGTAGATGAATCTGGGCACGGATATGGTCGCAAAAGCAACCAATGCTTTCACCCATGATAGCAACCATACTGCGACGAACAGTTGTGATCGATTGCTCTCTACGAATCGGACAGGCTCTACGCACATATGACCCAGAAGAATGCCGATATCAAGAGAATGAGAGGATGCCTCTCGTCCCCTCCTGCTGACCCATCCGAGGGTGTATCCATGCCAAGTAGCCCGTGCTAGAGTGCACAGCTTTGAATATCTCAAAGACTCCAGGAAAGATGTGGGTAGGGGCGAAAGGCAGAATGGGCAAGCGGCATGACTGTCGGCAGAAAGAAGCCCAGAGGAAGTGCGCGCCACACGCCAAAGCGCCCGTGCAGAACGCGTTCGATTCACGTGCGCACGTTCCTGGTTCCGGTCCGTTCATCCGAGCTGTGCCCAAGCGCTGAGCGCTCAGGAGCACAGTGCTTGTCCTCAGCAGCATCGCTTCCGGCTATGACTCGGATACGCGTCAGTGACCACCCCCGTGTCGTTGTTCATGGGACGGTTCGAGTCGGGGCGCATCGTCATGAGAGCATAATAGTACGAGAAGATGGAAACTCCCAACTGACTACGCTGTGGCCAGACGGCTGATGACACTATTACCCCTCGCTTAGCATACACGCCTGAAATATCATGCAGGTCTGTGTGAGACGAGCAATCAATCGCCATAAGCATGAGATTTCATACTAGCTACTCGGCATAGAATTGCTGAATACTCATAAGTTGGGGCAGAGCGCCCCACGACAACCATACACTCTAACGACAGACCAAGGTTTGTACATTACTTAGGGTCATTTTCAAGGCGTGGTGGCACTGAACACAGACTTCCTTGCAAATCCAACCGGAGGGAGATATGAGGGGTCACGTCTGGCCATGACCGGGAGCAGCGTTCTGCGGCTATGAGCTTTAAAGTATTCCAGTATTGGTAGCCTCGTCACATCCGAGGATCGGCATCGTCGCTAGGATGTGTGACCCAGCACCCCATGGCCGTCGTAGGCTAAGGCAGTTCCACTCGCGAAGCGTTGCGTCCGTCGTTTCAGTGTGGATGCCAACGCTGCACACTGCCTTGATGACCAGGCTGGCGCCTGATCTAGCCTGAGGAACCACAATGCCGTGATTTATACCACTGGCATGTACCTGTAATCAGTTTACGTTGATAGGCCGTCCGCAGTCTTGTCGTCCTGAGCTTGGTCGTCCTGGCGAAGCCAGATGACTAGCACTACGCATACGGCTCAAGACCTATTGTGAATCACGAGTCGCCGCTACCTTCCCTTGACTTACTCTTCTACTTTCCCGTCTAAGCACTATGGTGAGTGCGAGCACCAACATTCAAACAAGCGGATTCGTTTTGCTCATTGCTGATACAGGAAGATGTGAGCAAGACTGAAGCAGACTGGGCTATATGCATACAAGCCTACGAAGAACAATTGGATGCCGCTGTGCAGCGACCGAAGGAACAGTTCGACATGTTCCTCGTCCTGGTAAGTATACATATGTTCTGGTCCATGCGGTCTGTAAGGTGGTGATGGTTCTGATATCCTCACGTAGTCAGCCCTTTTGGCTGGGGCATCTGCGGCCCAATTGACCATGCTCTATCCCTCACTCTTTCCGTCGACGGATCCTTCTTTGGTGCTCATGGCTGGAATCTCGCAACAGCTTGAGAGCTACGCGATCAACTCTGCCTTCGTGAACTCCACGCAACCCCCAATCTCTTTGGCGCAGGCCACGGGCGCGGCCACACCCGCCTTCGACGCGTCCTACTACATTGGGCTGCTGGCAGCCTGTTGCGCCTTCATCGCCTTCATCTCAAGCCTGGCTGTCCTGTGGCTTTGCATCACGTCATATTTGCTTTGGGTGAGTATGGGTGACCAGCGGTCTCAACAGCGTTGTTATACGCGATCGCGTCCATACCATAGCATTGCATGGCCATACATGGAGGTTTTCCGAACCTTCTTCAACGTCACAATTCCCCTTGCGGCCCTCATTTCGGTTTCGTCCCTTGCCATCTCCCTGCATCTCTTCATGATCGGCCTAGCCGTTCAATTCTTTCAACAAACGGCTTCGTTCATCATCATCGTCCTCTGCATCTTCCTTTCCGCAACTCCCTTCACCTGGATGGTCTACCGCGTGATTGTGGTTAATATCCACACAGTCCTGATGCGGGAGTTACACTACAACGAGAACCATCTGGGTTTTCAGATCGGTCATTTGCTCACTGACGCCACGAGGGTGCGATATCGTCATTGGGCCGCAACGGAGTCTTTTCGAGACGCGGTCAAAGCCGCCATCCTATTGGCCGCTTTCTTCAGTGCAAACGGAGAAGGAATTCTCCGGACGAGCGGTCGGGTGTTCTTTCGAGAGCTGCCTGCGTGGCTCATGATCAAACTTTGCCGACAAGCCTGGCTCCGATGCCGCAAGGACCTGCTGGATTACCATGGACCTTCGATCTCTACCAAACTACCACTCGCCCTGCACTACCTGGATCTTGAGATACTTGAGACCATTGAGGTATTTAGGTTGGAAGTCCAATCCCCGGAACCTGCGACGCACCATCCGTCGTCTGCGCCCTCGAACTTCTTCCCTCTTCTGGTCCTTCTCGGTGGATACGTTCCTTATATCGGTACCCCTTCAATGTTCTCTGCGATGTTCTCTCTCAAGTCTTACAAAAGCGAGGTACACGACACCGAGCCAGCGATCCGTGCCAAGCAAGTGACGAGCTTGCTTCGGCGAACGCTCCAGATCGGACCCGTGTGGCCCCATACCCAGCAAATTGACCCCCTCTTCTTTCCGCTCATGGCCACATATGCCACGCGAGGAGAACCCTATGGACGTCTCGCATTAGCGATTCTGCAGCTCTCCCTTGAGCTTCCCCAGCTCGAGCAGTACGGTTTCCCATCTGGAAGTGTCGAAGGTTAGTAGCTGTTCATTGACCGTTTCTTACAGATCACTACACTCACCTTTCCATACGACGTAGTCATGAAGGCGCTCAATGCGGTTGCCTTCGACCAATGTGTCCAAGAAGCGTCATCAACTGACGGGCTGAAGACATTCTTCGTCTGCTGCAGGCTGGCGCTCAACGTGCTGAGTGCCTCGAGGAAATGCCCGGACGTTCTTGGCGACCTTCTGGACCAGGCGGAGAGCATGTACAAATCCCTGGAGTTCACGCTCGTAGCGCCACTTTGGAGGCAGAGGCAATGGGCCCGCGATCCCGCTGCGCTTCAGGAATGCGGCAAGATTCTGGTCGTGTTGAAGAATAAGTCCAAGCCACCCGGATCTCCCACTGCCAGTCTCATCACCCCGTCGCTGCTCGATGCATTCAGGGGCCTCTGTACCGCGATGGCAGAAGATGGGCTAACGAATAGCACCCCGTACCTCGACTGGCATGCATTCGTGATGGACATCGTCGGCGAGCTGGAGGACATCTCAGCTACCAGACAGGCAGCGTCGCTTAGCACATCGCACAGCTCAAGTAGGAGTCTCTTTCGTTAACCGCCCATATTTGACTGACATCTCTCTAGCTCTAGCAACCCTGGTGGCCTCAACCTGAATACGACTCGCCCCGCGTACATTGTGGAATGCCCTCTGGTCTGCACGCTCCAATGCTCCTTCTCAATTGCCTGGAGTGGCGGACGTACCCTCCGCATATCTGTAGCACTTGTCATGGAATGCAACTGAACTCACATCTCACTCGTGGAATCAGAATAGGAATAGTTGCGTATTCACACATAATGGTATCCCCCACCTACAGACAGTGCTGCATCGATCCAATAATAGACAACTAACCACCAATCGCCGCGATTACCAGGTCCGCAGCCGCTTGTTGTTCTGACCGCACACCTACCTCGAGGGTGACGCCCTGCGCCTTCGAGTAGGTCATGCGACAGCGTACGAGCACCTTCCCTCCACCGCCTCCCACGAGACCAGAGAGCTGTAATGTGTGCACGGTCGGCTGCTGGGGCTCTTCTGAGCCGCCCAATGGCTGCATATTGAGGATCTCGATGACGGAATTGCATGCAGCTGCGATGCACAGTCAGGAGGCATCCGACATCCTGGAAGCGAATCAGACGCGACGCACCTTTGAGCGACTCCATAGCAGGTAGCGAGAACGTCTCCGTGAGGGACACGCCGCTACGCAAACGATCCCACTCCGACGCGAACGTAACGTAGCTAGGAATGATGTAGTCCGCCGCGGCGAGCTCCGTGTCCTCGAGCTGGTACTCGTCCTCGTAGCCCTCCTCTTCGGGCTCGCCAGTCGTGGGATCGAGCTCCTTGCTAACAAACTTGAGGATGCACTGGAAGGACGCCTGGGCGTACTCTTCTGGATTGTCGCGCGTGAAAGACACATATACAATGCCGGGTGATGTCGTGGCCGTGAGCGTAGGGACGGGGATGATGAAGTCTTCTGTGAGACTGGAGTCGGCTTGCGTCTGCATGATGACGGAAACCTGCTCAAGGACAGTGTCTGGAATAGTGTTGGACACGTTGAACTATGGAAGGCGTCATGAGACAAACGTAGATATGTACAGCGATGCGTGAACGCATACCTGGAATACGACGTGCTCCTTGAATATGTGCTTGACCACAGACACCTGATACTCGGTCTCGCTCTCCGTGAGGGGAGCAGGCTTGGTGCTGCTGTTGAGCACCGGCCCGTATGACGCAAGCTCGGGCACCTCCGCCAGCTGCTGAGCGTAGTTGGACTGGGTCTCTGCAGCGGAGGGAGGCGGCGGCGTGGCGGCCTTCGATGATGAAGGAACGCCGATGGTCTCCAGGGTGCTTGGGCCTGAGTACTCTCCTTAGCTTCTGACAATAGAACACAGAAGGATAGATGACGTACGCGCAGATTCCTTCGCAGCCTGTTCTCTGCTGACCTTGGGTATATCCGTAGCATCGAAGGGCTGATCTTGTGCATCAGGGTCGCTGATGTAGGAAACCAATTTTGACTCGAGAGCGGAAAGGGAGTAGATGGATTCTGCAACTGAGTCAACGCTACGTCTGATCTGCAATAGGAGTAAAAGAGCACCTTCTTTGATGTAAGGCTGCACGAGTGGCGGCTCCTCATACACCTTCAGATAGAGTGCAGCGCGGTCGCGGACCTCATCATCGACATCATCAAGGCACCTACGCCAGAAGTGAGTAGATGTTGACGCAATGTCACGTTTATCGTCCAGCTCACCGGTTAAGGAGCACGTGAATGCTCTTCCCGAGCTTCTCGTCCAGGTTGTTCAAGCCAAACTTCGCCAAGCTGGACACAGCAGCCGCACGAACCGTCGCATTCTCGAGCACGACCCGGTTGTAGATGAACCGGATGTACTTCGTCGGGTTCGGCGCCTTGGGACCCTCAACGCCAAGCAAGTGGAGGATGCGAACTGAGAGCTTCGTGAACTCGCAGTCCTCGATAAATTCGCACAGGTGCGAGAGCGCCTGCTCTTTGCAATCCGCGATGAACTTGATCATGTCGAAGATCGCCTCGACCACCGCGCGCTTAAAGTCGTAGCCGCCCTCGTCGCGAAGCACTCCTGAGAGGAACGCGAGCATCGACTCGTGCTTGGCCGGGAACTTGAGGCAAAGCGAGCGGATGGCATCGACGATGATAACCTTGAACTCGTCGCTGATCTCGCTCATGAAGCCGCTGATCTGCTTCATGAGGCGGTCAACGGAGGCTTCGTTGCCCGTCTTGAGGAGAGTCGTGATGGCATAGGTCGCGACACTGCGGTTCGGGTCCGAGATGAGGTTCTCGAGGTCAATATTGCAGGCAGCGACACTTTGCGGGTGGGTGACGGCGAGTGCGGCCAGAGTGCGGGTGGCAGCGAACTTGAGCGTGGACTTGGGTGAGGAGAGGAAGAGCTGGAGAACTACGATGGCGAGTCAGAGTGAACCATGGTTTACTTGAGAGAGGACTCACCAGCAATAGACCGAGTGAGCTGGGCGGGGGTGACGTTCCTCATCTCGCAGATTACCCGTGCAGCCTCGAGGTTGACCATGTCGCTTTTGTGACGGAGCCAGCCTTCCAGAAGGTCAAGCATCTGTCTCTGGACGCTACATGCCGGCGTTAGGATATCGTTCACTAATACGACTCAGTAAGAGCACGTACTTCGGGTCCTCCTCCATGACCTTCGCCGCATATCGGATGAGCATACACAGCGCCATCGGGTTCTTTAGCGTGGTCCCCGCACCGGACTTGCCTCCACCCAACTGCTGGATCATCTTCGTCACCGCCATCCGGTCCTGCTGCCTAATCGCATACAGCAGCCCAAGCGCATGATACTGCGTGACATAGCTCGTGGACGGGATCGGCTGGTACCCCGTGTTCGAGCTCGACGACGAGCTGCCCCAGCCCAGATACCCCCCGCTGGAGCTGCCCGAACCGAAGAAAGATGACGACTTGGCGTTGACCGCCTCCTGCGCTTCGTTCACCCATCGCTTCACGACGTCCTTGGCGTTCGGGAAGAGGTGGTACGCCGAGACAAGCGCGGCGGATGAGATGGATGGGTTCTTGTCGACGATAGCGGCCTTGAAGAAACGCTCCACACCTTGTGCCATGGAAGGCTACCGTTCAGTCTTAGCTAACACCCTTGTGAATGTGACAGGCGGTAGCAGGAGGGACTCACGTCGATGATGCGGGCGAGAGCACGGATAGCATTCGGCCGGTAGATGACCTCCGAATTGGGCTGCATGTCTTTCATGATACTGGCCGTAACCATAATAACATCCTCTGCAGTCAACGCAAGTTCCTTGATCGCGAGGTAAACCATTTGGCGCAAAGCACTCTGTCGAGACGAAGCCATCAGTCCAGCCTGTACTTCCCAGAGAACTGCTCGGCTGTGTCCAAGCAGAACAAGATACGCACGTCCTTGTGCTGGAACAGCTTCGTCGTGCCAAAGAACAGCGTCGTTGCTTCCTGTGTATTGAATGTCTCCCCAACATAGAGGAGGTACACGATGCGCGTGAGCAGAGCTCTGCACTTGCGCGGGCTTATGGGGGACTCATTGAAGACGCGGGCCTCCTGGATGATGGTGGTCTTGTTGTTGTAGTACGTGCTGAGCCCGCTCTCCTCGTCCTTTTTCGTAGCGAAAGCCATGGTGGAAATCGAGGAGACGAGCGCGCGCGGCGGACTCAAAGCGCGACGTGGAGGGAGGGATTGTGCGGAATCTTGACCGGCGCCCACACATCATCCTAACTCACCGCCACACGTGGCCCACCCTCCGCGCGCGGTTGCCCAGTACATCGTATCTTTCCGAGAACATTTCGCCGAGTTGCAGAGTGCGCAAGCAATGCCGAAAGCACTAACGTCCAAATTTGAGATGCACAATTTATGATATACTCGTTTATATAGACGAACACGCGATCAACAAAACACAGCGACAGATACTACGCAGTAAAGGACAGGGAAAGGCACGATACTCGCGAGCTGCGGGGACGAAGATGTGACAATGATGAGGATGATTTGTGAGGTGTTCACGATATAAGAAATACAACGGGGATCAAACCGCGCCTGGTCTCCGACGTCGCTGCCCGCTTCGCTCTAAACACGTCCGCTCCCACCAACCTACCAGCCTCCTCCTACCGCGGCGTGCTCCCCCCACTCTACCCATCGATGACCTGCCTCCTGCAACCATCCACCCTTCCTGACCAGACGCGGCGCCCTCTCTCTGCCAGCGCGCCCTCAACGGCGACCCAATCGCAAATCGGGATCGGGCTCCGAAGAGGTGGAGGAGAGAGGATCCAAAGGGCGAAGTAACGAGATCCAGCAACGTGACAACGAAGCACTATACGAGAGAGAAAATGGGGGGGATGAAGGAAATATCAACGAGGGGATGGCGCGCTGGCGCGCAGTGGGCGTATTAGGAGCGGCACGAGGGAGGTTGCGAGCGAGAAACGTATATACAGTGGAAACGTGATCAGGGGCGTGATGATGCGTGTAATGTGGTGTGGACGTGACCGCTCTGGTCGACGATTGCGAGAGTGTGAGGGGGGAGTCATCACGTAGTACGGCGCAAGGGGGAATCGTATCATGCGAGAGGAATGAGGCGGCCCACCCTGGAACGACTTCGGCAGTGAGGCCGGCAGAGGGGGCGTGAAAGGAAACAGCGTCCGTACGAAACCGAAACGTGGGGCAACTCGGTCGATGAGCGTGTGGGGTGTGCCCTTGAAGCTAGCACCCCGATCGCAAAGTTGGCGTGTCCGGGAGATCGAACCTGTTGACGAGGGCGAGTTGTTGGACCATCTCCGTGAGCGCGATCCGGGCCGACCGTCCTAGAGAGGAAGGCTAGGGTCTGCGCGATCGTCCATCCACCGCCTGCACGTCTTGCTCTCGGCGTACTCCAACTCCTGCGAAACGTCCACCTGTCCACGCGACCGACGCGACCGACCAATAACATATCCGACATCCAATGGATCCATACCAATGGCGGCAAACCTATACCGAGCGCTGATGCATCTACCCTCCGCCCCCCATGCTCGGTCGGACCCGGACGTGCTTTGACAACGACTTCCCCGTCATGATAGAGGAAACCGTTTACCAGTGCTCGTCACGTTGGCGCATGGGACGCTGCTGGCCGACGGCACCTGCGGCGGCTGCGGCCTGCTGCTGTTGGCGAGTGTGGGAACGCAGCCTATGCGGAGTAAGTAAAAGTGGGCGAACCTTCAGTTACGCCGGAACTCACATCCTGTCGCTGACGCGGTGCTCCTCTTCCTCCTGAAGGACCTTGCGACGGTTAGCGGCGACCTTGTTGCTGGAGCTAGCGCCTTCGTCCAACGCTCGCTGCATGCTCCAGTCGAAGACGTAGTCGTACTGATAGCCCTCGCGGACGAAAAGGTCGCGGAAAAGCTTGCGGAGGTAGGAGTAGTCCGGCTTGTCATCGAAACGGAGCGCTCGCGTGTAGTTCAGGAATATGCCAAACTCATTGGGGAAACCACGGCACAACAGGTCGGTCGGAGTGGTCATCTTCTTCTCCATGATCCGGTCATATTTCTGCTTCTTCGTCGCAGCCTTGAGGCCCTGCCAAGGAAGGGAACCACGGAGGAAGTACATGAGCACGTAGGCGAGGGACTCTAGGTCGTCTCGACGGGCCTGCTCAACACCCAAGTGGGTGTTGATGGAGGTGTAACGAGCGGTGCCCGTTAGGTTCTTGTTCTCCCTGTAGGGAATGTGGAGATGGGTCTTCGGGTCGCGGTACTTCTTCGCCAAACCAAAATCGATAACGTTGACCTGATTGCCACGCTTGCCGATGCCCATGAGGAAGTTGTCGGGCTTGATGTCGCGGTGGATGAAGTTACGCGAGTGGATGTACTCGATACGGGAGATCTGCAATGACGTGGCAGTAAGACGATCCGATAAAGTGGCCGCATATGAAGTCGTGGGGAAAGAGTCTACTTACAAGCTGATCAGCGAGGAGCAGCACAGTCTTCAGACTGAACTTCCGGTGGCAGAAGTTGAAAAGGTCCTCGAGAGAGGGGCCGAGAAGGTCGATCACCATGGCATTGTAGTCACACTCCGTCCCAAACCAACGGACAAAGGGGACACCGACACCACCCGCGAGAGTCTTGTAGACCTTGGACTCATACTCGAGCTGGGGGTGCTTAGCCTTGACTGACTCGAGCTTGATAGCCACTTCTTCCCCGGAGATGATGTTGATCCCGAGGTAGATGTCACCTACAATGTTGTGTTAGACGAGCCGTACACTCAGAGGCCAGATTCGCGACGCACCGAAGGAGCCCGAGCCAATTTTCTTGCCCAACCTGTACTTTCCACCCACGCGGAGGTCGAGGCGGTGCGAAGAGGAATCGGCCATCGATGTTAGAATTGGATGTGATTGAGTCTGAGGAAAGTTTGCGATGAGTGATTGAGCAAGCCTGACAAGGAGGGAAGGAGGGAAGGAGACGAGAAGGTGGAAGGAAGCGGCTTAAGAGGGCAAAAGGGGGAGGTGGGGGGCGAGGCGGGTTGAACAGCGAGGGCATCCTGGGAACGCCCAGCACAGCATCGGCGCAGCCGCCTACAAAGGGCTCAAGAAGGACGCTTTCATGGGCCCGCGAGATAGCAAGGATCTTTACGTAGGGTGCGGCGTGGTCGGCAGGAGACAAGGCCGGAAGGTGTGTGGCTACCTCGAGGTGGCGAGGGCGGGCTGAGGGGGCTAAAGTACGAAAACCTGAACAAAAACGGCACTTACAGAGAACTGAGAGAACTGATGGGTTGAAGAAGATGTTGAGGGGGAGATGCGAGAGCGGGAAGGGGCGTATATATGGAGGAAGGAAGGGGTTCGAGTACAAGGGCAGGAGGAAGAGGACGAAGACAGCGCAGCTCAGGTGGCGGGGCCTGCCCCGTGGGAACATTGGCCAACCAGAATAGGCGCCCAGAGACCACGCCATCCCATCGATTGCTGTCCCCGCCGTCGTCGCCGTCGCTTCACCCCGTCCATCTCGTTTCTCCCGCCTCTTTCTATGCCTCTCGTCTCCGATGCATATTTGTATGTTGTTCTATCTCTCGGTGTACTTCCGCTGGTTTTTGCTACCGGATTTGTCGACCTTGCATCTCCCAGGCCCGAGCGCCTGACGAGAATATTACGCATCCAGCGTCCTGCTTCACCGACCCTCCTCCATCCATCGAGGTGTCGGCGAATGGCATCGGGCTGCCTTCTGCGCTGCTGCATATCCCGCAGACCCGCACTGGGCCTCCGGCGGCGCGATCCCCTACGTCGCATCATTTTGACCGGCGCGCAGGAAGACTGTGTCCGCGCTTCTGTCGGCGGAACCTTTCCTGTACCGAGTGCGTCTGTCCTCCGACCGGTCTGCCCTGTCGCCAGCGCGCCAGCCGCTGTTTGAATGGCTGTGAACACTTCCCCGGATCCTGCTGATGCATCTCGTGACAGCCACCATCGTCATCACTCCGCTCGCGGCTTCACTGTAGCCTTGGTCGCCACTCCATACATCCCGGTTTGTTGACAGTCAAGTACTTCTTGCCGATGATCTGTCTGGTTGCTGCTTGACCCTTCTAGCTTTCGGTCCTGCTTTGGTTCTCATGGCTTCCCAACTGCGCCCTTCAAGCTCATCGGTGGATATTTTTGGATTTGCTCTTGCGACTTCTCCTCATTTCTCGTTACTCCACATGTGCCCTCTTGTCGTTTGCTGCGACATTCCATCAAGCTTCGGATAGGCGTGTAGGCATGCATGATCCATTGCTATGGTCCAGCATTCTCGTGCGGATGCCCGTGTTGCCGCTGGTGACCCTGCTATGCCGTGGACGCTCTCCCAGACAGGAGGTGTGAAGAGAAGCTCGTGTCAGGTAATCGATGCCTTGGCTCACTTCTGTCCACCTCTTGTTCTCACAAGGCGTCTAGCTCTATATTGTCCTCATCGCAACCGTTTGCTTGTCGTAAGCGTAGACTCAAATTCAATTGCAAGCACTCGTTACGGTCAACATCGAAGACGGTGTCAGCATGTCCGCGCGGCATGCATCGCTGCGCGCTAGTCGTTGGATGTGTGCGCGTGCCTGGTTTCAGTACATGGCAACGTGTCCTCCGCGTCTAAACATATAGTGGCTAGACAATTGACGAGTGCTGTAAGGTGCTGTATGCTAGTACTATACTCAGTGCGCACAGAACAAATCCGCCACAAGTGTGAATAGGAAACGGTCCTAGAGAGGTCAGCAACGTCGCTGATGGTGCCAAGAGCGAGGCGGCGTTGGACGGCCGGATTTGAAGCACTGGTGCCGAAAGCGGGAAGAGAGCGATCTTCCCGTTCACAGCCAGTTGCTTCCCTCTCCCAAACGACGACCTCCTCCACCCCACCCCGGGCCTCGTCTCTCTCGCTCGTCCCCTGGCGGTTCCGTGGTGCAGAGCAGACTCTCATTCTTTACACAACACACTCCTTCTCGGTTCAAGTCCGTCCCTTCGCTCCCTGTGACAGGCCTCGTCGTCTCCCCAGCCACAATAAGAAATGTCTTATCACCAGCAAATTCCTCAACACGACCCGTACGCAAACGCGTATCCTGACTACCCCCCAGCTGCCCCCCAGCCCCACAATGCCTACAACAACAATCCCACCGCGCACCTCGCCCAGCAGGCCATGCAGCAAGACTACTCGTTCGACCAGCACTCCAACTGGGACGCCAAGTCCTACAACAGCAGCTACGCCGGCTCCCAGGCGCATCTCAACCCACACGAGATGAGCCAGGTCCATGCACCGCCCATGCCGACGATGCCCTACCAGGGCATGGGCAACTACCCGCCCCAGCAGCGCCCTGGCATGCTCCGCGAGCAGAGCTCAGGCTATTCTGTCGCGCGCGACAAGCTCATGAAGAGGCGGTCGGTGCGCCACGTCGAGCTGCAGCAGGGCAACCTCGTCCTGGATATGCAGGTCCCGTCCCACATCGTGCCGAAGGGTATGGAGAAAGCCGAAGAGATGACCAAGTTACGGTACACGGCCGCGACGTGCGACCCGGACGACTTCATGCGCAACAAGTACACGCTCCGGCCATATCTCATGGGCCGCAGGACGGAGTTGTTCATCGTGATGACCATGTATAACGAGGACGAGGTGCTCTTCGTCCGCACTATGAACGCGTATGTTCGCTTTTCCTCCTCCTCGCGCTATTTTTGCAGTCATGCGGGTAGCGGGTGCAGTTTGCTGAATGCAAGCCCTCTTTCAGCGTCTTGAAGAATATCGCGCACCTTTGCAGCAGGACTAAATCGAAGACTTGGGGTCCTGACGGCTGGAAGAAGGTTGTTGTCTGCGTGGTGTCTGACGGTCGGAGCAAGATCAACAAGCGCACCTTGCAAGTGCTCACGCTCGTGAGTATTCTCCATATCCTGTCGGAGTAGCGACAGATGCTGGACTGCGTACAGATGGGTTGCTACCAAGAAGGTATCGCAAAGGATTCAATTGGTGGCAAGGACGTGACTGCACACATCTTCGAGTGAGCGCGACGCACTCTAATCCTAATTGCCAATCGCGTTAACTACTCCCCCAGGTACACCTCCAACGTGATCGTCACCGAACGCGGTGAAGTCTCGCAGAGTGCTTGCCCTGTGCAGATCATCTTTTGTCTGAAGGAGCAGAACAAGAAGAAGCTCAATAGGTTCGTTGGCATGCGATGTGATCGCAGTCTGTGATTGACATACGGCCACTAGTCACCGCTGGTTCTTCAACGCGTTCGGTCCCCTTATCCAGCCAAACGGTCGGTACTACCCGTCGCGCTCTGACACAAACATTCGATACTGATGTTATGTGTGACCAGTTTGCGTCCTTCTTGACGTCGGTACGAAACCCACCGGCACCTCCATCTATGAGCTTTGGAAGTGTAAGTGGACGCGATGACAGCCACAAGTCGTATGCAATCTGACTCTTACTTAGGTTTCGACAAGCATTCCGGCGTCGGCGGCGCTTGCGGAGAGATCTGTGTCGATACTGGCAAGGGCTGTTCCCTTCTCCTCACCAGTCCGCTCGCGGCATCACAGAACTTTGAGGTATGCGGTGATGGCCGGACTTGTGCGCCGCAAATGCATGGAAGCTGACATCTCATGCGCACACAGTACAAGATGTCGAACATCCTAGACAAGCCCTTGGAAAGCGTGTTCGGCTACATTTCCGTGCTTCCCGGTGCCTTCTCTGCATATCGGTACAAGGCCCTCCAGAACGGCCCTGACGGCAAGGGTCCGCTTGCTTCCTACTTCAAGGGCGAGACGATGCATGGCGCAGGTTCGGACGCTGGATTGTTCGGTACGTATTCAGTACATCTGAGTTCCTCGCCTTCAAGGTGCTCACCGTGGCTGTCTGTCCAGAACGCAATATGTATCTTGCCGAGGATCGTATCCTGTGCTTCGAGATTGTGACAAAGAAGCGCGAGTCTTGGGTGTCAGTATCGGATAACGTATCTCCCATGATCGGTACTAACGCTCTTGCTACAGGCTGAAGTATGTCAAGAGCGCGAAGGCGTCTACTGATGTGCCCACCACGGTCCCCGAGTTCATCTCCCAACGCCGACGCTGGCTGAACGGTTCCCTGTTTGCTTCCGTGCACGCAACTGTGTTCTGGTGGCGCATCTGGACGTCCGGACAGGGCTTCTTCCGCAAGATCCTCCTCCAACTCGAGTTCATCTATAACGCGATCCAGCTCGTGTTCACCTGGACCTCCCTCGCCAACTTCTACCTCGCGTTCTTCTTCCTGGTCTCCTCGGCTACCTCTGACGTCAACACCGATGCCTTCAAGTTCCTTGCGAAGGGTGCCGGTCCCGACGTCTTCGAGGTCTTCTTGAAGCTCTACCTCGGTCTCCTGTTCATCATCCTCGTTTGTTCACTCGGCAATCGCCCCCAGGGCTCGAAGTGGACATATACGGTCTGTATAGTCCTCTTCGGCCTGTGCAATGTCATCACGCTCTGGTGTGCTGGCTATACCGTTTACCTCGCGGTGCCGCACACGGTTGCGGGCTGGAAGGACTTCCCCCAGTACGTTCATCTCGTTCTAGCTCACCCGTGACAGGCATTGACGTTACCATGTGCCGCACAGTCTGGTCGAGACGAACGCTACCTTCCGTGACATCGTCATCTCGCTTGCGGCAACTTATGGCCTCTACTTCGTCGCTTCGTTCATGCACTTTGAGCCCTGGCACATGTTCACCTCGTTCCTCCAGTACATGTTCTGGCTTCCTAGCTGTGCGTACCGCCCTCGCTTCTGCTATCCTTGCGTTCCCGCTGACAGTTCCATGCCTTGTCCAGACGTCAACATTCTCAGTACGTAACGAGCCCCAGCGGTCACTACGCCACCCCTACTGACAGTGATTCATAGTGATGTACGCCATGTGCAACCTGCACGATGTCACCTGGGGTACCAAGGGTGACAACGGTTCGGCGAAAGATCTCGGCGGCGCAAAGAAGGTCAACAAGGACGGCAAGGAGGTCATGGAGGTCGAGCTCCCCACCGCGCGCGAGGACGTGGACCAGGTCTGGCAGGCGTCCCGCACTGCGCTGTCGTTCAAGCCCCCAGAGGAGAAGGAGCACCGTGACGCGGCGACGAAGCAGGCCGATCACGACCGCAACAGCCGCACGAACGTCGTCTTGGCCTGGGTCGGCACGAACATCCTTATGATCCTCGTCTTCACGTCGTCGGCGTTTACCAAGTTTGTGAACGACCACGTGCAGTCGACACAGGGCGCAGCCTTCAACCCTTACTTGACGTTCCTCTTCTGGGCCTTGTGAGTACTATTCCTCCCTACCCTTCCGCCTCCCTCATGTGTGTGCCCGAAGTCGAATGGGGTGCTGATGATTTGGTTCTTCACTCTTCACAGGGCCGGTCTTTCCGCCATTCGCTTCTTCGGCTCGTTCTCGTATCTGCTACTCCGTCTTGTGGGTCTGTGATAGTCCGACATCCTAATTATTCGTATTGCCTCGCGATTCTCGTTACCCTTGCTTACACCCCTACTACCCTCTTCTGCTCGAGTCTGTACTTAGAGCTGGCCCTTCCTCCGTTACCGCAGTTTGATAGGTAGTGAACGATTCGTTGTATCTTGTACGTATACGGTTACCCCATCCGTTCGTTCTTCGGGTCTCTCCCTCCCTTTACCCAATACCGTCGGCGCGAGTACTACCTGGCAGATGTGATTCGCTGGTTCGGTGCACATATGATGTTACGGTATATTGTGGCGACTTTGTTGGTGGGTGGTCGGCCCTCCGGCGCGAGGCGATCGGACTTGTTTGTATATGCTGCCTGAATATGTACTTGGAGGGATACCCTGACACCGCCGGGTGACAACTGGATCCGTCAGGGATCGGATTAAATTTGTTCGAGGGCGGTGCGTATTACGAGACATGTCGTGGCTGTTCGCCAAAGGCACGGGAAGCTGATATGTTCAGGAAGGTTGAAGACCTTCCCCGATCCCAGTCAGTGCCTGTTTGCGGACATGTCGGATCTTTGGGAAGGTCCGAAGCAATTATATGCTTTGGATGCCGAATGAGATTCCGTGAGGTGTTCGACAGATGTGTAGATACTGCTGCAGCGCCTATGGATGGAAACAACATTGGACATATGTTCACATAGTGGGGTTTACAGTAGCCACCACGCGCGTCCTGCGATCGGGCTTCGCCGACGCCCGCTCCATACCGCCCTGTCCTCTAGCCACATACACAGGTCTTACCAATAGTAGTCGTCCATTGAAACCATTCTTGAGGCCCGGAAACGTACGTATTCGCAGTGGCAGCCTTCGGAATTGCGTGGATCGTGAGGGTGCGGACGCCCCGCGACGGGCCTGCCGGGGCCCGCTGCAGGGAGCGGAAGGACACGTTCCGTGTGGAGGGCGAGTGTGAACATGGGTTGTGAGCGTGTACTCGAAAGTCGCTGGTGGAGGCAGGACGCCCCCGGGTCCGGGAGTCGTCCCACCGAGCAGCCGCCACAAGACCCCAGCTGCGCGATGCTTCAAAGCCTGCAGCAGTCGTACCACCGTCCACTTCCCCCCATCGTCCGACGCGCCCCGCCCACTGTCACCCGCCGACGTCTTCGCGTCGTCCCCAACTCATTTCCGCCGGCTGCGAGCAGCGAATGGGAGGGAGTGGTTTGCGAACCCCAGCAAAAGTGGTCACAAACGGGATCGGCTATTCTCTCATCTCCTTCGGCCTTCCGGGCTCTGTAGTATCGACGCTCTGCATCCGACTATATACCTCCTCTTGCGTGGCCGGTGCTACTCAGTCGTTTCCGAACCTTCCGGACAGGGATCGCGCTTCCGTTCAGGGCTCCCGAGTGCTCCGCTACCGATACCACCACCACCATAGTTCCAGGAGACGATACCTCCCACATCACACGCCATGGCCACAGCAGGACCGTCGCTGCCCACTGCGAGGACAATCCAGGTTGACACGCGTGGGGCAATGATCCTGGATGAGGAGTCACCTGAGGTGCGTGTTCGGGATTCGCGTAGTGTGGTGGGATACGCTTCTCAAGTTCTCCTTTGTTCTATCTTTTCATTTCTCCCGCATGTGGGCGTCCTATGCCCGTATTCGTGTCGCCCACGACGGTCTCTTCGTCGCCATGCTTCGCGCCGTGCCCGCGACTAGACGCGCGACTCTCGCGGCATCTACTTTCCCAACTATATCGAGCCCGTCTCGCACATCGCTGTCGACGTACGTTCTTCGTTGCATCTTCCGTGCGGACGATCACTACATGCTGAGCGATCCGGGATAGATTGGCGGATCGCTAGCGAAAGTCATCTACTTTACCCGATCTACGAACCCGCCGTCCTCGCCATCCCAGATTGCAACGCGCGGATCCTCGCCCAGCAACGTCCTCACCCCCCTCTCCTCGTCCCCGCCCAAGGATAGCCCATTATCCTCACCGTCGGCGCGACCCAATGGCCACAGTCACAACGGCCCCACCCACAACAGGGGCGCCCTCACACCAGCGGTTCTCGAGCACGTCAACGGCAATGGCTCATCGTACCTCGACGCGATACCCCACCCAGCAGCAGCCGCCGAGGCGACCGCCGCGTCCGCAACCTCCACCCTGAACGGGACCGCGACCGCGTCGCTCTCCCCCCAATCGCTGAACGCGAGCCACCTGCACGACTCGCTCCTCAGGCGCGCGTCCGTGCAGCACTTCCCCGGGGGCTCGCTCAACTTCGAGCGGTTCGAGACGGAGCACATCGAGGACTGCGTCGCGTTCATCCGCGCGCTGATCGAGCGTTCCGCCGAGATCAACGGGGTCTCGCTCGCGGACATGCGCCGCGGCGTGCAGGTCGTCGCGACGGGCGGCGGCGCGCACCGCTTCTACGCGATCCTCGAGCGCGAGCTGCGCGTGGACGTGCACCGCGAGGACGAGATGGCGTGCCTCATCGAGGGCCTCAAGTTCATCACGCTCATCCCGGACGAGGTGTACTACTTCTCGGACGAGCTCATCCACTCGGTCTCGCACCCGCAGCAATCGCAGCAGCAGCAATCACAACAGCCCGCGACGCTCGAGCGGCCGAGCCCGGACCCGCCAAAGTACGCGGTGTCGTTCGTGCAGGACCCGGTGCCGCAGCTCCCGTGCTTGCTCGTGAACATCGGGTCGGGGGTGTCGATCGTGAAGGTGGACGAGGACGGGTCGTACGAGCGTGTCAGCGGTACGAGTCTGGGCGGGGGGACGCTGTGGGGTCTGCTCAGCCTGCTTACGCCCGCGACGACGTTCGACGGTGAGCTGAGCCATCTTACACCCGGCGTCTCACTCTAGTTGACACACTACTGTTTCGGCCTTCTGTGGCATGACAGAAATGCTTGCGCTGTCGGAAAAAGGCAACAACGAGACGGTGGACATGCTCGTCGGCGACATATACGGGTCGGACTACAGCAAGCTCGGGCTCAAGTCGACGATGATTGCGAGCACGTTCGGGAAGGTGTTCAAGAAGCAGGGCAGGAAGAAGGGCACGTTCAGGGCGGAGGACATCTCCAAGTCCCTGCTGTACGCGATCTCGAACAACATCGGGCAAATTGCGTGCGTGTCATCCCGTTTACTTTGCCCCGCCCCTGTCCCCGCGGGAGAGGATCGTAGCTCTGCTCCACACGAGCGTGCTACGGCCACGGCTACTATAGTTATTGCTAGCTGCTAACGCGCGTGCTTATCATGTCCAGGTACATGAACGCAGAGAAGTACAACCTGGACCGGATATACTTTGGCGGATACTTCATTCGAGGTACGTCATCTCCCCGCGCCACAGACGTATACGCCCTCGGTGCGGTCTGGGCTCTGGGCCGCGCGCTGAAGTGTACGCATTGACTGACCGTCGGCGTGCTATCGACCTCGCAGGTCATGCGGCGACCATCAGCACGCTGTCGTACGCTATCCGGTTCTGGAGCAAAGGCACGAAGCGGGCGCTCTTCCTGCGACACGAGGGCTTCCTGTGAGTGGTGCTGCTGTGTGTTATTCTCGGGATTAGCGTCAAGCGGTCCTGTCGTGCAAGAACGTTCGCTGATCTTCCCGTGTCCGATTTCGCATTCGCACTGCCGCCGTCGTTCGGGGCGCGCGCTCGCGGTCGGCGATGCAGTGGGGCGATTGGCGCGTGGATCAAGAATATCGGCGAAGGGCAGGAAGCCGACCCGGCGAGCTAGAGCATCGGTTTAATAGCTCAGAGTATCGCTCAAGCGCGTGCTTACTTGTGGACGAGGTCGGGTCTTGTAGGGACTGGAGCGGCGGCGGCGGCTGGGCTTACGGTGGATCGTGAACTAATCGGCGACAGCGGATCTAATAAAGTACGTGTACGTATAAGTAATATGACAGGCCGCACGCGCTGCGCCTTGTACAGCCAGCGAGGTGGCTTCCAACCTTGGTTGACACGTATACACGCCAGAGTGGCAACTAGCTGGCAGATGGCGGTCGATCCCGGGCTGGCTGGGATGCGAGGACGCCCGCGAGCAACAGTCGTTACTCTCAAGAAGAAGAAGTTGTGCGGGCTGCAGTTGTCTGATAGCACGCGGGGACGTAAGCGTGATCAGGCGTTGCGGAGCGAAGCCCTGTCCAGCCCTTGGTCGAAATCGGATGACGCATATCACCCGTCATGCATAACATCAGATCGTGAGATCTATAGCAGCCCTCGCATCTGTTATGATCGCATTCGGACTAGGTCATTCACGCCTGTACTGGCATCCCACACACGTTTGCTGTACGAGCCGTGCCAGGGCACCACCGGGAGACCTCGAAACGCGGACGTACAGGACGATAATCATGTGGTTAGGAATAGACACGGCATGGGAGGGGACAGCATGGGCGAGTCTGAGAGCCGACCCGAGACCGGCTTCTGGGCAGACGAGCAAAAACTGCTATATATAGGCGCCCATAAACGGCCGATGATACCGACTTGGTAGTCATCATGCCAGGATCATGGCACGTGGGGCAGACAGCTCACGCTTGCACTCACAGGCACAGCTCTTGTCTCTTATACCCTAACCGATCCTATCAACCGTCATTTTTTATATGCCTGCTACTGTGTAAGACCGTTCCATTCCAGGCGCCCCTGTTTGATATCCATTCCCAGCTCCGTCCCCCCGTGCGCTTGATAGCAACAATGGCTGTCGTAGCACTCTTGAATGCAAGCATAGCCAATGTAGCAGCTTTGAATGAGAGAGCGATCGATGGCGACAAGGAGCCGGCGGAAAGTGGCGGTGATGCAAAAAGATTCGAGCATAAGAGGCAGGGGCCGATCATATGTATATAGCTGCCGGCCGACATCGGCCATTTGCACAGTGATGACGGATTGAGAGGACATCCATTAGCCGTGAGACAGCTCGCTCAAATCCTCCTTTCGTCTTCTATAAGCAACTCCCGGTTGACATTAAGCCCTCCGTTCCCCTGTACGCCTCTTTCCTCCTCCTTCCATCTCCCTCGTCCGCCGGCCGCCATGCATCCCTCCCTCCCCCATTCGCTTTGGGACCCGCCTGCTGCGGCCTCCTCCAAGATGCCGCCTAATCAGCCTCTCAAGGCGGACCAGACCAAGAAGCCTCGTCACCGTCATGCGCCTCACCAGCTGGCTGCACTCAACGAGCTCTATGACAAGACCGAGCACCCGTCGTTGGAGGAGAGAACAGCACTAGCAGAGCGGCTAGGAATGTACGTAACGTGTCCACCTCGGTCGTCCTCGAAGCACCCGTCTCCCACCGCTCACAGCATGGATCGACTGGTACAGGGAAACAAAGACGGTGAACTCATGGTTCCAGAATAAACGCGCCTCGTCAAAGAAGCGACACAAAGCCCCGCTCACGCAATGCGAGCTGCCGTCTATTTCTGCGCTGATTGCGTCCGTCTCCGCGCCCCCCTCGACGCATCTCTCGCATCAAATCGAATACGACGAGTTGTCCGAGGACGAGTACCTGTCACCTCAGCCGGCGTCTGCTGTACACTCATCACAGCAGCACACGCTCTTCTACGCCGCCGAGCCGCAGCAGAAGGAGATGTTCGAGTCGGAAGGGTCGGTGCCGCGGAAGGCGCGGTCGCGGCCGAGTGCGGAGCAGACGGAGGAGCTGAAAAAATTCTATGAGCTCAAGGCTCACCCGACGAAGGAGGAGCGGGAGGCCCTCGGGGTGAAGATCGGAATGTGAGTGTTGGTCAAACCGGTTGTCATACGATTCCGGATATGGCAGGTCGAGAACTGATTTCCCCTGTTTTGCTTTCCTTCCGGGGCGCTTGTTTTCGACGTCGCTTCCATGCCTGCCATCGGACAAATCACGATCGCCTCATCCGTCTTCTCTGCCTTTCCTGTCCCCCAGGCGCTACCAGAGTGTCACCAACTGGTTCCAGAACCAGCGAAGCATCGCCAAAAAGCGTGAAGAGTCCGCCGCCGCCAAGGCCGCCAGCAGCAGCCAGTCCTCCTCCCGCGCCTACTCGCCCTTCCCCCTCCCGCCCTCGTCCAGCGTCGCACACCCGTCGCTCGGTGTCCCGCCACCGACGTCGCATCCTTCCCTCTCGGCCCTCCTCCACAACATCCCTCGCGCCCGCCGTTCGCCCAGTGCCGCCCCAAGTGTCTCCAGCCGACCCAGCCGACCCTCATCCCCCCGCGCGTCGCCATATCCGGTTCATCAGCCCTCGGTTGATGCGGCCCACCGTCGTCCCCGCCGTACACGCCCCGAGCCATGGCAGCTCGAGGCGCTCAAGAAGCTCTTCAACCGAACAAAGACGCCCTCGATCGAGGACCGTCAACGCCTCGCTGCGGAGATCGGCATGGACGTGGGCAAGGTGACCAACTGGTTCCGCAATCTGCGTCAGTCAGATCGCAAACGTGCCCGCCGAAACGGGAGCGCGAGCGCCGACGAGATGGACGAGGACGCGGACACCACGATGGACGTCGACGAGGACGACAGCACGAATGCCTCCTTCTCGCGGACGGCGACGCCTAGCGCAACGTCGACCTCTGGCGTCGAGTATGTCAAGATGGACGTGGCCGATGAGAAATCCCACCATCACATCCGTCCTCACCAACCCCGCTCAATCTACGTGCGGGCGCCATTAGCGCATTCGCAGTCCGAGTTGGCCAGTGACGAGGAGCTGCCGGAGGCTGTCACGCCTTCCCCGGAGTCGTCCCCGCCGCCACCTACTGTCGCATCGACATCTAGTCTCGCACTTCCTCTTGCGCACCCCCACGCGCGTGAGACAAAGGCTTCGATCGACCGATATGCGCTGGAGTACGCGCAATACGAGAACGAGAAGATCGCACAGACCGCTCAGCCCGAGCTGGAAGCCACAGGCGTGAAGATGGAGGACGCGTTGCTCCTTCTCAGCTTCCACCACGGCACCGTCGTGCACTGATGCAAAAGTATGCGTATTCTGTACGTGATATTACTTCCGTTCAATGGTTTCTCAGCCCGGCCGCTGACCGCGTCTCTGTTGCCAGGTCATTTGTACATATGTATAATTCCCGCAACCATGTCAACGGACCCTTCGCATCCCGTATACACGCCTTCCGTCCCGACATGTACCAACGCGCATCTAACCTATTCAAGTTTACCCGCCGCCACCATGTCTCCATGAACGCTCCGTTCTCACATTGTATGCGTTCGCGTCCCGCCTTCAGCCCTGCGCCCTATCAGCGCGCCACCCCGTGTTGTCTACGCTATACGAACTGTCTGTAGAGTCTTCGTTCGCTCGCACGACGTGCACCCGTTCATGCCTGCAGCCGCAGCTTACTCTTACCTTGTCTTATAATATCCCATACGTTGGTCACTCGCATCACACGCACTATCCCCGCCGTGTTCCACCAAGTACTGCTGTAGTCCGATTATCAATATATATATTTTGGCAGCTTCTCACGCGCGGGCATGAGCATTCGCCGGTCGGCGTATTGGTGCATGTTCCGATGCGACAGGAATTTATCCCGGCCGTGCGCGATGCCGTGTTATATGCATTCGTGCTTGACATTTTTACGCCGTGGGACGCCCATGAACAATCAACCAACACTGCCATCGAGCAGAGAACCAGCGGGTTCGCCGTTCTGAGTGCCGGAGCTGTCTTGTCTAGCGCTCAATGCAGCTCCTGCACTCGGTGTACATCTGGTGAGCGGTTACAGCTGTCTGGCGCAGGTCAACTCACAAGAGTGGGAGAGTAGTGGCAAAAAGCTGAACCCTGCCCGGATTGAACGGACGACCTTGAGGATTCGCCAAGCTGGAATCTCACGCGCTACCACTGTGCCAAGGGTTCATATCTGCTTAAGCAATAATGTTGGATATGTATTGATGGAGACAGGATGAGATAATGCGCTAGGCTCCGGAGAACCTGCGATCGCTGTGTAAGTTCGTATGATCAACCAACACCACGTCTTTCGTGGCTGTAACGGATACCAACAGAGACCTGCCAAACCTTCCAGGCCTGGCATCGTGACTTGTGCCGAAAAGGCTAATGTGCATCTGACCATACTCTATCCACAATGACAGATATAACGCCCCGCTGACTGACACCCGCGTCTGCTGCTGAGACGAGTGACGTCTGTCTTCGACTCTTATTACACTGACCGTCGACAGGTTCTACTACCTCATTCTCCGACATGGGTGCTCTTCTTTCTACAGGATGGGGCGCTGTCCTAGCGCAAGCTTTTCCCCCCAAGCCGCAATTTAGCATCGAAGAGATCCCGGATTTGGCGGGTAGAGTCGTCATCGTGACCGGTATGTCAAGTCCAGGTTTCAAGTCGCCGTGGACCGAGTGACTGACTGGGTCGCCGTCAGGTGGGAATACGGGTATAGGGAAAGAGACTGTCAAGGTGCGATAGCATCGAACTCTCCTGTATCATGTGAACATGATCTGATGCAGGGAATGCCGTGTAGGTTCTCCTGCAACACGGTGCCAAGGTGTACCTAGCTGCGCGGAGTAAGGACAAGGCTCTCGCAGCTATAGAGAACCTGAGAAGCGAGACGGGCAACGAGGCCATCTTCCTGGAAATGGACCTGACTCGCTTGTCTTCGGTCAAGAAGGCCGCTGAAGAGTTCCTTAGGTTCAGTGATTCTTTCTGGGATATTCATGACAGCAGTGTTGAACAGCCTCTACTATCATCAGCAAGGAACATGAGCTGCATATCTTGTTCAACAACGCGTAGGCTGCGAATCGGTATAGTGAGGTTCTTTCTGATACTGAGCTAGAGTACCCACAGCGGCGTTGTGATCCCACCGGTCGAGCTGACCACATCCGACGGGTACGACCTCCAATTTGGCATCAACGTCGTAGGTGTGTTGTCCCCCAGTATACATCCTCCGGCGATGAATAACCACAGGATCAGGACCCTTCTACTTCACCCAATTGCTGATGCCTGCGCTCGTCGCGGGGAGCAAGACCTCGCCTGACCACCACGCTCGCATCATCACGACGTCGTCATCGGCTGCGTACCTGGATACTTTGCACTGGGACACCTTCAAAGACGGTCCTGCGCGGAGACAGCAAACAACACAAGCCCTATACGCGCAGAGTAAGCTCGTAAGTGAGAGCTTCGCGTTGTGGCCGGGTACATCTCAAACGCTCCTCCACGAACATGTATGCAGGCGGACGTGATCGTGGCAAGGGAATTTGCCAAACGTTACGCCGATCAGGGCATCATTGCCATGTCCGTCAATCCAGGTATGCCACTACCAGCCCTCATGTCGGGGCGGTCCATTGACCGCTCGGTCGGTCCCACGCAGGGAACATACGCTCGGACCTCCACCGCAACATCCCTCCCTTCGTGCGAAAGTTGCTGGTAAGACATGTGTCATATGTATCCATCTCACTGCGTCCGTGCTCTGACAAGTTCGACACGGTCTAGTTTGCAGTATGGCTATGGCCCATCCCGTATGGGGCGCTCATTCAACTATGGGCGGGGACGATGCCCGAAGCGCTGAACTATAACGGAGAAGTGCGTTGCCCATACCAGTCTCTAGCGCTTCTCGGTGCTAACGGTTAGATTGTAGTTCTTGATACCCTGGGCGCGTCCAGGCAAGTGCAGGGCGGAGGCGTACGATCTACAAATTGGTCAACGCCTGTGGAACTGGCTCGAGGAGGAACTCGATGCTTTCAGCAGATCAGCAGGTTCGACCTCATAGTACAAGGCAACGACACACTATACTAGTCAACAGAGACACAGTGAAATCAGATACCATTCGGTGACTCCTCGACAGCATAGAAACATAAGGCGTTTGTCAAGAAATTCAAGGACAGCAGCAAAACTAAGAAAATAGTCAATTTCATCTACAACGTCGTTCACACGAGGTATGCTGACGCTGCAAGCGAGGTCTTCGTGCCGTCTGCGAACAGGAGCGTCATAGCCATTCGCGAGTCACTCTATTAGGGAACAACAACAAGTATTGGCGCGCCTAGAATCGCCACTGATTGCCTGAGTTGCTCTACACATTCCGGTATGCCTGCCAAGTAGTGGCGGACATGCTCTAGCCGTGCGAGGTCTTCGACGGCATCCAGAAGCTCGGAATGCAGGAGGTGTCGAGAACTGCCGGTAAGGATACAGCCGTCAGCGGAGATGGAAAGGATAGCCAGTGTGAAACTGCTTGCCATGAATTTCATCACTAGGAGGGAATCCTTGCACTCGCAGATCTAGAAGAGTAGCACCCGTCAGATACTGTACAATATTCTGGCAAGACCGTTGGGAGGGTTATGTTGGAATCTTGGTCTTGCAGTCTCACGGTAGTACAACTTGAATGCCCAATATGGACATGCTTAGGTAATCCTATGGTCCTTATGATCGCTATAGTACATCTGCGTTTTCAGAGCCCAGCCAAATGCAATACACCGTGTTCTCCTTCCCTGCCTCCCTCGCGAATTTCTAAAATTTACTTTTAGGTCAAGGATTGGTACTTGTTATATAGGCGGCGCAGACCACCCCGGATTGACAGCATTTACTCGCTGAAACTCCGCTTCAATCCGTCACTGAGTCCTGCTAACGCTGTTGGGGCTTCTTTCCTCCGAGGCCCCTGTCGTTCTTCCGCCTATGTGAGTATGATGTTCGGTCAACTCAAGTGAGCACACGACGTGATGGAAACCAGGTCACTAGGATGTCAGAGGTAGAGCGTACCCTCGACCTCAAAAGAGATTCAGATCTGTGGTTCGAAGACGGCAATACGGTCGTGATAGCCCAGAATGTTGCATTCCGCGTACACCGGACACTGCTGTCTCGTCACTCCGATACCTTCAATGACCTGTTCACCATTCCACAGCCCACTACCTTGGATTCTGTGGGTGATTGTATGGATGGTTGTCCCATAGTCCGTGTGGCCGACTCTGCACACGATTTCAAGCGTCTCCTCCATGCACTGTATGACGGCGTAAAGTGAGTTATCTCATTTAGTGCATCCTGACTCCATGGCAGCTCACAGAAAATCGCCATATGCAAACATATTATAGTTACCTGAAGCATGACGAGTCGATGGAATTTTCGGACCTAGCCGCGCTCGCCAGGTTGGGGAACAAGTACCAGTTAGACAACCTCGTCTCAGGCGTTTGCGGCCGTTTGGCATCTGTCTTCTCTACAAAGGTCAAGAACTTCAACCCTGCAACTTGGGGCGCCGATCCTCCGCTCATCAATGTGAAAGCCAGCGATACCATTGAGGCGTTCAATCTCTTCCGCCTCCTAGGCAGAGCAGACATGATTCCCGTGGCCATGTATGTATGCTGCCAGCTTCCCATCTCGACGCTCGTACGAGGAGTGACACGGGCAGATGGGACGCGCGAGCAGCTAAGCCAGGGCGACCTCGAGGCCTGCCTGGTAGCACGCGAGGCTCTCACCGCAGGATATGCGTGGCTTTCGCTTACGTTTCTCGAGGTCAGCGCTTGCGGGACATGCACAATCCCCGGACGATGCACACTGGCCATCAGCGACGTCCGCCAAGGCCCCGCATCGGGACCGGATCTCTGCCAGGGGACTGACGTCCTGTCTGGTTCGCTCGCGTTTCTAGCCGGGAGCATGCACCGGGACCAGCTCATATGCGACGATTGTCGGGATATGCTCATGTCGCGGCACGAGTCTATTCGAAAGACGCTATGGGAGCAGCTTCCGACGATGATGAACTTGGGGAACTTGGATGTAGAGAGCTGGCCTCCGTATGATGATTAGTGAGTGTCATGCCACTCCTCGTTTCACTTTGCTTAGTGAAGATTGATGCCTCACTTTCCTGGCTCATAACGGAGCCCGTAAGCGGAGAGTCATGCTGAGCGATCTCTTTCCGAATCCTCTAGATCAAGGCAGCGTTTTGAATGCCAAAATTCACGCCGATCTTGTCGTTGGAACAAGTCAAGTCAACACGCGTGTTGCGCGATTACGAGAGTTGCGAGGAAATCGTGTATTTTGGACCTGTATCCGAGCAGAGACATTTAACTACATCATACCGTGCTTTCCAATTAGACGGCTAGTGAGAAGAGAACCGAGACTTTTGGGAATGAGGATTGGGACGATGGCTGGAAGATCCGCGCAAGCGTCTCGCAAGCCCACCAGGTGGCCTAGAAAGACTCAGTAAGCAGTAAGTATGCTGAGTTGTTGGCGGTAGCAAGAAAGGAAGCCTACTGTTTAGTGAGCGTAGGTCGAGCCAATGGGGCCGTACTTGATGTTGGAGAAGATGACGGTCGCGCCGGGGCTGTTCTTCTCGAGGTCGGTAGGTTGACCAGAGGTCGTCGCGCAGGGGCCACGGGAGACACCGGGCGTCGACGCGGAGCCGTTGGTGGGGTAGTTGGAGTCGAGCCAGAGCATCTGCGCCTCGTGGTCGTCCCAGACGGACATGACGAGGACCATGCCCTTGTCGAACGACTGGCCCATGACGTTGAGCCCGCCGAGCTTCTCAAACGAGTTCGTGTCGCCAAACGCGGTCTTCTGCGCGTTGCAGAACTCGTCGGTGATCGAGTCGTACGCAGACAGGCCGGAGATCTTCGTCTTGGAGTTGGCGATCACCTTGCCGTTCTGGACGTACAGCCGGCGGATCTCGGAGAGCGTGCCCGAGGTCGAGTTGTTCGAGGTGTAGAACTGGGTGACGACGGTGAACTTCTTGGTCGTGTCGACCGTCTTGCCGGGGCCGAGGAACGTCTGGTCGCCCATGCGCCACGAGTTGAAGTCGCAGCCGTCCTTGTCGCAGATGCCGTCGTAGCGCTGGTCGCCGTCGCCGCACTGCGTGCCGGAGCAGCGGGTCTGGCCCTGGACGCTGCAGACGTGGGGCGTCACGGCCGCGCCTTGCGAGTTGGCCTCCCAGATGTCCATCTCGTTGCAGCACGAGCCGTACTGGCCAGTGCCCGCGTTCGGGTCGCTGGGAGACGCGGTCCAGTTGACGACGTTCGCCTATTGATCCAAAGTCAAGCGTCAGAACTCCACCGCAAGAAAGCACATGCGTGCAAGCGAAAACGTACCTCGCCGTTGATGAACTTGATATCGTGTGGACACTGGGTGTCGCAGTAGCCGGTACCGTACTTGGCACCGGCCTTGTTGGTGGAGAAGCGGCTGGTGCCGCCGTCGGCGTCCATCTCGACGAAGTAGAGCGCGCCGTTGAGGCCACAGGGGAGCTGCGACACGTCAACGTCGAACGTGAACTCCTGGTTCTTGAGGTTAAACAGCTGGTACTTGGAGTCGGCCGTGTCCATCAGGTACACACGCGAGCCGATGTTGGTCGAGTACGGGCCGTTCGTCACGAACTTGAGGGTGAGCGCATTCCCGCTCGTCGTGATGCCGTATGTGCCTGCAATGATACAGCGAGTTCATCAGCACGACTTTCATAGCGGAAGGAGGAAGGAGGAAAGGGGGACGCACCGGAGTAGTCAGCGCCATCGAGGGCGCAGTTCTGCGCGCAAGTCGCAGGGTCGGGACAGAGGGACGTGTCCCAGGTGTTGCCGGTGTAGCAGTTGTTGCTGCCGCTGGTCGAGTGGAGCCAGCGCCAATTCGAGTCGAGCACGACGGAGTGGTTCTCGGTCGTGCAGCTATTCGAGCCCGAGCACTTCTGGACCGTCAGCTTGGGGTGCGTCTCGGTCGTGAGCGTGCCGGCTTGCTGGCCGTGCACGATCGCGGCATAGGAGAGGGAGATGAGGGCGAGGGAGGAGAACATCTTGCTAGGAGATCGGGGAGAAGGCCGAAGGCCGAGGGCGAGATCCGTTGGCTGTCGAGAACGAAGCTGTGGAGCTCGATGCTGGATCTATGAAGCCCGAGGCAGGCTTTATACGAAAGGGAAGAGATGGGGTCCGGAAAATATGCGGGTGGTGAGGAGGGGTCGTCGGGCAGTTTCACCGTCGACTAGGATGCCTTCCGAGCTCCTCGACGATATGCGTCGTTGAAGAGCAAGCTTCGGGAAACCGCTGATATTGTAGGGTTCCGACGTGTATCCGTGCTTTTCCAGTGAAGCATCAGGAGGCTGAATGTTAGACATCAAGACACACGGCTCAATACTTGTCCGTCAAAGGTTGGGGTTGAGACCGAGGAGATACCGAGCTTAACGAGAGCGGGGGGACCTTGCTCGAGCTAGTTCATAGGATGCCATAGAGAAAGTCACGTTTTGACGGGGAGCGGCGGCAGAGGCGGAGCATCAGGTCGAAGAGGACACATGCGCATGTGAGCAAGACAGTAGGCGTGGATGATCCCGGTGATGGGAAAGAGTACTTACGAACAGACGCGCCGGGCGAAGCCAAGCGTTCCTTCTGGCAACCAGAAGGTCTTGGCAGCGAGGAGGTGCCGATAACAAGGGCTAAGTATTCTGACCGCGGAGAGTTCAGCAGCGCGAAGCTCAACGCTAAGGTGAAGCTGGCTACTGGCGTTCAGAAAGCAGGTATTTGTCTACATCCTCCTTGGGCAGTTCCGAGCTCAATGATCAATGGCGAGGTTCACCTCATGCTCTGTGATACGTTGTAATCCTGATTAGCCTGACTGCCCAGGAAATTAGCTCAGAACACCGGTGATATTCCGGGACAAGGAGTGAAAAGGCTTACCAGACCAACAGGTAGCGGTCATCAGATCTCGTTGCAGAATAAGGACCGGACGCAGAGGGCTGAAGGCAAACATCAGAGTCACGGTATGCTGCCATCAGCTGGTACATTCAATTGGCAGTCATCTTCGGGCATTTAATGTAAGAATACTGTCATGTGATACTGGCTCTAAACATGGGCAGGCTAAGTCCAGCTGCATGTGCATGACATGAGATAGACGGGAGTAGTTTACGCTATAGCTGATTAAATAAATACGAACACATAGGCTAAGTGTCGATGCCACCATCTGAAACGGAGGCGGTGTGTGCTCGGGCCGGCATGACGCCAGGAAAGAAAGTACGTCGCAACCCTGGTGGCATAGAGAACATGTAGTGCGAGGCATTGCGTTGCAATTACACTGAGTCGAAATTGCAGAGATGCGTGAGGAAACGAACACATCGCGATAGAAGAGGTGCGCGTTGGTACATAGGTTGCGGGGTCCGCACAAAGAAGGGGTTGAACATGATATGTTGGTTGCGAGCGGAGGGTCCATCCTCATCAACGCACGACATAGTGGACGCCACAACTGAGCTTCACAGCCACATGTCGAGAAGCTCGTTCCCCAGAGGGATTTCCGGAGACATCGACCATCGAGGGGCATCGTGACAACGCAATCTGCGACCACATAGCACCCACTATGGGGCACAACGGCACTGACTTCGGCATCATCGAAGTATGTTTGTCTAGCCAATGAAGCCCAGGAAGAACGAGCTTGCCGATAAACGAAAGAGGCATCGGCATCGGCATCGGCACGCGGGGACTGCGAATCGGGGGAGAGATGAAAATAGATGCTGGAAGACCGGTATAGTGGGCAACTCTCATGAACATCGCTGAGCTCAGGAGAACGGAAGACGTTAGGTCCCACGGATCCTTGAGGTGCACTCCAAGGTAAGGAGGAGATCCCTTGCAGTCGATACGATACACTCTGAGGTGTCCTTTGGTCTTCGAGCTGAAAATAATCATTTTCGCGGCCTTCGACGAGCGAGCAGCGAAGCGCACCTTCGACTGGGACTTGTTCGATGCAGCAGGTACTCGCGAGCTAGGCCTCAGACAAGCGTATGCCGTCGCGAAGCTGCCTGCGACGACGAGGAGGTCACCGATCAATGCGTAGGGAAGGGAGCGGGGTACGCGGAGAAAGCAGGGGCGAAACCGACTGACGCGCGCTTACCGTGGTCACGTGGGCTACGCGTCGGTGTTGAGTTTGTGGTTTCGCGGGCGCCCCGGGCGCTTCCCCCTTGATTCCTTCCCCGGCGACCTCCACGCGATACGATTCCCATCCTTGACACCACGCCGCTTGCGGCCTTTACAACATCACCAACATCATGTCGACATGGGGCGTCGGCGACAATCACGACTCTGAAGAGGTCCGTCTTTTGAAGGACCAACTACGCATTAAAGGTGATCCCAGCATATATTGGATCGAAGCATGGTCGCTCATCTGTGGCTAGATGCTGCGAACGCTACACTACAAAGTCAAATCTTGAAGAGGGAGGCAGAGCTAAAGGAGGTGAAGGTCTCCATGAACGAAGTGCTCGTCAAGGTGCGTCCGGTTGTTTGTCTGACTGCCACCTCTCGTAATTCGTTCCGTTCTCGGGACGCAGCTACGCAAAGATGCCGATCGCGTCGTCCAACTCGAAGCTGATCTCAAACGACGCAATGAAGACCTATCCAACGAACGAATAACGCGGGCCAACGCAGAGGCCGCCCTAACCACCGCAGAACGAAAGCTCAAGGAATCGGAGCAGAATGCCCTCGAGCTCCAGTCCACCATCGAAACCCTCTCTTGCCAAGCAAACTCGACGTCATTAGGACGCTCGAAGCTTGAGCAGGACAACACGGCGCTCCAGAACCGCGTCCGTGCATTGGAGCGGGAACTCTCGAGCAAGTCGCAGGCGGAGGTGGCTGCGCTCAGCCGAAGTCAAGGCCCATCGGGTGCCAGAAGCCGACGCCCGTCCCCAACCGAGGACTCATTCCGGATACCCGCGCTGGAGAAGGAGGTCGCCGAGCTACGTGCTACTTCCACGCAGCGCGCGTCGGAACTTGAGCGTACGACGGAGCAGCTGGCACGCGCACGCGACCAGCTCGTACAGCTGCAGAACGAGAGGACGGCCTCCGAACGGCAGCTACGCAGACAACTCGAGGCAGCACAGGCTGCGCTTGAGGAGCGCGAAGACGAGCTTCAGCTACTACAGGATGCTCGCGGTGGGGAGGACATTGCGGCAAGGGAGGCTGGTCTGTTGGAGCGCCTGGAGGAGGAAGAGAAGAGGGTTGCCGCATTGGAGGCAGAGCTCGCTCGGTCTACGGGAAGTCGGAAGCGCGATATGGTTATGCTTCAAGGCGAGCTGTATCGCACTCTGCAGTTGCTGGACGACGCCAATCAAAAGCTCGCGGCGGCAGAGGGTAAGCTCAACCAACTGTCAAGAGACCGGGAGGCGGCATACCGCGATCGTGATCGCCTCCAGCGCGAACGCGATCAACTGTCGGAAAGTATGCATGAGGCCGGCATGAGGATCAGGTGCGTGAGGGAAGCCTGACATGTCGCTTTCAAGCTCATTTGACGCTGTACAGTCATCTTGAGCTGCAGCTTTCTGCTTCTTCGAGGGGATCCGCCGCGGAGCAAGCCGTCGACGAAGAAACCGCTGCGACTGTAGAACGCCTGCTCAACAAGATCGAACGGCTTCGCGGGGAACGGGATGATCTCCGACGTGACCTCGAGTTCCTGACTGTCGAGAACAAATTTGCGGTCCAGTCGTTGGAGGCGAAGCTCGTAGCTGCGACATCTGCGCCTGTCACGCCTTCCGTCAATAGCACCCAGATCTCTCAGCTCTCCTCTCTCGAAGGATATATCCAGCTTCTGGAAGGGCAAGCCGAACGCACGTCACGAGCGACTCTCGCTCTCGCCATCGTCGCACAACGCACCACGCAACACGAAGAGGCCAAGATGGCGCGCATACAGTCACTCGAGGACGACCTCGCGACCACCCGCAAGAGCCTGCAGCAGGCAGAACACTATCTCCACGAACGCCAAGGTGCCATCGAGTCGCTCGAGAACCAGCTCTCCTCAAGCACAAGCTCGGTCGGCGAGGCCGAGTCCCACCTCGCTGGGCTCCGCGCCGCGATGCAGCGCCTCGAAGACGAGCTCGCCCGCGAGCGCAACTCGCACGCTGAGACGGGCGCAGCGCTCTCCGACGCGGAGGCGCAGCTCAATGCCATTTCTCAAACCCTCACAGACGCCGAGGCGGCGCGCGACGCGCTCGCGCTCGAGAAGACGCACCTCGAAGCCGACCTCGAGACCGCGAAGCAGGAGCTCGCTAACGCGGAGGAGCGCTACACCGCGCAGCTTGCGGAGCTCGCCGCCGCTGGGGAGTCCGGGCGCGGGACGCAAGTCGCGCTGCGCGCGCAGCTGGGCGAGGCGCAGGACCGTGTGCAGAGAAGGACGCAGCAGATCGGGGAGCTGCAGCACGATGTCAAGAGACTGGAGACAAACCTGAAACTGCAGGAGGACAGGATCACAGAGTTGACGGCGGAGCTGGACGTCGCGCAGGGCGAGCGCGTTGCGATGCTCGAAGACTGTAGGGCGACGAGGGAGGAGAGGGACGACGCGATGCGGAGGTGTGATGAGTTGGAGGATGCGATGGAGGGATTGGAAGAAGCGAGGGAGAGGGAGGTCGAGGCGGTTGTGCGGGTCGCGGTGGGCGCCGTGGCGTCGAGGCGGGAGGCGATTGTGAGGGCAAGGAAGGCTACCGGCAACGATCATGCAGTGTTGGAGGAGCGCGTGCGCCTGGTCGAGCAGGAGAAGGCGGAACTGTCTTCGCTGCTTGCTTCGCTCTCTGCCGAGCGCGATCAGTTCGCCCAAACCGCCGAGCACGAAGTCTCCTCTGCGCGTGCTGAGCTCGAAGAGACCAAGTCGGCCGCGCAATCTCAGCTCTCCGAATTTCGCAACCAGCTCGAGGCGAAGGATAGGGAGCTTACTTCGCTCCAGAACCAGCTCACCGTCGCTCAGGCCAAACACGAAGATCGTCAATCCTTGGAAGCTAGTCTCTTCGCTGAGGAGAAGGCCGACCTCGAGACTCGTCTTCAAGAAGCTCGCGCATCCCATGCCGAATTGGAGATCCTCCATCGCGAGACCATGGACAAGCTGCGCAGTGTCGAGGCAGATCTCAAGCGTGCTGAAGAGGAGCTCGCATCCCAGCTTGCCAACAACGCTGCTCATTCCGAGGCTGAGGAGCGTCTGCGCGAGGAGATTGCCCAGGTCAAAGAGGGACATGCGAAGGAGATTGACTCTCTTGAGGGCCAGATCAAGAACCTCAACGCAGAGCTCGAGACCTCGTTGCGCCTCCGGGGCGAGGCCGATGCGTCAAGGCAGGCGGTTGAGGAAGAGCTTGCGAGTACCAAGGAGCAGCTCGCGGCGCGTCTTGCGGAGGCAAGCGAGACCCTCGCTGCCGCAGAACGCTTGGAAGTCGAATTGGCGCAGGTGAAGGAGAACTATGAAGAGCGCATCAGAGGCCTGAATGCGGATCTCCAGAGCTTCACTGTCGAGCTTCAAGACGTTGTGCGTCAGAAGGAGGAAATCGTTATTCAATACGAACGAACCATGAAGGACTCCCGCGCCCACGAGGGAGCGGCTGCTGAGGCTCGCGAGAAGGTCGAAGCTCTCGAAAGCCGACTCGCCGAGCTCAAGGAGACCCATGAGGAGCTCACTCGTGGTCTGCAAACACAGCTAGACGATACTCGCAGGGATCTCGAAGATGCCAAGATTTCTGCGGACGCTCAGCAGCGCGACGCTATCGATGAGCTCACGCGTACGGTCGGGGAGCTCCAGGGCCGTCTTACTGTTCTCACTCGGGAGGTCGACGAGTGCCGAGCAGAGCTCGACGAGGAGAAAGCTTCGCATGCTCGTACTCGCGAGTCCACCATGTCGGAGATGCGTGAGATCATTGCCATGCGCGACGAGGCTGAAGCTGCTCTCTCCGAGGCCGAGAAGGAGCTGCCAGGCTTGCGCGGACAGCTGGAGTACGCCGAGTCGTCCTTACGCACAATGGAGGAAGAGAAGGCGAACCTCGAGTATCAGTCTACCAACCTCGAGGCGGAGGTTCAGCGCGCGAAGTCATTGCAACGGTTCTTGGAGAGCCAGGTCGCAGAGAGGTGCTTTGCTAGTCCGCCGTGCTTTACTTACCATGAGCTTACATTTGTTGGCAGCGAACATCGTATTGCTTCCCTCGACGCCGAGTTGACGGAGCTACGTGCCAAGTGCACGACTCTGGACAAGCTCGCTCAAAGCAAAGAGGCTAACCTGGCGATGCAGACTATCCAGCACGAGCAAACGGTCGCTTCCCTCAGGCGCGAGCTCAATGCCCTTCGTATCCAGCCGAGCTATGCAGATGAGCTTGCTGAGCTCAAGGAGAAGAACGCGGAGTATGAAGAACTTCTCCGGGCTAAGTGCCTGGAGATTGAGGAGAACGATGACAAGTTCATTGAGTATGTTCTCGTGTTTGTCCATAGCGAGGGGAGGCTGACAACCACATCCCCAGCATGCTCAAGGAAAAGAAGAAGTTGAACAAGAAGATAGAGACCTTGTCTCAAAAGGTGCAGAACCTACAAGCGAAGTTGATTGCTGCGACAGAGGCTGCTGCCGCCAGCAAAACGTCCTCCCCGCCACCTCCTGCGCCTCCCCCGAAACCACCGTCAGTTTTCTCACCCTCTACCACCCTTGCCCCTGCGCCGATCATTTCCGGAATATCTACAAATTACTCCCGCCCCACGCCGTCATCCCGCCAACGCGTGGTGACAGCTCCTGCTTCTCGTTTCTCGCCGGAGAATGTACCTACTCCGCCGATGCCTGTCTACAGACCGAAGACACCGGAATCGAGGTTGCGGATGATGTCTGGTCCTTCATCATTGTCACGCCCCAAGACACCAGAGTCAAAACCTTCGCACATGCCCGTATTCAAGGCTCGCACTCCCGAGCGTCACCGCTTACCTATTACGACTATGCCGGAAGCACCATCTTCGTCGACACTCATCGGGGTTAAGAGACGTGCCCCGGACGACTTTGATGACTGCGCGAATGTACCTCCGCAGACGTTCACCGCTGACAGTGCGCCGCTAGGGCTCACTGCTGAAGGGGCAACGCCTCCACAGCCTACCACTCCTCGCCTCCGGAAGGCGCTGCAAAGCATGAGGTCAGGCTTTACGCCTATGCGACAGGCTGGCAGCAGAGTTGGTTCTGTATCTCCTCGACGGGCGACGACGGGTACAAGCCTAGCAGCTTCACTTCCCCATACCATATCAGACGTGACGAACAGCCCTCGGGCAGCGTCGCAACCCGACCCCGCAAAGGTCGCAGCGAAGAAGGGATGGCTTGGGAAGATAAAGTCTGCGCCTTCGTCGCAGCCTCGCGCATTCTCTTCTCGGCAACCGGTCTTTGACCCTCCTGGCATGCGATAGTACTCGGGTTAGCGGCTCGCAGCTCTTACGACTCATGGAACCTTGCATTTCCTTCGTTCAATCGCTATCTGACATTCATGTACTACTACGCATTCTTATGTTTATTGCGCAGTCTCGTAGTGTCGTCGTGTTTTCATTTGCATGCATACACTATAGTTCTCGAGCTAAACATCCCCAGTCTTTGTTTGGTGGACGACCAGTGCTGAGCTGTTGCAGGCGCAGATAGTACTCCCTCTATATATGCACCTCAATTGAACCCTAGCGCATGTGCGCACGAAGGCGGCGATAGCTCGTGCTCACCAATGTCAAGTGATCCCACTAACGTCAGTGCATATTGTCGAGGCGCCAGCTCGAGTTGTCCCCACAACTGTAACTTCACCTTCCTTCCGATTTCAATCTTTCGGCATGGAAACAACACGCCCATAGACTATGAGGCCTCCTGAGCATCTAGACCTTGCCCAAACGCAACCGGTGGTACGTGGTGTCGTAGCGCAGCGCCTGCGCCTGGATTCGGGGGAATGCTGATTGAGATGTGCTGTATGGATACCGCTATAAGCTCTGGGGGATATCTCCAAACTTGTACTCCGCATGACTGGTTGCGGCTTCATGGCAAGGATATGCCCTGGCATGTTTGGTAGCTAAATTCTCGGATAGATCAGGTGGCCGAGGAAACGTCTATCGTAGGGTCGGGCACATATGTGTATAGTGACAGGTTTGTTGGTGTCCAGAGTAGATGATGTTCGTGAGTGTTATGACATGAGAGTAAACAGCCTGCCTGAACGGTAGGCTCTCGAAGTATGGGATCTTTCGCGCTCTAGGCAGCATGTTGAAGTACATTCCTCACACGTATCTGACTTCAAGCGTCCAGTGCGCAGACACCCCCTGAATGTTACGGACTAGTGACAGCACAGTATCAACACGTGGAAAGGGAAAAGATCTGACCTGATATCAGCCGAGGATTTCATGGAGCCTCATCATATCGAGGAGGCGCGTCAGTGAGGAGCTCTTGTTGTGCCCGAAGCTGCGCGACCTCCGCCTGCAACGAGGCAAGCTGCTGCGATAGCCCCTTCGTGTTCGGCTCGAGCGACCTCGCTGGGAGTGCTATAGGGGCGAACTGCTGTGCAGGACGACTGCTTGACGTGCGGATACGAGAGCTCGATGTCATGCCCTCTTCTGGCTGCGACTTGTCATCGACGACAGCCCGGACTGAGGTACGAAGTGAACTCGCATCATGGTGTTCTGCGGCTGAAGTCATGACCGACTTTGAGCCGTCGGGAGTATCGCATGATTCGGAGATGGCTCGGGGAGAGATGCGGCTCTTGCAGATGACATCGATCCCGTTGTGGGTGTGATCACCATCTGCCACTGACCGCCGGTCGGAAAACGTGAGGGAAGCGGTTCGTGAAGACGGGGATGCAGACGCGAGTTCATCATATGCGCCCATCGCTCGAAAAGTAACCCACTCGGACCTGGGGATCTCAGCACTACTAGCGGTAGTGAAAGGAGGTCGGCTCCTTGCCTTGTGTCTGATCAGTTTGTACAAAACAAGCGCAGCGACAATGGCCAGCAATACACCACCGCCGATTGTGCCTCCTACTATGGACCGCACGGGCGTAGCGGATCGTGCTGAGCTGCCCGCCAGGGATGATGTATCAGGTGCCTGGAGAAGAACTCAGCTTCACGGCTTTGCGAATAATGTAGTACTTGCCTGCGAGCTGGGCATATCCCGAGACGTCAAGTTAGACGTCGGACCGGACAATGTGGTCGGTAGTAGAGTGCTTATCGTGTTTCGTAGGGACGTAGACGACAAGAGCGAGACCGACAGGGACGTCGGCTTCAAAGTGGAGAGGGATTCTGAAAGAGGAGCGGAGGCGGAGATGTGCACAGTGGAAGGAAGGATTGATGATTGGTCGTTGCAAGTGTACACTGCATAGTCGAACAAGCACAGCGAAATGATATCGACCTACATCACCAAGACGTGCTCTTCGTTGCGTAGATTTGTGCGAACGTAGATGAGGGTGTTGAACTCGAAGTCCGTGCTGACGGATGGGATGTGAACAAATGGACCATCTTACTCGCCGTCTAGCGAGAACATCATGTTAGTGCCCGTCGGAAAGGTAGCCCCACGGACGTCATTGGCGAGGATAGTGTAAACGTAGACAGCAACGCCGGTGAAGCGCAGCGTTATACTTGAGGATTGGTGGTTTTCTTGCGAGGAAACCAGGATCCTCTATATAGCTTGGCCGAATCGAGTATAATACCGCAGTCCGAGTCGCAGGTCGCCTGCGTACTCCAGTGTCCCTGATACTGAGGAAGGACCCCCGTAATACTATCTCCAAACTCATCGTCGATTGTGCGATTGGTGAGCGCAAGTGAAACCCCCGCAAGGGCAATGAGCAGATATTCGCGGTGGAGGATACGCATTCAGGTGTCAGAAGAGGTGTACCAGAGGAATTCGCATACTGTGTAAGCGTGATGCCCAACGCTTTAACGTGGCTTGCGAGGGCACATCACTTATATCGATCATGCCATTGTTGAATGCCCGTAGACAAGGAGACGAAACAGTCTCGATGGTTGCTCGCAGTTTGGGAAGCGATCTGGGGAGATGTTATGGCCATGAGACGGCCATCTTGGGAATGAACCCTATGTCCTTGAACCCGTCAGCACTGTTGTTGTGAGATATGGTGACTGCTCACAACTGCGGAGATCAGCCACTTGGAGTGATCGCACCAATGTGTCCCTTATGATGCCAAGCGCAGAATGTTTGGAGTTGAAGGGTTTCGCTTTTCCGTGTCATATCTATCTACTCTTTATTTTGATTCAAGTGCGAATTTATCAATGAACCGACTTCTTCGGCCGCACCCCACGACATCTGGTAACCAGCAGAGCTTTACAGCAAGATGTCAGTCGGTTCAGTCTTCGCCGTAAAAGGACTACTGCAGCCTACCCAAAGCCATAAGAGTGTACGACCAAGACCCTACCAACGACTGTCGGAGCGTCTGCCTCGACAGTAATCCACTGCGTTGCGCTTGGAACCTCCATCCATTCCGCTTCCACCCGAGGGCCGCCCTTCCGAGCAGGCCGCAATCCAACATTGTGTCGGAGAATCTTCGTCCCCTTGTCTTTGATAGCTGGAACAAGCTCCGCGCAGCGGTCGAGAATCCCACGTGCGTCATCGGCGCTGAAGGAGGTGTCCCAGTTGCCCTCCTGGTACTTGCCCCCGAGGATAGTTGTGAACCCGCTGCCGTTCTTCGCAGGGCGTGGTATGATGTACGTGACATCGCCGCTCCCGTGGTTGTTGAAGACCGAGGAGGGACTGGGTGAAGTCGGCTGCCGGGTCGAACCGAAAGGGGAGATATTGCCGGATTCTATGCTGACGAACTCGCGCACTTTGGGATTATCGATCACCATGGTCTGTCCGCGGATGGGGTACACGTCCTTGTCTTCGAGCCCCAAAAGAGATCTAGCGCCTGTAGAGGAACATGTTGACTTCAACGCATTTCTCGCGCAGACTTCGTAGAGAATGCACCTAGGCCCGTCGCGTTGACGAGCACACCGTTTGGTCCTGCGAGCGCGACCGCTTCTCCGATAGAAGCGACCCTTAGGCGGACGAACTCTACTCCGCGCGATCTCAATGAATTCGCGATCCATGGGAGATAGTCATCGGGGCACACGGAGACCGTCTGGAATCCAACGCCACGCTTTTGGCTCGCTGGCACCTCGCTCGGTTCAAGCACTCTGAACTACGAAGTTATGAGCATGGCACAGGATGAATCCATGCGGCATCGCTTAGATACTTGCGTCGCGAACAAGGTCCCGGTACCACATGCTTTCGAGGTCAGCGTCTTCTTCATAGAAAACTTTGGACGAGGATGCCTAATGTCGGGAGCTGTAGGTCTAGCCGCGATGCTTCTTCCCAACGTGTCGCGGCACTTACGATTGCTAGTCCCGAAGGAATCATGTCCCAGAACTTATTGCTTCAATCGGGGAGATAAGAGCTCGTGTATGCAGCGCGAAGTCTATATATGCACGACTCACAAGGTAGTCTTCTCCCACTTGTGCGTGCGTTCGTTGTGCACACCCATCGGAGACCAGTTCGCGCCCTAGATGTATGCAGCATCATTGAAACCATGATCACCCGACCAAATGACAGCTGGTCGGAAGCACGGAACGACATCCATACGATCTCGTCTCGATTGGATGCCGTCTCACCATACGATACCGGGCGGAGCAGCCGCATTGCGATCGAAGAACGGAGTAAGAGAGACACTTACCGCCCAGGGAGATGAGAAGGCCTGCGAGTCAAGGTCTTCGGGCATGTCCCTCGCCACGACTTTGATCTTGTACCGCGCGTTCTCTGAGAGTACGTGCGCCACGGTGAGGCCAATGACACCGGCGCCTAGAACGACGACTTGCGTGTCAGTTGCTGCTGAAGACATGCTGCGGTGATATATCGTCTTTGAACTGTCTGGATGAGCCGGGTTCGCAAGCCACTTGAAGATGGTGGTCCTGGGAAGAGCTGACGCTCGCTAGGCCGCCGTGGCCATCGAGTGGCTTCGTACCGAGTCATTCCGGGTGGTATTTCGCGGCATTGCCTATAGTCTAGATTCCGTGGCACTGGCATATCGATCAGCCCATCCCACCTGACGCAGAGCCCATCTCTGTGATGGGCCTCAGCACTCACTTGCTCTTGGACTAGATCGAGTTCACTTCTCTGCTAGAGAGGACAGAAACCATAATCGGGAAGTAGATTCAGGCTGAAGCTGTCTGCTGAGGTGAAGAGAGCCGCGGGGCTCTGCCGTCGCATGTGAAAGGCCGCACAGCCACGAGATATCGTGGTGCGGCGGCAACTCGCAAGAGAGCTTCAGCAGCTATCAACCACCATGTCCCATAAGTCGGCCATGAATCACTCTGTTGGAAGCCGGCAACTACTTAAGCCCAGCAAGCCGCCATATGGTCGTTTGGATGCAACACCACCGCTTCTGGGAAGAGCGTCACCAACTGAGGATACCGTTCTAGTCTATCACTGTCCAGGTACTTACTGGCACCGAAGGGAATCGATGGCACCAAAACAGGACAGCTCTCGCCTCACAAGAACGCTCGCCGTGCTCCAAATACAATCATAGGCGCATCCCAGGACATCCCAGGACATGCGACCGGAGCGCCTGCGAAGTTACCCCATTCCTCAGGTCCCGATACCATTCAGCGGTAAGAGCCTCGAAATCCGCACATCTGCGGTAGTGGCCGAAGCTCATGGCCCCGAGATATAAGCAGACAGCTGCTGTGCTTCGTGCACCCTCCCCACACCTGCGGCTCGCACTGCGCACAGACGACACGACAGAGTCGCCTGCTCTGACTACGCTTCGTGCAATTTTTTTCCATGTCGCAAGACGATTCCTTCGAGCGTACCGCACTCTGGGTCCGGGCGCAAGCTACGCAGCAGACGTTTCACTCCCCATCCACCCCTCCGTCTCTTGGCAGATCATCCAACACCACCACCAAGACATCGTCCTCGTACCGTACGACAACATCTTCGGAAGCGACGTCCTTGAAACCCTCCTTGTCGTACCCGGTGCCCACAATGCAGCCATCATCTCATCATGCGCCCCCGAGTACCCGTGCGCCTCCAAGTACGCATACGCACGCTCCGAGCATGTCTACCCATCGACCACAGCATGATTCCCATACGCGGCATTCAAGCCTCCCCTTCCCTCAGAGTCCGCCTGGCTCTGGATACCCTGTCGCAATGGATGTCGCAGTACCTCGTCGTCCAACGGCAGATGGGGAGGACAAGAAGGTAAGTAGAACCTCTCGTAGTGGAACTGCACCCGATCGATGCGACCACGGCGTCTACAGTTACCGCGTCTGCCTTCGCGAAAGGAGAGGAGGCCGTCGCTTATAGAACAGATCAAGCACCTGGGGACACCGGGGCCACGAAGAAGAGACTCCGAGTCCGGGAAGAAGGCATAGACTCGTACGCGCTGTCAAACTGCTGGATTAGACAGCTGGACAGTCGTCGTGACCACTGTCTGCGATGTTCGCGATCTTCACCCTGCCAGGCGCTGAGGGCATGGGGCAAGTACGTTCCTTACTCAAACCCACACTACCACATGGTCTTCTGCGCAGCGCTTGCAGCTTCTTCACCTGCACTTAGTTTTCCGCGCATAGACTTTGGAACAGAACATGAGTTTGTATCGAATACCAAGAGACGGTTGTTAATACCTGTACTTGCACTCGTACTTGTAGCGCTGTTCTATGATATATGTCAGCGTATGGTTAACGTTATGGGGGGCTTCCCCAGTGGGACCTCGTTGCCGAGATGAAGCATGCGAACCCTGCAGGGCCACGGGCGTGCCACCGGCAAAGTGAAGAAGAAACCACAAGGTGAGCACTTGACAGTCACTTTCCGCTCCACAGCAGTCTCGGGACGCTGTGGCCGGCGGTTTGTGCTTGCGACGTGAGAAGAGGCCAACAAGTATGTGCTGAGTCCAATGATGCCTTAGTTCTATGTAAGGGAGGCGCCGTGCCGAGTCGGTGTTGGACAACTAGGGCGCTTAGTCGCTCATCGCCATTTTCTCCTTGAACTGCCATCGTCCAATGTGAGAGCATTCCCATAGGCATTGTTCCTCAGAATAAGGCCCTACTAGCCACCATGTGTCGTCAAGATTACGTTTGTTTGCCAGCAAGAGGTGAGTGCGATGAACGGCTGATCCGCTGACGCCATGCTGCAGGACTCCTCATGGTTCTCGCGCATTCAATGGCCACGCAGTCCTGCTTCGTCGACCGCTATCCTCGTGTGATAAGATTCACCTGACATTGTATGGGCTTCTCAGGGCTAGCAAGTGAGTAGACGCCTTATCATATGTTTCATGCCGCCGCCATACCATCTCGAGCGATTACTCGAGTTGGCATAGTAGTGGCTTATGTTGCTACCCCAGAATTGCATTGCTAACTACAGCTGGTTTGGTAAGGAGAAATTTCAGAGTCTCGACCAGGCTCATAGCATACTATCGGAGGACCGGTCGTCTTGTCCTTTGGGGTCATTCTCCCGTTTCATATTAGCGGTCTTTTGACCGAGCTGCCGTTCTCTCCACCGCTTCATTGCCCTGGCGTGTCCTTCGCGCGATACACCCTATTTGCATAATGAGGTTCCGTGAGAGCCTCTCTTACCCCCTTTGACCTCTTGCAGGCTCTGCGCATTCAGCCGATATGAACGTGTTCGCCTTGTGGCGGACCGTAGTCCTCTGATAAAAATCTCCTGCGACCATCTCGTTAGACCTCGACATCCAGTCCACCCACTGCGCTACACATCCACCCCATCTTATCCTCTTCTGTTCGTTCTTCCCTTGTTCGTTTCCAATCCGGAATTGGTCGCATACCCATACACATCCCCACTACCAGCATTCGACATGGCCCCCCAGGTTCGCTTCAACTCCTTCGGAATCCCCTACCTCGTCGAGTTCGCGAACGTAACGTTCCGCCCGCGCTCGCGGAAAGCTTCGCGCTCTTCGCGTTCGGGGTCCGTTACACCCACCGCGATTTTGCACAAGCCCTCATTCGATTCGCGCCCGTCGTTTGACTCGACCGTGACCTCCTCGAAGGCGTCGCTCGACGTGTACTCCCACTCGCGCCCCATTCTGAACATCCACCCCTCGGTGCACCTCAACCGCGCTTCGAGCCGGCTCTCCTTCGAGTCGGACTGGACTTTCGCAACCGCGTCCTCCGAGACCCTCGCCGCCGCCGCCGCTCCAAAGTCGATGGCCAAGGGCAGAGCGCAGCACAAGCGCGACCCCAAGCTCGCACCTGTCCCCACGCCTCCGTTCTCGCCGATCTCACCCATCCTCGCTACGGAGCCCCGGATCGTGATCGAGAGCGAGATCGACACCCGCGGGCAGGAGGGCGAACGAGAGGGGCAAGGGCTGCTCATCCGCTTCGCGTCGCAGGCAGCGCAGCCCCCTCGGAAGCTCTCCGAGCACCGGCTCGCGCGCCTCAAGTACCGCATCGCCAAAGCCGTCATGGCCGCCGGCATGCACACGTCGCCGTCGCCCGAGTTTGGGGTAGACGAGAACGAGAACGCGGGCGCGTACGCGAGCACACCGCGCGAGTCGTACGCGTCCATCGGGAGCATCTACTCGGACGAGGTTGAGCAGAGCGGGCTGCCCGGCTCGCTCTTCCGTGGCACATATGGGCAGGTCATGAACGCCCTCCACGGGGCAGGGCTCACCGCGAGCCCGTGCAAGGAGTCCGGCCTTGAGTATGGTGAGTGCAGTGCCAGCTGTTTCATCTCCGTGCGGGGGGCTGATATGTCGTGCCGGGCCTGCAGCCACGTGTGTCGGGGCGCTATTCGTCGCGCACCAGAACGCGTATGGAGGCGTGGACTTCACGAAGCTCACGTTGTGGGCGTGAGGCCGTATATTCCTGGTACGTCTTCTCTGATGTAATGAGGGAGTTAGAAGTTTCACTCACCAGTCCCTCAGGCTCCATATACCTGGTGTTATACCCTATTTACTGTGTATTTATCTTATGTCTAAGGGCACAGTAGCTCTCAGTGAGTTGTACCCCTGTCGATACTCCGGCTGGGGCCCACCCAATCCCGTCCGCTGATGATTACACACCGTTGCGATACGGTTATGACATGTGCACTTTGTTTGTCTCTCTGGAGGAGACTACTGTATGATTATGTAGGAACGTTTGATATGATGTATGCTAGTGAATTTAGTGCGTGACAGACTGGTAGGCACCGTTACGCTGCACAAAGCTGATGCGACGTTGGATAGTTGGATTGGAGGGTTGGTTGCCTCTGCGCGCATTTCCAATAATTAATCGCTTAGCGGGGAGAGCGTGAACCCTTGGCACAGTGGTAGCGCGTGAGATTCCAGATTTGGAAGTCCTCAAGGTCGTCCGTTCAATCCGGGCAGGGTTCAATTGTTTTGGTTCCACTCCTCTGTGATCGTGTAGAGCCCCAATCGTCACATACTCTGGGAACTTGTCTTGGAGTAAGTATCGGTGGGTGGGTGCTTGCTAGGGTCTGTTCAGATACCAACTTCAATGCTAGAACGCAGGTTCTCGTAAGACTAAGACTACAATCCTTTCAAGCTGTTCCAGGTCCCGTGTTGTTGATAGCAATACCAGCTTCGGAATGATCGACACGCCTGCAGTATCAAAGTCCAAATTGTTACTTCAGATTCGAGTCAAGGACAGAGATACATCCTAGTCAACGACAGATATACCGAGATGGGAGCCGATTATTCGAAACCCATCATATTACAAATAGACACTACCAAGCGTGGAACCCAAGACTTCGACTGCATATTGCATCCCGAATCTACCAATCCATCGTTATGTCGGAATAAACGAGCGAATGCTGCCATTTACTTTATAAGCCAGGGTCTATACAAATCCCCTGACGTCCGAATCACAGATCATCAGCTGAAAGCGCATCGTAGGTCGGGCACAGGTCGGACCAAGCCTGCGGAACTGGGTTGGCGGACGTGGTATCGGGAATGTCCTCGACCATGACGACAGCAAAGCCAGCATCGAGATGGAAGTCGATGTGGCAGTGGAGGAACCACGGTCCCGGGTTGTCAGTCTGGAAGCGAATAGTGACGTTGTCGCCCGCGGCGGGGGTACCCGTAGACACAACGTCGCGCCAGACAGGGTTGTCGTAGTTGTACTCGGTGGAGCCCGCACTGCGTACAACAGCGAAGGCGTGCTAGAAGGGACACCCCGATGAGTATATTATGATCATCTCCTGAAGAGCGGAGGAAACTTACACCGTGCAAGTGGAAAGGATGAGGAGCACCAGGAGCGTTCGTGGTGGCAGGGAAGCTGATCTCAATGGACGAGTTAATGGGCAGCTCGTACAGGCTACCAGACGGCAGGAGGTCCTGAGCATTCTGTGCGCCGCTGATAATCTGGAGCAGGACGGGGACAGTGGGGGGCACGAAAGAAGCATTGTTGATGAAGAAGTTGGTGCCATTGAAGTTGAAGTCCAAGTTGATGGCCTTGTCAACACCACCCTGCACAGCAGTACCGGGCTGGACGATCGGTTTAAGTCATTACCGCGATAATCTTTTCGCTGAAACAAATAGAGCACGTACCGTCACCCTCGCGGTTAAGGGCGCAAGAGTGGCCTCGTTAAGCAGGTTCTGCGTAACCTGCTGGGACGTCGTGGGCTCGATCGAAGCAGCTCCGTCGTAGCGAAGGATGGCAGAGTTGATACCATCGGTGAAGCCGACATTACCGAAGTTCGGATTAGCACGGATCCAATAGTTGTCAATAGTTTGGTTCGCAGTAAGCTGGAAACAATAGGTCGCTTCAGCTTCAAACTGAGAATTCGTACTCAAACCACTCACCACGAACGAGTAACGCTGGGCAGCGAATATCTGGATGGCGTTGACGGTGACAGGCTGAGTCTCGATACCGTCGGCCTCGATGACGGTCAGGTCGTGGTTGTCGATACTGAAGACGTAGTTCGGGTCGCAAGAAATCGACACCAGTCGGAAGCGGTAGCTATAGCAAAGCCGTTAGCCTTCACGAATTGATGAGTCTCCAACCATTACGTACCGCTTGCCCTGAGTAACACTGATCACGGCAAGGTCAGCGGTAGGGGTGCTCGGGCTACGGCCCAGACCGTTGATGAGAGTGGAGTCCGAACCCAGCCTGTATGCCGTGTGCGATGAGCCGCGACGTTCTGAACGACGAAAGGCACAAAAGTGATCACACTCACGGGAAGCGGGGACCAACCCTGGCCGCAACGTGGTACCAATCGACGAGGGTGATCACAGTCGAGTCTATGATATAAGCGTTAGACGGTTCTGCATCTGGCGTGGAAACGCTAGCAGAGGACTCACCGTCGTCGACATCGTAGAGAGAGGCGTGGGGATCCTGAGGATCGTACACTACAAACGGACCCCTCAAACCATCGCAATATTGCGTGGAAAGATGGCTGTGGTACCAGTAGGTGCCTGCGTACAAAGTATTCGATGTCAGCGGCCCATTCGCAACGAGCCGGTATCTGTAACTTACCAGACTGATCTGGAACTTGAAAGTCGTACAGGAACGAGTTTCCACTGGCGATGGGGCACTGGTTGATGAAGGCAGGACCGTCTGCCCAGTTCGTGCCCTTCTGGAAGAAGCCATGCCAGTGCTACAGAATTGTTGTCAGCAACACATGAGGAAGTAGACGGAGCATAGGCCGTACAATACTTGTGGTCTTCAGCATAGTGTGGTTGGTTAGCTGGTCGACGACATTAAGCTGGAAGCGGTCGCCCTGCAATCACCCAATGTCAGTTGGGAGTCGTGCTATGGCTATCATGCTCCAGTGCTGACCTTGTTGCCAGTGATGAGGGGCGCGGGGAAGACACCGTTGACCACGATGGCAGCACGAGTAAAATTATCGGGAGCGATGTCCGCGTTAGTGATGGTCAGGTCGGTGACGGGCCCAATGCCTGCATAGGCCGAGGCAGCGAAGAGGAGGGTGACGTAGGAAAGCAAGCACATAAACTTCGCCATGACGATTGCAAGTGAAGAGGATTGCTCAAAGACCAAAGGAGGACTGGAGCTCGAATAGAACGACCTCCTACGGCCATCCTTTATAGCAAAGCAGCGAAGCCAGGGCGCCAAAGGTCAACCAAGTTATGCTATGTCTGCTACTGCCATGGAACTGGAATGTATTCAATCATCTACGCCCTGAAAGGCGGTCGTCGCGCGAATCCTACGGGAGGCGTGAGAGCAGAACTTGGCGCAGGCCTGACATGGTCTCCCATGAAACCTTTCTTGAGCGCCCCGTTGAGCGTCGGTAGGCGTTAACGTCCAGATTGGTGCGGGTCGGTGCCGAGGGAAGGTGGTTTGATGGAAGCTGTTCAATTTGGAATCCTCACAGCGGCCCGCGCATGAGTTAGGCGTTATGCGTGAGATCTGCGATGCATGCCGCGAAAACATCCATTCCGCTGGTGGATCGGTTTGCGCTGAGTGAGCAATATTTGCGATCGACAACATAGAGTCGCCAGAACGCGATGACGGCCGCCGTCAAGCTAGCAAAGAGTCTGACGGTATACGCCAACACTAGATGCACCAGGTATGCAAGAGCACACCCGGGACCGCAATACACATGCCACCGTCATTCGCAGTAGTCCGTTCCCTGAGGGCTGGCTCTCGGAGGCTATCGTCCGGGAGGGGTTCTTGTCCGATGCGTGGGATGGAATTATAACTCTGATGTCAGAGAGATTGGAAACGAGCGGCGCTGTTGCTGTATTCAAGCACGAGCAGAAAGGGGAGCTGGGTGCTTACCTGCGTCCGGGCAGGGTAGAGGACGTGATCCGACCTGGCAGAGATCCCAACTTGAATTGTGGTCACAAACAAACAGGTTTTCCATAAACGGATGGAGTGACCGGGCACATCCACCGGCGTCTGTGTGGATAACACGGCCACGCCGTCGTCGTCTCCAACATCGCGTCCACCTCCTATGCCACGAGCCCCCGCCAAATGACGTTCCCCCAGTTCCCGTAAAAATTACTGCGGCGACGCCGACTGTGGTTTAGCTTGATATGGGACATGTCCGACTCTTGGTGGAATGATGAATTGAAACGTCTTTCCCAGCGGTGAGAGCGACTGTCACTGATCTTTCCCCCCAAACAATGCCTGCCCTTCCGCCAATTTACCTCATTCGGCCCACTGGGCTCACAAGCCATCTCGCCGTGTGGCGGAATGCGCAGAACGCTACCGAGATAGAATCGCTCTATCGTTTTCGGTCGGAGGTTCAGAGTCTGGCTCATAAGCACTACCGGACCTTTGTACCGACTGCTTACATCGCCCTCCGCTAATCAAGCTGCCGACAGGGTCCTGTGTCGATGAGTATTGTTCCGCCAGAGTCTGGCCCACAAATTCTTTTGGTAATTGGGCTTTTAAGTTTGCTAGGTGGGAAGTCATCAAGCACTGGCCGTAGGTTCCCATGGCGGGCTGTTGCTGGCATGTCCGCTTGCTCGAATGCTCGTCCTGTTCGCTAAGGGACATATGGCCGTTCCGGACGCTGGTCCCGTATGTGCTCGTTTTTCCTCGCGCTAGCGTTGGAGTTTGCATCGACCAATTGTGCGTACGAACCCTTGTTCTTCCCCTTTATTGATAGCCTTTATCCTGAAATAAAACCACACACTGTAGGCATGCCGTGAAAAGGTGGGTGTCGTCGAAGGGCACCCTTGCGTTGTTTTGCTGCACATGGAGAACAAATCGGCGATGATTACAGTCTAGTGCACAATAACCCCAGAGCATACGGTCTGGTTTCGACGGAATTCGTGAGGTCACTCTGCATCCATTCGGGGAAAAGCACCAACAGTATAACGCTTATCGTGCATTTCACGAATGAATAGCACGGCCGCCTGGCCAGGGTTGGTCTACTCGGATCTCGTAAGTGCAGTCCGCTCACCAATTTTTCAGAACCACTTGAATAGCCAGTCTTACCTCCTTTCCCCCTCAGGCACATTTCGGCATCGCGTATCTCCGTTCGCTGGCGGTCTACAGAACACAATCCCCCAGTAGCCTTCCAAATGATGTACAGAACTCGCCCGACGGTCGTGGTAGCAAGCCAGCGTTATCCCACCGTCCGCCTTCGTCGGTTCTCACAAAGCTATCGCCGGACCTCACTTCGTCGGCATACTCCTCCTTGGCAGCCCACTGACGTCTCTACTACCTCAGTCAGACTGTTGAGGAGGCGCTTTCAGGAAGCCGGCCTCAAGAATTCCTCCGAGGTTTTCCCATGGTGAAAACGGTAGAAGCGGAACCAATAAGTGCGCCGCGCGCTACGGGTATGTCTCGTCGGTCGCGCAGTCGTAAGGGGTGATTACAGCTGCTTTTGTTACCGTGCAAGGCATTCGATTGTCTGTGATTCAGGCCCCAGATTGCCGAGACAGAAGAATGACTCACGGAGCGCTCTCCGATAGAGTAATTGCCTAGAGCTCGCGATGCTTCCGACCCCGAGCCCACGACCCACCTACGGCCGGATGTCCACTTATCGATGCGACAGGACTTCTTTGAAGTCATGTGGCATGCTCTGTGATGAAGCACACGGGCCCCTGCCGACCGCGTGCGTAGACTTTCTGCGGGCGAGCGTCTAGAACTTACGACTGGGTGCTATGTAATGAACAGACGTAAGTGGGTCTTCGCAATAGCAAGGCTACTGAAATGGCTGACAAGGAATGTGGTCATGGTACTGGGATGAACATCCAGACTAGTAAACAAACAGTGCAGTCGTTTGATCCCCCTGGGCAAGCCCGAGCAATTGCGGGTTCGGCAAGTCGCCACTGGGGACCTGGCGCCTTCTCCCATCGACGTAAAGATATGCCGGGAACAGAGGTCTCTGACAGGAGTTTAAACGGTCCTGGGATGAACAGCATCGTTTGGGGTCATGTTGGCCAATATAGTTGTTACCGGTCCTCGCCGATTCGCACGCCTGGTGAGCCTCCTGTCTAAACAGCCCAATACTCGTCGAAAATTCCCTCATATGCCCGTTAGTTTATAGATGATGATTGCTACAATTCCCTCTGGACAGGGTGAACAGTGTCTTACTGCATCTTGGATCATAGTTGGCTGGCGAGAACATAAGGTTCTTCGTTTCTCCCGTCCTACAATGGATGGCCTATCGGCTCAGCTACTACCGCCCCCCGCGTGCGCATATGCGCCACTGAGCAATCATTCCAGTCCGCCCAGCCGTCAATCAAACGAATATCTCGTAAAGCGTCTGTTTAGATTCCATTTACGGATTGAGCATGGTACCTGCCATTGCAGTCGCGCACAGAGACTATCCAGGAAGTTCCCGGCGGTTCTGGTAAGCCATAGCTAGCGCTGCGACAGGCTCACCATACCAGGCACATCAGCTATACCAAGGCGTAGGGAGTCTAGGGCAATCCGTGTTCATTGCGGGTAACCCCCTTGGTAAGTGTTCCGTCCTGTTTGCGCTCTGCTCTATTGGCCTGAAAGCGATGAAACTATGCCTTACTCATGCGAGTACAGACACGGTCTATGGTCAACAGCCGCCGACGCCCGACTGTCCAAGCTATGGTGGTTGCAACGCGCCGACGTGAGTCCTGCGCTCAGATCTGAAGTTGGCTCCCCTCCCGATGTGCTCATCATGTCGGCGGCCGCAGCGCGCGCTTTCACTAGCGGTACATGCACGGTGTCCATTCCCGGGACTCAAAGCCCGCATACACAGCATTGACTTCAGGTGCGGTGCGACCCGACAGTACAGTTGTATACTCCCGCGAGCCCTACGGCGCCGGGAACGCTGCCCTTATGAATATGCGGCGTCGATGTCAAGCCTGGCAACTGTCAGTGGCTCCGCAGCGCGTTGATCATTCACATACTCGGGGCTGTCAATTGTCCACGTATTGACCCTGCCGCATCGTCGCTCGCAGACATCGGCCGTCACTGCGCGCACCGACGCTTCTCGGCGCAGTTAGCGCTGTGCAGCAATGGCCCATGTGCTCCCCCTACCTCATACTCGACCCTTCTTCGCTTTACGTCTTCTTCTACATTCATCGATGCTCTGGATGAGTTCTCACTTCTGCGCTATTTCCGCCGACTTGTGCGTCTCCTCAGGACCGGTCGAGAATCGAGTCCATGTTCACGGCTAGTGATCAACCAAGGGGTAACTTACGTACCCTGGAATGATTGAAAACACATCTTCATTCTTCTCCTTGTCCTTAGCCGTTCGCCTCAGGGGAGCGGCCTCAATGAGAAAGGACAGGCACGCTCGCGATCCAGACGGTGATGCGCCCCACGCAAAGCCCGCCAGACCCCGCACTAGTCCTGCTGAGGTTTTGTCTTGCCCAGGTGATCGCTATTTAGCGAATTCGGCATTCCGACGACGCGATGTGTCGGACCATCGTGTTGACGTCCAGCTTGTTCGGCGAGAGAGTATGATAACGAGCCATATGGGCAGAGCGAGTCTTGGTAAGGCGTACCTGATACTGCCATATATTACTAGCGTAGTGGTTTGCTGTCCCTGGGGACACAACTGAGGTGATGCTGTGTGCTACGTTGAATAAGCAAAATGTCATTGAGATGATGTAGCTTACGACGTCCAAGGACAGCATTTCCACGTAGGCCGACTGCAGATCATCCGGCTGCAGTGAAAGAAGTAGTGTATGAGATGTAGATTCTAGAATACATGAGCATTGCGCGAAAGCGAGGACACGAGGGTCACTCGTGATGGGTGGCTCGTCACAGCAAGTGTGAATACAGTACGGCAAGTCCGTTGGTCGTAGGGACGCAGAAGTCAAGTGCAAGATGCACTAGAAACCAGATGTAGAAGTCCATAAACAGACGGACATAGGAGTGTGGGCGCCGGCGGCCTATGTAGTGTGGGTACAGACATCATCAGAAACGTAGGTTCAAGTATGCGAAAATTCGCATAACTTACTTCACTTGATGACGACACACGAACAGTGCCTAGAAGAAACGAAACTTCCCTGAGTTGAGTCGGCATGCTGACAAGTATCTGTGAACCGTCCGGTATTGTGCGCAGATGAGACGTAGAAAGCACATACCTGCACAGGCTACCGGATACCCGTAGCCAAATCAAACTCCTGTCACCTCTTCCCTCAGGGCGTCTCTACCCTATTCGAGCTATGAGATATAATTTCTCGCGCAGAAGAGTATCCCACTCTTTCCCTCTCCTCCCTCAACTACTGCTGTCCTTTGCATACCCTCGGGTTGGCATTCCAATCCCCGGGGGCGCGCCCGCAGGGGCAGGCAGCGTTGTGAGCGTCGTGGAGCATTGCAATGCTTCTGCTCCGACATGATATGGTTGAGCCGCTTCTGTGCAAGGACTTCACACGGGGACCAGCAGACACTGAGGGCGTACCACGCGACGCAGGGGAGCATGATCTAGATGCAGAGCGACTCCTGGAACGCAGTTGCGGCAACACTCTGAGCGTAGGACTGCTGTGGGTGAGGAGGCTGCGCCTGCGGCTGATCTTCAGGCTGGGAAGTGAAGAGGATAGATGACGGTGAAAGAGGGTACCGTCTCCTGTAACGGACTGCGGTACAAGAGACCCGGAGGGACATCCGGCAACTGTGGAAGCGAATGTACGTTGATGAAATTCGCATTCAAAGTTCTCAAGAAGCCGAAGAGATTCGTCGTTTTCGACGCGGAGAAGAGCTCGTTTGAGTCTTGACGGAGGCAACCGTGGATGTGGCGGCACGGGCGGTGGATAGTACTTGGGGAGACATGCCTGTGGGCGCTCGTGGGAACCGGGAACGAGGGGGCGCCACGTGGAAGGGAGAAAAGCAAGAGATAACCTTTACGCATGATACCCGGGTGTGTCGGATCAGGGCAGCGGGGGCCATACAGAAGAGCAGTAAGTAGGCAATGTCATTATAGGAGAGTACTATATGTGTAAGCATCATAGGACAGCGAGATCCGTCCACCATCATGCCTCCGCAAGCCCGTACTTGCGCAGCACCCCCTGGTAGTCCCCAACGTCCTCCCGGCCCATGACTACGACGCTTGCCTTGGCGGAGCTGCGAGGCCCGAAGAGGCGGGCGGCTACACGGCGGACTGTCATTGCGTCCACCGCGTCGATCTTGTCGCACATTTCTGACACAGGGATTTTGCGATTATGAACCAAGACCTGCAGAAGGGGTCAGCTAGATTCAGACAGGGATAAGGGTGGGAACAAACGAACCTGGCGACCAAGATCCTCGACCTCGACTGCGCGGCTCTCGAGAGCCATCATGAGGCTCGACTTGAGCTGATTCTTCGCACGGCTCAGCTCCTGTTCAGGGATGTTTGAGTACAACAGCAAGCTCAGCTGGTGGACCAGATGTGGAAGGATGTGTGCGGGGTTGTTTGCCTGGCGGCCGCTCGAGGGGATGAAGGACGCGAAGAGGCCGAACAGGGAGGAGTCGGTGTAAATGTGGTGGAAGGACGCGCAATGGTCGATTTGCGGGAAGTGGTTGAGGATGTGCGTGTATAAGCGGGAGTACATGCCCTTTCCAGGTCCACCTGGAATTACGGCGGCGTCAGGGTGCGGAGTCGGACGGAAAGTGGGAGTAACGTACCTGCAGAGAAGCTGCCCCCACCACCCAACAAAACCTGCATTGTCGCTACTGTGTACACGTCGTCATCATGGATACCAACGCCCTCGTATGCAAGGTATACATGGTTGAACTCGGTGGTAGGATCGTGAATGAACCTATGTCCACCAGTATATGTTGATTGGCTTGGTACCGATGATGCAGGGTCCTGCTGAGGATTGTACAAGTATGAAGACGCCGAGCGAGTCAACGACTTCAGGAACGAAGGTGAAGACTGCTGCGAAGACTGTAGAAGGTTCGCAGGGACTTGCTGTGAGGTGCGGACCTCAGCACGCGGCTTGGTCGCGTCCGCATCCTTCAAGTGCGCGAAATGCTTGGCCGTGAGCTCGACGAGGGCGTCATGTTCCATACCAGCTCCTGCAATGACCATCCTCTCGGGACGATACCACGTCTGCATAAACTGCCGCATCATGGGAGCGTCGACCTGGTCTATTCGATCTTCGGGGCACAAAAGGGAATTGCCAAGTCCCTGACCGCCGTATGCAACGTGGTGCAAAACCTCGGGAAGAATCATCTCGGGCTTCGAGCTCACTTCCCGCAACTCATATCGAGCTGCTTCTCGCTGCGCGGCGATCTCTTCCGGGAGAAAGGCAGGATCGAGGACGGTGTCGGCGATGAGCGACATGGCAAGGGGTGTGCCTTTGTGGAAGTGAGAGGATTGATACATGATGGATTCGCGCGCTGAGGAGCAAAGGATCTGGCCACCAAGCCCGTCGATGTCGGCTGCCATGTCTTCCTCTGAGCGCGTTTTGGTCGTCTATGGAGTGGAGCAACTGAGGACACTGGGCGTTGGGACTAACATGGTATATACGCACCTTGAAAGCCATCCTATCTAGAAAATGGCTTACGCCCAGCGTTGCGGGAGTCTCGTAACGAGAACCAGCATCCACATAGAGTCCTAGGGACGAGAAGTGCCCTGGAGTGTTCTCCGTCGCTACTCGAATACCATTTGGAAGAGTGGTGATCTGTACCGGAGGATCGGGACTCGCTGAACTTGGCGTTGTCGCGTGTATTGATCTATGACATGGAACCCGACGGGAAGCAGAGTTGCGAAGGGAATGAACGGCAGCGCGGCGCATAGTCGTGGTAGACGTGAAGGATGCGCGCGTATGCGCCGAGAACGCTCTCGCTGACATTCACTACAAGCCACATGACATTCGAGTACTAAGAAATGCGCAAAAAGCAAAACGAGGGCCCACCGTGGTTCGAACACGGGACCGCACGATCTGCAATCGTATGCTCTACCACTGAGCTATAAGCCCTACGCCGTTACGTCGGTTACACGTCAATACAATCAGTTGGTGCAATCCGCTACTCCGTCCCTCCTACTTACAGTAAGTTACTATAACTTCATGTGGCAAAGAGCAGAGACCCAGAAACGGCGCAGATGTCACCACAGGAGAGATTTTCTGATCGCTGCAAATCCAGCTGAGACCCAGGGGACAACTACCTCTCCAACACTATATCAAGTACTGCTACAACACAACATCCTTTGGACAGTCACCAATTTCCCATCTGGTGACCGTTAGGTGAACGGAGTGAAGCGTGCTCCTCGCCGTGAAGCAGATGCAGGAAGCACACAGACGAGTGCGTACCTGGACAGCGATCTAGGGAGGACTCTATTACCCTCGGCCTGTGATGAATTGCCTCCGAGGAGGCAGGCGCATGTTCCTCATGGATGTGAGTATCTGTCCGTCCTGGAGCGCGAGGTCCGCGGAATCACCTTCAAGCACGACAAGGGAAACAGCTGAGCAGCAACTTACGAATAATATTAGCAAGTCGTGACAATCTAGCCAATGAGTATACACTCTCCTACTTATCTGAAGCCCACCTCAATACTCTTTGTTGGAAGCGTTGTGCTGGGTTCACTGCATTGGGCTAATCACCCGCGAGATGAGGCATTTTTAAGTCAAAGGCAGTCAATTGCCAGTGGGGACCAACGGATCCTGAACCAGTAACGGGAGATCGATGCGATACACTGTCAATATACCGGGACATGCGCAACTGGTGCAGCATACAACATTGACAAGCCACCGTAGATTAGCGACGACTGTTCAGAACAAGGCAGCGAACACCTGCGTGCAGAAAATCAGCATTCGTCAACGAGCATGTTATTGACAGGGACGAACCTCATCCACGATAGTGTATATCAGATGTTGGTTCAGGCGGCGATTCTGCAACACAGCGAATATCCGGCGGGCACCGCGACGGGCATTCGAGCGTCCGATCATATTCGCCGCGAGATCTGTGAGAGACATCAGGATTCGCCAGGCAGATAACAGAAGCATCCATGTCTACGTACCCGGCATGAGAGCCGACAGCTTGCGGTTGGCCTCGTCTCTCGTGTGCAGTTTCTCTTCGACGGTCCGAGGCACGCTCGGAGGCTTGAGGTTCCCCCCAGGCCACAGCCCATCCTTGAAGACGTTGATGTATGTCATGAGATGCGGCTCGTCCAGGAACGACCTCACCGTCTCCCGCAGCTTTCTGCACAGCAAGTATCAGCATGCGTCTGTAGCTCTCGAATACCTACTACCCACCGCTCGATCGTGTCTCCAAGCACTTGCTGCAAAATGATTACAATAGCCTGCCTCCTCAGCCAATTGTTTTTCTTGTCCAGCTCGAATACCGCCAATATAAAGTCGCAAATAGGCGATGAGAACGTCGACGTGCTCGTCTCGCCCTCCAGTGGCTTCAAGTCGCCGGACAAGTGCATAAGCGCATCTTCGTACGTCGACTTGCCCGATGCCTTCAACGCCTGCGCCACCAAGTCCTCGTCACGGATGGCCGTGCCTGTGATCCCGACGAACTCCGCGGCCTGAGTAGTGAGCCTTTGGATGATGACGTCCAGCATGGACGGGCCGAAGAACATGTCGTCGATACTCTCCGCGACGGACTGATACATAGTCTTGACCAGGCCGTGGCCCGGGAATGTGGAGGTAGACGGTTTAGGCGGCGGCGGTTCGGCTGCCATGAAGGGCGAGTCCCGAGACAGGAATGCCCGGAGCTCTTGGCTCTCGCATACGGCGGGAATAGCAATCAGGCTCTGAGAATACGTCAGCACATCGCGCAAGTGTGAGGGGGCGGATGAACGCACCTGCAAGTACTTTTCTAGCGCAATCCTCCTGCTATCCACGAAGCTGCCCGAAAGCGACGTGACGAGCCTCTTTCCCGGGAAATCCAGATTCCTCACAAGCACGTACTTATCCCTCAACTTATTGTGCATATTGAAAAACTCGTTGTACCTCCTCGCGACTACCCACCCCGACGCGAAGCTCCCGTCCTGTGCCAGCTGCTGCACCTCCACCAAATACCTCACGACCTGCTTCCCGTCCTCCTCCCCGACCGTCGAGTTCACGATCGCGACGCGCGTCCGGTCGCTCAAGAGGCGGTTCGCGCTCTCCTGCTGCTCGTACTGAGTCTTCTGGAACCGCAGCTCGCGGAGCTCTCGTGTCAGCTGCGCCTTGGACCTTCGCATGAGCCGGAGCTCCTGCGCGTCTCCCGTCAGCTCTGCCTTCTTGATGAGCGTGTCGAGCATGCCGTCCTGCGTCTGCAGCTTCGCGATCTTGCCCGCTAGCCGCTCGATCTCGTGCGACAGCTGCAGGTCGCCAGGTCCCGCGAGCTGGAACGAGCCGTGCTCGTCCTTGTCATGCTCCTCGGCTTCCTCCTCGCGCGAGCGGTCGCCCTCCACCTCGTCCTCCTCGACATCGTCGTCGAACACGAGCCTGCGCTTCTCGCGCCCGGTACGCGTTCCCCCGCTCAAGACCGAGTCCTGCACGCTCAATGAGTCCGCAGACGCACCCGCCGCGGCGTGCTGCTTGTCGAGCGCGATAATGTCCGTCAGCGCGGCCTGGATGGCATCCATACGCTGCGCCTGAATCTGCTGCTCCGTGTCCTCTGGGTCGTCAAAGAGCGGCGCGCGGGATGCCGCAGCGGAACTGTCGAGCTCGTCCACGGGCGACATAAGCACTTGCAGGTTCGATGCCGCTGGACGCGGCTGAGGTGGAGGAGTGGGAGTGTGGGGAGTGGGTGGCTGGCGTCCAGGGAAGCCGAGGATCGGGGTCGACTCTGAGCGAGGTAATCCTGATTTCGGCCCTAGCTTCGCGGCGGGAACGCCCTCGGTGTCTCGACGGGTCGACGTAGGGGAGCGGCTCCGCGGATGCAGAGGCCCGTCGTCCGCGAGAGCACCCCTCCCGCCATTCGCCTCGATGTCAGCAAGCACGCGGAACCACAGCTCCGACCTCTGGAAGTCCTCGAAGTCCTGCTCCATCTCCCGCTCGACCTGCCTCTGCGCGAGCATCACGCTCCGCCTCACGCGCCGCTCCGAGGCAGGGGTCAACGACGCCGCGTCCTGGCCGAACGAGCGGATCGTGTCGACGTGCTTCTTGGAGACAGCACTGAGGACGGGGTCGGGGACGGGGCTGGAGAAGTAGAGCTCGTTGATGAGCGAGATGTCTTCCTTGAGCGTCGCGGACTGGCTTGGGTCAAGCAGGGGCTCGTCTTCGTCGTCGGAGCCGTCCGAGTCCACGGACTCGAGTGGATTCTTGAAGCTCTCGACCGTGAGCCAGAACTGTACGAGGAGCGAGCGCTGACGGCGGTCCATGAACTCCATGAAGTATGAGAGCGAGCTGGGGTTCATCAGGGTATCCCTTAGGGTGAGTTTGGATGTCGTAGATGTCTCCTGGTAGATGGTCTGCCGCTACGCAGTGTCAGTGGTTTGAATAGTAACAACAACTTGACGCATACCGAGTCCGCCTCGCCACCTAATGCTGCTATGCGCTTCTCGACTTTCCGCTTTGCTGTGTATAGACGGTCAAGGAACGCGACGATGTCCTCCGTCTTCTCTCCATTGATCCAGTCCGAGTTGGCATTGTTAGCTAAAGAATCGTCGTAGGTTATTCTTGCATGGCATAGACAGCAGATGAGAACTCACCAAGCAAAGTGCGGGTCCGACGGATCTCTCCCATGATATCATTCCTGAGCCTTCTCGCGTCTAAGAGCGAGGATGTACGGCTTATACTTCGAAGGAAAGACTCGAAATGTTTGGGATCCGTGCGGATCGTAATCTTCTCAGTCGTCGACTGCGGTGCATCCGACAGCGGAGCTTGTGGTCGCGGGATCTGAGCCTCCAAGATGTTTCGTACTTTGGAGATCAACCGTCTATGAGACGATACGATGAGCTTCGGGCATGCAATTCCGCGGCCCTCAGGTCGACGTACTGTTGGCGGATTGCTGCTCCTGCCTGCGCCAGGTCAGACAGAACGTACCAAAGCGCACACGACCACCACGACACTCACAACTTGGTCAATCATGCGGTTCCAGAAGTCAGGTTCTGATAGCATTTCCATGACAGGATACAAGACAGAGCAGGCAACTATCTCCCGGACCACAATCTTGACCGCACGGCTGTTGGCCTCCTTCTCCGGGAGGATGGAAGGCAGCGCCTTGTCGACCAGCTCCCGCAAATGGTTCTCCTCCGACTGCTTGGTGAAGGTGGAAGAGAGGTTTTCCACGGCGGAATGCAGCTTACCCCCACCACGTGCAGCATACCGACTCGCGAGCAACAGATCCAACTCCTCCGACTGCGTCAGCTTGCGCTCCAGCCCGGCCCCACGGAGCGCGATTTCAGACTGACGGAACTGTTCAATATGCGCGGTAATCTTTGGCAGAATTCGCTTGACGACGAGCGCGGATAGGTCTAGTGTCAGCACTTTGGCGAGGAGCCGGTCCATGGAGCTGTGTAGGGTAGACGAGACGGCGGTAGGGAATGAAGGTGAAGTCGAGATATCCTTGTACCATACCAGCACAAAGTCGCGAACAATCATGATCAGTATCTCGTTAATAGCGGCAGAGACTACCGGGGCGTCGGGGTATAGAGGCGGCAATGACTGGGGAGCCTTGTGGGACCATTGGGAGCGCGTCAAGACCGCTTGCCATGCCGCTGGCGTAGAAAACGCGAGGGGTCTTGCTGCAGTCGTAAGAGCATTGCGTGGTGCAGGTCGTATAGAGTCCAAGAGATATCCAAAGAGAAGATTGACAGTCAGAAACCCGAGGACGAGGGAGAGGAGAAAGAACGGGAAGAGGAGCGCGAGAGCAACCGGAGATAGAATAATGCGTTTGAAGATGGGAACAAGAAGGCCGCCGACAATAAGCAAAGCAACTACATGCCTGCCGTATGGCATGGCCTAGAGCGCAATGTCAGGACGAGCCAGAGGGAAGATGTGGTCGTCTGCCAGGAGGTGCGGCCACTCGCCAACAACGCTCGAAGCTCGGGAGCATGCCAAACTGGGAAGGTCGCCTTTAGACGCCCACACAGGGCTGCCGCAGCGGACCGGGCTTCTCGTCTGGAAACTATGTATGCGGAAGGTCATACACCGGGCTGGAGATTCAGTATGTCAAGAAGGAGGTGTTGAGTCGCGGTTCAACCAAATTGCGTCGCACGGCAGGGTAGGCTGCGTGGAAGCAAGAAAACGAGCTGCCCCGCACGTAAGCTCTGCTCCGTATTCCGACTCGATCGGGTTCGTCTGACGGTACCGGCCGGGGCGGCGCGCGGCCAACCGTCTTGCTCGTAATTCCACCTCATCGTCCGAGGCACAGTCGTTACGCGTTGCCCCCCACCCCCGCGCAACATCTTTGCTTTACAACCATGAGTGCGCCTGCACCAGGAACCAAACCGCTCTCTAGTGCTGAAGGCTTCGTCTGCGGGGGGACGGCCGCCTGTGTGGCCGTATGTCTTCCTTCTCCCCGCTTGGTCTCAATGCGTGACGTCTTCTTTGATGTTCTAGGTGACGGTCTCGAACCCGGCAGAGGTCGCCAAGACGCGCATGCAGCTTCAGGGCGAGCTAGCCAAGAGGGGCGCGCCCAAGGTGTACAAGAACGCGCTGGATGTCATCGCGAAGACATGGCAGAATGAGGGGATTCGAGGCGTCCAAAGGGGCTTGGGTCCGGCTGTGAGTACGCGTCGCCTCGCACTCAGAGTAAGTGTCCTGACATCCGCTAGTATGTATACCAAGTGAGTGTACCTGCACTTCGCTTTGCGGAAGCACGGCCCTCATCCCAACTAGATCCTCATGAATGGGTCGCGTCTAGGTGAGTCATACGTCACTCCCACAAGCTTCTGTAGATCTTACACCGCTTTGACCCCCAGGATTTTATGAGCCAATTCGGAGAAATGTGAACAAGCTGGTCGGCGCGAAACCAACGGACCAGATCCCACTCACATCCCTCTTTTCGGGGGCCGCGAGCGGTATCATCGGAGGTGTGATTTGTACACATATCCAAGCGTCCCTACATGGCTAAGACCTCGCGTTCACAGCGTCGGTCGGAAATCCTTTCTTCTTAATCAAGGCGCGGATGCAGGTGAGCGTCTCGCGCGATTTTCGCCTATACTCTTGTACACCACAACTTATACATGACAGGCGTACTCCCCAGTTCTCCCCGTCGGCGCCCAGCACTATTATAAGAGCTCTTGGGATGCGCTTAAAAGTATATGGAAAGCTGAGAAGTTCCGCGGGCTTGTACGAGGTATCGACGCCGCTGCTCTTCGTACAGCCATGGGTTCCTCGGTAAGCCTAGCTTGCCCCTGACCCATGACTGCTTTAAGATTCCATTGTGCCCCCAACGATAGGTACAACTACCTACATACAATTGGACAAAGAATCAGCTCATTAGTCGTGGCATATCGCGCGGTGATAGCGTCTGGACGTTCCTCGCTAGCAGTTCTGTGTCCGGACTTTGTGTGGTATGCACGCCATCCCCCTGATGCACTCCCAGGTAGTCTTTGACGTGCGCGTTGCAGCTCATGATGATGCAACCTACCGATACCGTGCTCACGCGCATGTATAATCAACCTACCATACCAACACCGGACGGTCGACACATCGGCGCGCTCTACAAGAACCCTCTGGATTGTTTGTGGAAGACTTTCAAGGCCGAGGGACCTCTGGGCTGGTACAAGGGTTCGAAACTTCTGGTTTCTCCGCAAAATATAGAGTATTGACTTGTGTCTATAGGTTCAACGGCGCATTTCCTCCGAATAGTACCCCATACGTGAGTCAAATGTCGATCGTGACTATGCTGTACCATTCCTCAAACTATCCCCACATTGCAGAATCGTCACTTTGACGGCCAACGACATCATCGTGGGAATCTACAAGCGTGTCCGGGACGGATCCCCATAGACTACGACCATGTAGACTTCTAGCCCACGATCTCAGCCAGTCACAGCTACGTCGACCGCTTTTCTGCCGTCTTCGGTACCAGTTAACTATAACATATCCTACTACTCAATTTCGATTGCCTTCAGGGCAGGTATGGAGCGGTCAGCAAGACATCACTCGAGGAGAGATCGCCGAGAATTGAATTTAGTTCTTGTCTCCTCGCCTTTCTCGTATACCTGGACAATCTCCCCTGATATGAACGACTAATAATTTTGGTGCTCACCGTCCATGGCTTTCACGAGCTCTTCCGTGAAAATACTACGTCTTCATGACATCTGGACGCGATGCTGATGCGGCTCCTCTTCGATCCTCTCTGGGCTTGTATGTCCGTGGCCCATTTCTTTTCCCCCTCACAGTAATGGATCAGGAAACGTACGCATTTCATTGTGACGAGCGTCGGTGGTCATGGAACAGAGCTGGCCAAGCGCGAACTCTCCAGGGTAAGCACTGGCAGGGCTCCACCTCAATACCGTGAGCTAGACCCGAAGTCCCTGAATGAGCGAAGCGTGAAACACAAGCTGTGCAAGGTGATAGGATCCTCCACAGGCTCACAGTCTGCAAGGCAGATAGCAAATCCGACTAAGCAACATGCTTGAGGAACTTGAAGCCTAACTGAGAACTTTGGAGGACGGATAAGCGACAGCGACAGATCTAGAAGATAAGCAAAAAGAGCTGAACCCTGCCCGGATTGAACGGACGACCTTGAGGATTCCCCAAGCTGGAATCTCACGCGCTACCACTGTGCCAAGGGTTCTTACTGGTGGTGCCACTATGGTTGTATCAATCAATTGCAGAGTCGCGTGTAGATCACCCAACGCCTCAGGCCCGCGTCCCCTACTGTACATTCTGTCCGGATAGCTTGCTTGAGTGGCGCAAAATCGCCCACACTCCATTTGCCTAGCTGGCTGCCGTGAACCTCGTGCGAAACTTACTCACGTACAAGGTCAACCAAGGGCAACTTGACCTCATTCTCACGAACGCCGTCCCAGGTTCACGTCCATAGGATCCCGAATTTGCCACTTCCGAGACTGCTAATCTTAGTTGGGCAGTCACATCCCTGCGGCCATGGGCGCACTGATATCTTACATTGGTAACTTGTGTGCTTTGATCGGTCAGGCGTTCCCTCCCAAGCCGACCTTCAGCGTCGACCAGATACCTGATCTGACGGGACAAGTGGTCATCGTTACTGGTCAGTCGTCCAGCACAAGACTGCGGACTGAACATGAGTCCTATGTGCGCTACTCATCACAAGCGTTGCAGGTGGCAACACAGGCATAGGCAAGGAGACGGTCAGAGCACTCCTGCTGCATGATGCTAAGGTATATCTTGCTGCTCGAAGCAAGGAGAAGGCGGACGCTGCAATTTCCGACCTCAAGGCATCCACGGGAAGGGAAGCCTTCTTCATGGAGCTTGATCTTGCGGACATGTCCTCCGTCAAGAAGGCAGCACGCGACTTCCTAAGGTCAGATTATCAAGCCAACTTGCACAGTTCTCGCAGGATTGCTGATCCGTCTCCTTGACCTCAGCAAGGAGCCTGAGCTTCACATCTTGTTCAACAATGCGTACGGTTCTTGAGTATCAATTATGCATCCCATAATGTTAACGAATCATCATACAGAGGCGTCATGTTTCCACCACTCTCTCAAATCACTGCAGACGGTTTCGACTTGCAGTTTGGCGTGAACGTCTTAGGTGAGTACCCCCAGGCTACAGGCATCACCCCAGAGCATGTAACGCATGATCATGCACCTGTAGGACATTTCTATCTGACTGAGCTATTAATGCCGGCACTTCTTGCGGGAAAGGGGTCCTCGCCTGACCATCACGCTCGCGTCGTGACAACCTCCTCGGCCGCTTCCTATCTCGGTACACTGCACTGGGAGACATTCAAGGACGGTCCTGCGAGACGTCGCGAAACGACTGACGCTCTATATAATCAGAGTAAGCTAGTGAGCGTCGGTGCCCTCCTAAATTCGCAACGATGAAATGAAGCCATTGCACGTAGGCAAATGTGATCGTAGCTCGTGAAACTGCCAAACGGTATGGACATCAAGGTATTATATCCATTGCCGTAAATCCAGGCTAGTATGAACGACATTCTGCACGTTGTCCTCCCTCACAGCCTGCTTAGGAAACATTCAAAGCGATCTCCAACGTCACCTTCCGTCGATCATTCCTAAATTAGGAGTGAGTCCTGGTTTGCTATTCGCGGCTGGTCTCTGAGCTATCCTCTAGGCCTTGACGGTCCTGTACCCAACACCGTATGGGGCCCTCACCCAGCTTTGGGCAGGGACAATGCCTCAAGCGCTCCATTACAACGGTGAAGTGCGTAGTTTGTTTGAGGCTAGAGACCTTCAATCAACGAACTCCCCGTAGTTTTTCATTCCCTGGGCACGCCCTGGGAAGTGCAGAGCAGAGGCGTATGATCCTGCGATAGGAGAGCGATTGTGGAACTGGCTGGAAGAGCAGGTCAGGGGCATCTGATCCCTCTTTCAAATAATTGTTCCGCTCTCTTGCGTATGCCATCACTTGAGTAGTATGACGTGCGAGAGTATGAAGGTGGCAAGATCCGGACGATGTCGAGGGTCAGACGTTTCCTTTTCGCAACATTGCACAAGGATATGCTGCGAGAGCACTAACGTCTGCACCATGGCTAGTAGTACAACATACTGTACAACACCGTATACATGCTCAGCACTTGCGTGACCTGATGTTCGTCCACCTCGCGCTCTTCTTCGATATAAGGTAAATCACTGACCCCGGGCCAGGAGCCATCCAGGCGCTCGGCTGGTTCACCTCGAGATTGACGACCAAGAAGCGTTGTCCCTCTCGGATGTCGCCCGGAGAACCGCCCTCGCTGAACACCATACGCATGGGGTCCCACACAGTGATCTGCACGGTTCGCGTGGGCTCCTTCCTGCACCACCGTGCATCCTTGGCGACAACAACGCGGAAGTCTCGGACATTGCGTGGGGGGCAGATATACTATGAAACCGTCTGAACAACACGTTGTATGCAGGGTAGACCCAAGTCGGACGCACCTGAAGCTCCCGCTCGATATCTTCTCCGAGCCGCTCCTTCGAAAGCCTGATCTGATCGAGCGTGTGGATGTACAGATAACCTGCGTCCATGTAGTTGAGATAGTCGAAGAAGTCCCGAGGCGACCGTGACACATCTTCTATCATCTCGTCGTACATTCCTTCGATAAAAGAAGGTAGAGGATCTGCAGTACAACGTAAGTGCCTGGAGCACGAGAGAGCTGTATAAATCAGGACTCACCGTCTTTATTGACCTTATCCTCAAACCGAGGGCCGGCGATGCCGTATAGCTGCTCTGAGATCTTCTCCAGTGACTGAATCTGTCGCTCGAGATCGGCACGGATTGTAGCTACAGCTATATCCCTCCTGGTCTACAAGAAGAATTGAACAATTGTCGGGAGCTGGACATCAGAGAACATACCAGCCACTCATCTTGCGCCCTAAGCTCTTCTTTCTCATCCCGCGGCCCTAGCTTGGTTGTCGACCCGTCTTCGTTCCTGATAAATTCCAGATAGGCTATTGGATACGCCTGCGCAACGTGAGCTCCCATGCGTACGTGAAAGGCAGACAATCCACTATACCTTTGTAACGATGAGGTCCATGGCAGGTACCCTGCCGCCGTCCGGGGTGAGGCTATCCAGTGTCGCGATGAAAGGATCCTTGGCAAAGCCAAGCTTTGCGTGCCATGGCGCTAAGTGGGTAGAGTTGCCCGAAAGGTCCAAGTAGGTACTATCGTACGCGTCGAGGATTTCGCAAGACTCTTTGCGGTCCCCGCCCAGCTAAGACAATGGTCAGATATGTCCTACATCATACATCCACATGAACAATTCACCTTAGCTCCCGAGACGGCCAACTTCGTCCCAACCTTGATAAGTCCCCGACGAACCGCTCTGGCCAAGGGTCGGTCTACTCTGGCCCGTAGTCTATACCATCCGTCGGTCACCTCCAGTTCTGGATGGGGTTCAACCGGTCGTCCCTCGCTATCCACCACGGCAGGCGCCCAGGTGATGATACTCGACACGCATAGCACCATGGGACAAGCCGCCGGTGCGTCCTCCGTCGAGATCAGACGAAGCGCTGGTCTTGAGCCACCATTCAGCTCACGTTCGTATCTGTGACCATTGTTAAGTGATATAGGTGAGTCCACCACCGCAGAACATCGAAGAACGTCAGCTAACCTGTAGCGCAATTGCCGCATGACCTCCCGCCAACACCATCGCTTCGTCTTCGGATCCAGCTCCGACTCCGGCTCGAGACAGACCATGCCTGCGAGCTTCCAGAGAATGAGGCCATAGTGATTCGTCACCCACTGCTGCGTAGCAAGCCTACAGCCCAGTTCCTTCAGCTGTACAAAGGCGGCCTCGGGTCCTAGTTGAAGAGGCTCGGCCGAATCGTTTGTTAGCTCCGCGGAATAGAACGAATAGTAGATTGCCATGGCGGGGCTCATCTCCCGGAGTTCTTCAACGTTTCTGAGGACAATGATTCAGCATATATGCACGGTAACTGGAGTTTGTGGACCCACATCCCCATGTCTTCCAGTTCGTCCCCAGTGTACGACTGCGGTCGGAGACCTGATGATGCCAGTGTCTTCCTGTCCGGCCTTGGGTCTAAATTGCGCATCGTCAATTATGTCGCGCATATACCCACTGCAGTAGGAATCGTCGAAAACTCACTCAGATCGAAAAACTTATACTCCTTCCTCGCCACAGACACAGATTTACCCTTGGCCGAAGACGACGGCGTCCCGCGTACATCGACTCGGAGAGGAGTCTGCACCGACGTCTCTGCTTTCGCTTTCGCCCCCAGCTGTGTCCTTCCTGCTTCCCCAGGCGCCATGCCCAGCTTGAACGGCGTAGTAAACTTGGCCTTCCCAGCAGACTTCAGGCCGCCGCCCGGCAGCCTGCGAGGGGTCATCCCCAGACTCTTGCCCTTACTTGGAGATGTCGTGACAATTGAAGTACCGGACTCTGGAGCTGGGGCAGGGCGAGCGGGTGTCGCCGGCACTGCGGTAGGAACTGTGCTCGCTGCGCCAAAAGTGAACACCGCGGGTAACTTCGAACTCGAGGCACGGACAGGATTCAGCGACGACCTAAGCCGCGCCGCAGACGCAGACGCGGGGCGATCCTGCTTGTTGATGAGCGGAGACTTGAACTGCTTGTTCTTCATCTGCACCCCTCCGCCGATGTTCGTGTAGTGCGTCGGGTTCTTCGACGCGAGCGGGGTATCGGGGAGCTGCGCTGGGGAGGGCGCGCTGTTTTCCATCGGCCGCAGGGCAGGACGCAGCGGGGTCTGGAGAGACGGTGCTGCGGCAGGCTGCGGCACAGACGAGGACGGCCCTGCACGCGTGTTTTCGATGTCCTGATTGGTATGGGCAGGAGCTACAGACGTCGACACGTCTTCTCGCACGAACTCTTCCTCCCACTGCTTCATCTTCTGTGCAGCCCGCGCGAGAGCTTCTGCGGAGGGCGCCTGCCAGGCACTCTTCCCCCCAGTCAACTTCGCCGCAGAGCTGAAGCCGATTGACGCAGCGGACGCGAAACCCGTAGCGAACGACGCAGATGGGGAAGGTTCTACGACTTCGGGTGCGCTGTCTCCAGACCCGCCATGCGAGGTACTCTGAGACTGCACCAAGCCCGACGCAGAGGTGAATCCGGCGAAAACGGGAGCTTGACTGGCATGACCCTCCCCTGCCTCCAATGGCTCCAGAATCGTACGAGCGGTCTTGAACCCGAGCGCGTCGGAAGGTAGCGCGGATGCATCGGAATCGAACCAGGAATCATAGTCTGGTTGTGGAGGCGGAGGCGACGAGGGGCGATCGTCACAGGGATCTTCTGGTCGCGCAGGGAGTGCAGATGCAGGACCAAATCCACCAAGCGTGGATGATATAGAGGTGATGGTTCCATTATGGGAGGCTTCGCCCGAATTTGCATGCGCATTGGACGCGTCAGGAGGCTTCGAAGTGAAGCTACCAGACGCACGAAGCTTGGCCGTCTTGAGGACCAAGGGGAGGGCAGCCGCAGATGTAAAGCCAGAGGCAGCTGGAGCGAGAGAATCGACAGAAGGCTTGGACGGGAGCGTGGTAGCGGAGACGAAGCCACTGCCTCCACCAGCACCTGTGAAGAACGCGTCCTCATCAGCGCGATCTTGGGTGGTGGAAGGCTTTTCGAGGGGCGATGACGACCACTCTGGCGATGCATTGTCATGTAGCTTTCACGCCAGATGAGTGTATGCGCGCACCTTGAGCTGCTGGCCCATCCCGGTCGCCTTCTCCCATCACACCTTCTCCGGATGCACCGTGGTTAGCGGTAGTTAGTTCGACGTCCTCTGTCTCTTCGGCCGACAAGGTTCGCGATCGGGAAGGAAGGACGAGAGCTCGCTGCGAGAGCTGCTTGTCTATCTCATCAAACGCGCTCATCTCCTCCTGCGTGATTGGAAAGTGCTCGTCGTACGTCGGGGAAGATAGTCGTTGTCGTTTGCGCGCGCTCTCAGGCTCGGGTGACTCCGCTAGATGCCACTTAGTCATTGGGTGATATGCATACACGGACATACGTACAGGATCTACGCATTTGCGTTCGTTGCAAACGCGTCGGAGGGTGCGCGCGAGGACGCTGGAGGCGGCGATGATGGTGGTCGTGTATGAAGCCGGGCCTGTGTGCCACAGACGCGATACCACGTTACGCGTTCGGTCACGTTATCGCTGGGTCCCTTTCCAGACAACGCGCGCTTATCAGTGTACTAGGACTCTCCCTAGTGACCAGTTGGCGAGCATATTGATGGCCTCACGGCCGGACAGAGATCCAAGATAGTCTAGGAGATAATACAGATGTATTGACTTGATACACGATGCCTAATAACGAGCGCTCGGATGTGTGACATGCCCACCGTAGTCCCTGACGTAGAGGTAGTAGGAGAAAGCAATGATTCTTGGCAGAGGTCAATGAGATAGGAATATGGGACGTGATGGTCGTGAGATGAGATGAAAGGAAGGAGCTCGGAACATTCCAATACCAAGAGTAGCATCCACTGGGTTCACTGCTTCTTCGCCCCGTCGGTGCGCTGTATGCGCGGTAGACCGTGTACCTTGGTGACCGTGTAGTTGTTAGGATCATCCTTGATGCAGAGAGTACTGTCGGCGTTGTCAGATACCAACGATCCACCAGACCTCGAGTGCAACTTACAGATCTACACAGAAGAAGAATTCGATCAGCTGAATGCAAGGGAGACGATGGGGTAAAGCTTACAAGTGTTTCCAATTAACATCAGGTAAGTGCCGATTGCCTAAGGTGATGTCAGTCTCAGTCAAATTCAATTTGACAAGAATGAGACGAACGGTCAGAACGTGCCACCAAGAGTGACCTGCAACACGTCTAGTCAGCTATCGCACTAGAAGCTTCAGGTTTGCCTTACCCTCAAGCAGGAAAGCAGCCGGCCAACCGACGGACTGCTTCCAGCGGGTGATATGAGAACAGAAGACGTTGTCCAAGTTCCAGATAAGGAATCCAAACGCGAAAGTCGCAGCCCCCGAACCGAACATGCGCGCGATAGTGGAGCGTTGGGCTTGGTGCAGCCGCTTCGAAATCTCACCGTGTCGGAGGAGGTAGGCGGTGCGGAACGTTGTGGTCAACATCAAGACTGCGAAGACCGCTTGGTGATAGATTGGGTTGCGATTGGTGTAGCTGAGTCAAACAAAGTTATGTTCTGACGATGGAACGTGGTAGGGTGAAGGGACATACTAAGACCAGGTAAACAGCACGTTAAACACCATAAAGATAACGCCCAGTTGCCCCGCATTCGACTGGCGCAGGTCAAACCCGCGGGACGTGTCGAAGAGGACAGCGCAGCAGTAGCTGGCAACGTAGATCATGGGTAGTTCATCCATGAGCTGGGCTTCGAAAAGGAGGGTGGCATGGAACATAAAACTCCCTATTCCGACCAACGCAAATCCCTGTGCGCGATGCCGTATAGTCGAAAGAAGCCATCGCATAGTCAATGTCTGCCACGCACACGGGAAGCCACGATGACGTACCGCGTACCCGACCAAGTATCTTGGCGGCAGCTTCTCCGTAACCGATTGTGCCGCTCCATACACCGCGAGGCCGATCGTGAAGAGGTTCGAAAAGCTGTTCGCGACTTCCGCGATGTAACGCGAGAACTGGTAGTTAACCTGCGAGCGGAGGCGCGTGGGAGCACAGGAGGCCCAGTCAGTCCGGGGCCGGGAGCGACGACCGGAACGCCTCGGACAGCGCATACGGCAACCCCACTCACCTCGCACCAGTCGAGAGTAGCGGTGACGGGCCCCCAGAACGCCTGGCCGGCTAAGAGAGCGTTTGTTGTGGTGTTGAGTGCCATGGCTGACAGCGGAGGGTTAGCAGAGGAGGAGAGAAAGGGGAGCGCGGGCGGGTCGAACGGGGAGTCCTGCATTACGCAATAGTGCAGGTGTGGATGGGGGGGACATCGGGCGTCGACGGTTATCTATGTTCGGACATCCGTCCGAGGCCAAAGCCCGGCTCGGAAATGCCCCTTACCATTTCAACCATAGTCAGCGTCTTCAGGAGGTTGAGGCGATGAGCTCTGCAGCACGATACGACAAATAGGTGCAGAAGGAGCCTAGCGGAGCGGCGGCGGTAGCGACCTGAGCAAAAATGCTCGTAGTCGCCCAATCAGGCCAATTCACTGACACTCAGCGGTCACCGGACCCCGGACTCCTCTTCTTACTGTACCTCATACGGCCGTCTCTATCCTATGCTCTCTACCTTCTCCGAGCTTGCACCTTCCAGTGTGGTTCTATCGGATGGCACAGGGGCAAATCATCTCTCATCGATAGGTGCAGGCAGCATCCGAGGTATGTTTGGCGTCAGACTCGCCCGTGTCACTACAAACTAGACTATGCGTACTCGATTCGTGATGCCCCCATCATCATTCGTAGCTCACGAGAAGGGTAGAATGATGGACAAACTAGAGTCGGTCTCCGGCTCTATAACCTGGAGCCTAGTGAGTGCTTGGCGCATCACTCCGCTGCGCGCAACTGAACCCCTGCGAGCTGCGTATTACTCCCGCTACAGCGCCCTGTTGCCCATCGCAGTCTCTCCATGACAATATCTACCTCGCAGACGTACATGAGAGGGAATGGAACAGTCTCCATACTCATCACATGTAGAGTACAGGCCCTCTGCTAGAATGCTATCCCCGGGCGTCATGAGATTTGTACGTCTACGTACAGGACCAGAGGACGTCATATCGTGCATCCATCATCGTTCATAGCAATATGAATATCTGTCAGGCCGAATTCTAGGATCCTTACTCAGCCTGTGTGGCTTGAAAGGCCACGTTGGCGGGATGTGCTACCCAGTGAACTTCCTCAAGTCACCGAGGTCACGAGGTAATCATCTCTTAGTCGTCCTTCTCAGCAGGGGGCGTCCCCTCAAACCCTGCAGGTTCAGATGCTTTGGTCTCATGTTCAGGCACGAGAAGCACGAAGAAGATCAGACAACCTAATACGCACTAAACCTCGCGACTACTGCCTCGCAGCGCTGTTACGACGCCCGATATTCCCTCTCCTGGAGCTCATCGCCCTTGGCCCCTTGCGGGCCCTTAGTAGCCATGAGTGACTCTAACAGGTAGTTTTCTTCGCACCTCAGGGGCCCACGCTGAGGACCCCAATGCGGCCCGGGAGCAGAGTTAGTGAGCTTGTTCTGGAAGCCTCCACTGAACTCACCCTAGGCTCTATCATACAGCGGCGGGTGCACTCGATGCTGTTGGCCGTGGGACGCCTGCCTAGGTGAGCCTATACTTAGACACAGTCCGTTTCGGCATCGCTAACTTTGTCTGATTGTGATATTAGAAGCCGCCGTATTGAGAAACTCTGCCTCTGCTTCTATATGAAACACGATCGTGCTGGGGCCGAACCCGACGCCTCGAGGTGTATCTGGGGTAAAGTATAGAAGATGGAATACCTCCCAGTACTCGGTGGTCAGCCTCGAGCAGCACGGAAGCATATGACACAGTGCTTCGTGGCTATGCTGCAACCTGGAGCCTGTCAGCCTCTCTCGCAGCCAGTCATCCTTTGTTCTACCAACGCACGATGACGTCTCATGAGTTCAGGCTTAGGTAGTCAATCGTTGGTCTGGAAAGACACAAGGACGTCATCAGCCTTTCGGAGTGCTGACCTGCCGGTGTACTGGAAGGCGTCATAAGGAGGCTGACCACGGGCTGACCTGGACCGGTTAGCAACGCCGGCGAGCATATAACCTCGAGGCGAGCACGGACTGCTCTCAGTTTCGGACCTTCAGGTACGTGGTTTCTTCTTGGTGGTGGCGCAATCAAGGTGCGTGGTTCCTTTCGGTGGTGGGACTCGGCTACAAGGTACGTGGTTTCTTCCTGATCGTGGCGGTTTCCGCCTGAAGGTAGGTGATTTCTTTTCGGTGGTGGCGGTTTCGGACGCAAGGTACGTGATTATCGGCCTCTGGCCCTCCCAAGGTGCGTGGTTTCTTTTCCCGAGGGAGGGACTCCGGTCCTGGCGCATACCTTTTCGTGGTCCTCGGGATAAGTACCTTCCTGCTCGCCGCCTCTGGCTGCTCGGCCTGAGACGGAGAGCAGGTCGGGAAACCAAAATGCGCGGATTGGTCTTTTCGTCACCTATACTACCTTTAGACCTTTTTTTCTAGACGCTGATATCGACTCTCGGAAGTGGGCGCTGGCGAGGCGGTCCCGCGTTACTTACTGTTGTCGAATCCGCTATTTGATCTGCGATTCCTTCCACAGGATGAGACGGATGATGCGAGTCTAGCGTAAACGTCTTCGTGAAAGCCGAAAGCCATTCCTGGATCGTAGGCAGCGTTGGTAGCTCAAATGTTCAAATGTGACGTAGGAAGACGCTCCCTTACATCGCAAGGTAGAAGAAGAGCAAGGCCACGCCCACTGATAGACGCCGTGTCTCCTGGTCTCAGAGCGTCTGATCAGGCTCAGCGCGCGTGTGGTTTGGCTCGCAACTTCAACTCTCCTGAAGTTGCTCTTCGACGTTCCGGCCCTCCTCGGTGCCTTCGGCCGTGCGCGAGAAGTCGCGATTGACCTCAACTCGAAATGCACAGTGATCCTTTCGTTTTCTGGGCCGCCATGTACTTTGCCAGCACCGACAGCTTATATGCCCAGCTGGGATCCCCGCTCCGTTCGGGTCGCCCTCTCGCATCGACATGCAGGTCTTGTCCGCTTCAGCTATCCCCGCCTGCCTCTGTCTCTTGCCCCTCACAGGACCTCAGTAGACATGCGGAACTCGGTTAGTTGGGTACCTCGCACGCAGGGCCCCCGCTGGGAACCTACATGCGGTCCGGGTGCTAGATTGACGAGCTTGTCCCACAGGCCCCATAGAATATCCTCGCTAACCAGCAAACCTGGGGAAGAGGTCAACCAGCCAGCATGTGAATGTGATCCACGCTAACCTCCCTATAGAATATAGGAAGCCGTAGACTTTCACTCGCCCTCTACCAGGTTGCGTACCATTAGCCGTCGGTGAGCCGTTTCAATCCGGTTCCGTATTGCTGATGGATCAACAGACCTGAGGAGTCATTCGTTGATAATCAAATCCTAGGCAGTATCTTTGACTGCAATTGCCGTCGGCACTCGCAGTCTGCCTCTGCTGGTATGTGAGTTCTTTGATACAGATGTATTTGCAGATCGCACAGCCATCCTGCATATGAATGTATGCAACTCGTTGACCTGACGCCTCGAGGCACATTTTCGTCTAAATATAGCGGATGGTATGTCTCCCATAGTTCATCTTCCTCGCTCCCTTGATAGTCATCTGTTCCAATCGTTGTTGATTGTTGCCAGCTGCGTTTGATAACGGACAGCCTATGAGTTGAGTACCGTACCTAGTGCGAGCGTAGTGGTGTGAACGTAAGGCTTCTCGTCACAACCTGATTGTCATAGGTACAAAAGGTCTGACTGAATTAGCGAGGTGCGTGAGTCGACACTTCATCTCTGAATACTCCGAGTCTCTTGTGCAGGATGCTAAATGGCTATTCTAGACCGGAACTCTTGGTAAGCAAGCGAGCCTTGAGGCAGTACACCCATTGAGATCGTGCCCACCAGTTCTTGAACCTGACAGATATTGTTACTGGGTGCAGATCCTCTCCCCCGCACCGAGATCGACAGTTCCGTGCTCAGCGTGGGGCTCATAAGTCGTAAGGACCCATTGCAGGCCTTTCGCTAGGTGTCCTTGGGCTTCTAGATGTCGAAAATGTCAAACTGTCAACGCAAAGTGTCGTGAAGCGCTCATAATTACGTCCGTGCGCATCATTTATGTGTGTCTCCGGACAGATAGGACGCTGACTGAGGATCTACTGTGTACAGGGACTCGTCATAGAAGGTTGTCACTTTGGTCGAAAACCTGACTCAAATATCGCAGACACATCTATGAGGACACAATCAGGTCCACGCCCTCCATTCGCTCTCTCGCCCCTCTACAGTGTCTGCTCTCATGTACGGCGACAACGATTACCGCACAACATCTCCGGACACGGGCGCAGAGGACGAGAACGACAACCAGGGGCTAGCTTACAACGATCCTTCCCCGGACAGCCGGGATCAGTATATTCGAGAGCCACAAGACTACCGTCCCGAGGTATGCTGTTCTCATTGACAACTGCTCACCTCGAGTCTCACACGTTGCTCTCTAGCGTAATGCACGCCCTTCTTCGCAGCCCCGTGCCTCGCGCACTCAGACGCGACCGCAGGCGCACCCTCAAGCCCATCACAACGCATCATCCCAGCAGCAGCAGATGCAGGACAAACTTCAGCACGCCGCCGTGCATCAGTTGACGCATGCGGCCGCAAACCATTATAGACAGGACTCCTCTGATTCGGTACGAGTCTACCATCCGAGCTTCATGTATTCTACAGGCGCT